AATTACGACAATTATGTATATATCAGTTGTAACATGTTTTTTTCTTCATAATTGTGTTTGGTGTCGAGTTTAAGAGAATTTTAAAGTTGCTTGTGTTTGTGAAGAATTACCCGAGACAGTCTTTACGGCTTCAGGTGATTCTTTTTAGAAAATGGAAACAGTCTTTACGGCTTCAGGTGATTTTTTGAGAAAATGGAAACAATATTGGGTATCATATTGGGTATGTTATTAACGAATATTCTTGGGCGTCTTTTAATTATCTTTATAGGCCCGTCAAAAAAACAAAATTATCCTATCAGGCCCATGAAGATTATATGCCCCCAAAAGCTATTAAATTTTGTTGCCATGAAGATTAATTATATACCAACCTAATTTTAAAATTTTTTATTCATAAAGTTCGACAGATATTTGTTGTGAAAACCTCATACTAAGTAACTCCTAAAATACAGAAATTTATCAAACTAAACCAAAAATGCACAATTCAATAATCACCAACGCACCCTTACACAAAGCCGTTGAAAGCATTAAATGATGGAGTTTCAATAAGCCACAGATATTGTATTCATCGAACCAACAAGTGACACGTGGAATCTCTGGAAGCTACTTTGGTTAGAAGATGTCCATGTCATTAATAGGATTGATGAAGGTTGAAGGATATGAAGGGGAAAAAAAGGAAAAAGAAAAGCAAAACGACATGCAAGGGAACGTCGTGAGACTGAGACAGCATGTGTGTACTTTGAAGGAAAGAGTAGTTACGGAACAAAAGCTTCACTTCACGTCACCACTTATCTACTTCCACGTCACTCTCATTTTCCACCACTTCTTTATTTTTTCATCAATTTATTTTTCGGTCATTAAATTCAAAACCCGGGCCCAGGCCCACCAAAGTTTCCACTAATTGGTCTGTTTTTTTAAGGCACAAGATAAATGAATTAAATACGAGTTTGCTTTTTTTTTTCTATCGTTTGCATTCAACTTTTAGTACGAAATAATAACATATCAGTTTGAGAAAAGTTGCACTAGCTTAATATATATATATATATATATATATATATATATATATATTTCAACAAAAGAAAAGATAAGATCTAAGAAATTTTAGTGGCGATTAACATATACGAAAATTGAATGAGAATGTAAGATTCAAGAGCAGTGAAATCTTTTTGGACCCCACGAGTTCGAAACAAAATCATAGTCGCAGGAAACCCCCAATTGAATTAATTCATAGTTTTACTCTCTTTTGTAAATTGTAAGTTCTGAAGAAAAGGAAGTTATAAAGTTATAACGATCTGTCGAGGAGTAACAAGAACGATCAAAATCTCAAATCAGTGTAACGTTTTTCCACATAACGACGTACGACAGAACGAGTATTAGCCCTTTAATTTCCGTCAGTGATTTGATATGTGGCCATGTGGGTACTATGAGCTGTGAAGTGTGAAGTACTTTCGATGTCCAAAGTCTACAAGAAAACAGTTTTTATCCATATCCATTTGTAATGGACCATTTAGTTTGAAACTTTTGTGTATATATAGTAACTGAGTGATTTACACTATGTGTGACTTTTTGAGTTCTCTTTACAAAAAGAGGGATTTTTGTTCAGAAGTGGACTTTTTCCACTGTACAATCTTTTTTAATACCATCGTGCCCTCTAACGAGAAGGAAGAAAAAATTGTTCTAGTTAGATATTATAAAATATGAACCGTTAGATCTGTAATGAAATGAAAAAATTGTGTGGATGTGATTAAAAGATATTGATATGGGCATTTTTCATCTCTACGAACACTCTGTCATGGTAACTCTAAATTATGTTCTTTTTCCAAGTTCACCTTTGTTCGCATCGTGTCGCACCTGCAACGGTATATAAGAGCAAGTAAAAAATACCAACATTGTTAGTTTATTTCTTATCATTTTGTAGATCACATTCTTTATTGAACTCCCAAATAAGCTTTTTAATTTCTACTATGATGGATGATTATGTATATATGATTTGTACATTCGGCTGTGGACAATTGTTTTATGGATGGATCAACTTTATACAACACTTTGTCCATGATAATTATTTAACAATTCTTTATCCACCTTACTAATCCACAACACTTTGCCCATGTTAAATAATATACGGTGATTGGATAGACGTTAATTGGATGAAAAACAATCCATCTTCGTACATAAAATCCTCTTTCAGCTTCTTCTGATGAAAATAGTTTTTGGTTTTTTGATATCCATTTTTCTGGATTTTCTTATCTATCAACCAAATTATAAATTCATCCATATAAATCCATCCATCTAATTTCCATCCATACAAATCCATCAATGCAATTTCCATCCATCCATCAATTAAAAAAGAAAGAAAAAAAACCATTCATACAATTTTGTGTAACCAAGCTTTTATCTCTTTTACTCTACCACTGTTAGCTGTAAAAGCAACATCCACTGAAATTTTATTAATATCATAAATGTAGTTTATCGTGTCATTCATATCGATCCTTCGTTCTTCTTATGCCTTGTTTTCGCCAATTTACTTCATCTAGCAATGAAGGGAGAAGAAATCGATCACAGGAAATCCAGGTAGTGAATACCAAAAATAAAAGCAATATCGTCAGAGTAGAAACAAATTGAGGATTTAGTGAATTGTGTATTTATCTTAATCTCAAACAAATTAAAAGACTCAACGGATTTTCTCAATCAAATTATAAAAAATTAATTTGAGAGATAATGATACTAGAAAATAAATAAATAAAGGAAAAAACAAATTGAGGAAAAAGCAAAAAGTAACGAGATCAAGAAAGTGAATGAGATTGAGTTTGTGGGTAAATATAGAAAGGAGGGCAAATATGTAAACTCGTATAACGAAAGTGCACTACTTTCACAAAATCCCTCAAAATGTAAAACCAAACTCAAAAAGTGCACCTAAATGTAATTTTCTCTATAGTAACTGTACATATTCATCATTCTTCATAGTGTGATCCTCTTTTTTTTCCAAAATAATACTTTCTTCTTCCTTTTTTTGTATGTCTAGTGTTTCATCTCATGCCAAATTTATGTTTTCTTATCTGATAAAATCATGGCAAATTTTTGAACAGTATGTTATTTAATGAATCAGTATTAGTGTCGATATATCAAGTTCAACTATGTTTAATGATACACATGGGATTGAACAGGGTTTAGATTATATTTTGCCGAATTGTATTTAAAAAAAAAAACCATGCACATAATTATTTCACAATATGATTAGGTATTATTAACGTACGTGTCTTCGTATGTAGTTGATTTACGATCGTCTTAAAAAGTCAAGGTCGTTTAATGATTTCATGCGTGCTAATCAAAAGGTAATGTGTACGAATTAATTCAACCAACCTATAAGCATGGGCAGAATAACATGGTATATATCATATCAGAATAATATATGTAGTGGCGTTTATATGTCGACGCATGTGTAATCACATGTATATGTATTTGTGTATGTGTTTCTGTAACCGGCAAGATGAGTAGGCGAGAGATAATGCGTGCCCTACAAATCTTAATTTTCTCACTTTGCAAGCAAAAAGAAAAAAACAATTTAGTTGCAAGCCACTTACTCACTATTGCTTTCATATGGCTATGCTCGTTGAGTTATCCATAACTTATGGATTATGGTATTAGTTTGAGATTCGGTCAGAGTCTGTTGATTATAGTTGCAATCTGTATTTTTAACTTACATGTCATAAACTCCCAAAGACACAAATCATTATCGAAGTTACAGAAAACACAATATATTTCTCAGCTGTTATATACTGGTTTGATTTCATCTTCAACTACTATAAACTTTTGATATTATGTCTTTTCTAAAAGATATGCATACGGTATTAATTGGGATTGTTTTTCTCAAGATATTTTTAAACGAATTATAGTTTTTCAAATGACTTTCCCCTTCCTTTTCCCTCTTCCAACACATACCTACCAGCAAACAAAATAAGAGGTGTAGAGAGCCTAAAGACAAAGGAGATTTATGATATTATTCTTCAGAGAAAAAAATAAATGTTAGATGCATGCACCTCATGTATTATAAGGGACAAAGGTGAATTGTTCTTTAAAGAAAAAATATGCAATTCGAGTGGGAACACAAGGGAGAGAGAGAGAGAGGTTGATTTTGACTCTTATATTTTGATATATTAAAAATCTGTATATATGTGATGCTTTGGAACCTTGACAAGTTACGGTGCCAATTCCATAACACAATACAAATGCTGATTTTCACAACCAAAAGTTGTTGCGCCATTACCACGATGTACATCTCCGTCTGCACTTAAATTTGAAATCCGGAAACAAGAAGATCCTAGCTAATACTCACTTAGTCACTTGTCACTATGATAGTGACACTATCTTTTGATCAAAGCTATTCATGTTTATTATATATACATGTATTATACAAGGCATGTATATTGTTTTGAGTATCATAGTCTTTGTCATTGTGATTTGGGTACTTGAAGAGCTATAGCAAATGTGATATCGTTGGTCATACAACGAGGAGTATAAAGTTTGCACACAAAAAAAAGTTTCATCGAGTTTGATGATAGCTAATGTTAAAGATCCCATTAGAGTTTGACTTTATACAAAGAAATTTTTTAACAAATCTAAATGCGTTAGCGAAATAGATTTGTCAAGAAATATGACCAAAAAATAAATACCGTTACGACATAATGCAACATGAATTTTGTTTTTCCAAGTGATAGAACAAAGTACGCGTCACGTAAATCAAACACATGATTTATCAATCAAATAGACAAACAAAAATCTTAAAAAAAAAAAAAAAAGAATTATCTATTTGAAGATCCGTTTGCCCATAACCCACATCAAAGAGACATTTTATCTAAATTCAAATAAAAAACAGAAAAAGAAAGTAAAAGAGCAGAAGAATGTCAGCATCACGTGGCTCTCTCTCCTCCCAACGCAAATCTCTTCTTCTTCTTCTTCTTCCTCTTCCCTAAATCCTTGAACCCTCTCAGAGATTTTCCTTCTCCATGGCTTCTTCTCCTTCCACCACTCTCTCCGACCTCCCTGACGTCATCTTATCCAACATTTGCGCTCTCGTCTCCGATTCCCGAGCTCGCAACTCTCTCTCCCTCGTCTCCCACAAATTCCTCGCCCTCGAGAGATCAACTCGCTCTCACCTCACTCTCCGTGGCAACGCTCGCGATCTCCACCTCCTCCCCGACTGCTTCCGATCTGTATCTCACCTCGATCTCTCTAACCTCTCCCCATGGGGTCACTCTCTTCTCGCCACTCTGCCAATTGATCACCAGAACCTTCTCGCTCTCCGTCTCCAGCTCTGTTTCCCTTCCGTCGAGTCTCTCACCGTCTACTCCCGATCGCCGACTTCTCTCGAGCTGTTACTCCCTCAATGGCCCCGAATTCGCCACATCAAGCTCGTCCGATGGCACCAGCGCGCTTCTCAGATCCCCTTAGGCGGCGATTTCGTCCCAATCTTCGAGCACTGCGGTTTGCTGGAATCTCTCGATCTCTCCGCCTTCTACCACTGGACCGAGGACTTGCCTCCGGTTCTCCACCGCTACGCTGACGTGGCGGCGAGGCTCAGTCGATTGGATCTCCTCACGGCGTCCTTCACCGAGGGATACAAATCGAGCGAAATCGCTGACATCACCAAAGCCTGCCCTAATTTGAGGGATTTCCGTGTAGCTTGCACGTTCGATCCCAGATACTTCGAATTCGTCGGAGACGAGACTCTCTCCGCCGTAGCCGCCAATTGCCCTAAACTAACGCATCTCCACATGGTCGACACAGCGTCGCTATCAACCCCTAGAGCAATTTCAGGTAACGAAACCGGCGATTCCGCCGTCACGGCGGGGACGCTGATCGAGGTTTTCTCAGCTTTGCCGCATTTAGAGGAGCTTGTGCTTGACGTAGGGAAGAACGTGAATCTCAGCGGTGTGGCGTTAGAGGCGTTAAACTCGAAATGCAAGAAGCTACGAGCTTTGAAGCTGGGACAATTCCAAGGGGTCGTCTCCGCCACAGATTGGCGTATCGACGGCGTGGCTTTATGCGGAGGATTGCAGTCGCTGTCGATAAAGAACTCCGGCGATTTGACTGATATGGGTTTGGTGGCTATAGGGAGAGGTTGTTGTAAGCTGAGTAAGTTTGAGATTCAAGGGTGTGACAATGTAACAGTGAAGGGACTAAGAACAATGGTCACTCTGCTAAGAAAGACTCTCACTGATGTGAGAATCTCCTGCTGCAAGAATCTTGATACAACCGCTTCGTTGAAGGCGATTGAGCCGATTTGTGATCGGATCAAGAAGCTTCACATTGATTGCGTTTGGTCTGGTGCAAAGGGAGAAGAAGAAAGAGGGGAAGCAAGCGAGACTAACCACGAGGATGTTGATGGTGAGGAGAGGAGTTTGAAGAGGTGCAAGTATTCTTCACCGGATGGTTTCTGTTCTGAAGACAGAGTATGGGAGAAGCTTGAGTATCTATCTTTATGGATAAGCGTTGGAGAGTTTCTGACGCCATTGCCAATGACCGGTTTAGACGATTGTCCCAATTTGGAAGAGATAAGGATCAAGATTGAAGGAGACTGCAGAGGGAAACGCAAACCAGCTGAGCCGGAGCTCGGTTTAAGCTGTCTCGCTCTCTATCCAAAGCTATCAAAGATGCAACTAGACTGCGGAGACACAATCGGTTACGCGTTAACCGCACCGCCGATGCAGATGGATTTAAGCTTGTGGGAGAGATTCTTCTTAACCGGGATCGGTAACTTGAGCTTGAGCGAGCTTGATTATTGGCCGCCGCAGGACAGAGATGTTAACCAGAGGAGTCTGTCGCTTCCTGGTGCTGGGTTGTTGCAAGAGTGCTTGTCTCTGAGGAAGCTTTTCATTCATGGAACAGCTCATGAGCATTTCATGAACTTTTTGTTGAGGATCCCGAACTTGAGAGACGTGCAGCTTAGAGAAGACTATTATCCGGCGCCGGAGAATGATATGAGCACGGAGATGAGAGATGGTTCTTGTAGACGGTTCGAGGACCAGTTGAACAGCCGCATCATCATTGACTGAAAACTAAACAGTGAGTTTATATATATATATATATGTATTAATTAACTTCAAAAACTTAGTCTTTTGTTTACTTGAATGTTATATATGTTTGTAAAAGATAATGATTGATATATATTTTGCAATGATCAAATGGTTTCAGAAATGAAAAATCCAAAATTTAATGACACAGACGCAAAACATTACAACTAAATAGCTCAAAATAGTTTTTAGATCCAGTTAAGCTTCCTCCTCGCAGGTCGCAAGACGGGTCAATATCTCTGCACAGCTTGGTCTTTGCTCTGGTTCTGCCCAACAATCTAGAACAAGACAAAGATTTCATAAGCATCTCATTTGTCTAAGAGAAACAACAGTTAAGTTTTTGGAGTCACACAAACCTTCAATAAGCTTGCCTAACGGTCCTTTAGGTAACTGAAGCCGGGCTCCTTCGAATGCAACAGCATGAACGACCTGAAAACAAAATATTACAAGAAGGGAAATTTTAGATTTGATGTTATTGTGTTATAGTTAAGTAAGTGTTGTTTGGTCTTGTTCAGCGAGACGTACTTTAGGTTTTGGAACTCCTTCCCAGGGCTTAGAGAGAGTGCAGAGCTCCCACATTACAACACCAAAGCTGAAGATATCGGATTTTTCTGAGAAGGGTTCGTTGCGGATGACTTCAGGAGCTACCCATTGAGGTGTTCCCGCAGCTACAGTGTCTTTTATCGTCGTGCCTTTCATCGTTTTCGAGAGCCCAAAGTCGCAGATCTTGACTGTCCAATCTTTGCTCAGCAGGCAGTTTGCACTCTTTAGGTCACGGTGGACTATTCCCATCCGGTGTATGCACATCAAACCCCTTCCAAACACATTGAAAAGTTCAAAATGATTAACATAATATGACAAAATCTAAAAAATGAGAAGTATTCAATGTAGAAATGAAATACCTGCAAATGTCAAACAGTATCTTTATTTTCTCCTTAAAGCTCAACTTCTTTATTTCGTCGGTCGAATGGAGAAGATGATACAAGGAACCTTTTCCCATATACTCTGTTACCAGTGATAGCTGAGGAGGCTTTGTGCATGCTCCAAGAAACAGAACAACTACAAACAAAGTCAAGATATGTCTCTGTTATCATCTTACAAATTTGATGCCTAAAGATAAGTAACTTGAGAAAAAAGAAGTAGATGATGGTGATGATTTACCATTGGGATGTCGAAGACTTCTGCTCAGAAAAGAAGACAGGAAGAGATGTCAGAAGATAAGGTTGAGAAGTACGTAGGAAAGATTAAAGGACATATATTTATGTACCTATGAATGGAAACCTCATTGAAGAAGTCATCCATGTTCTCAGTTAGGTTTTCTTGATTAAACATCTTGAACGCAACGTCTGTCCCATTCCAGGTGCCACGGAAGACTTGTGCAGTGGATCCTGTATAGTTCGTTGCATTTTTATTCAAAGACAGAAGTATAATTTTTTCTCTCTTTGAAAAAAACACTCCATATGACTTGATGATAAAACAGTTCTTACCAATCCCAACACTAACTCCAACTTCCAACTCAGAGAAATCTATTCTCCTTATTCTCTTAGTTTCCAGTTTCGCTGCTTCATCTGATTTAGGGCTGCAGATAAAAAATGTAGACATTAGCAATTATTACGCATTAAAACCATTGTTTTTTTCCCCTAGCCAAAGTGTTATTAAAGCATTAAGCCAGACACTAATGAATCATTAATTACCATGACCTTTTGTAACGATAAACTGCATCTATATATTCTGATTTTTTAAGCTAGATACTCTCTAAGTGTAACTCGTTCACATCTCTTAAATTGTAGTTGACTAAACAAGTGTATATAATAGGACACCAATCAAAGAAATAGGTTACCATACTTTCACATTATATCAGTAAAGATAGTTGACAGGATATAAGGGAACATAAGGATACTCAAGTTTTAGGAGAAAAGTAGTATGTAATCTATATACATAACAAAACCACATCACTGTTGACACTATATATATAAGACTGACAAACAGTTAGTATCCTGTAAAATGATAGTTCAAAACTTCAAAACAAATATGTATGAATTTTGTAGAATTTATAGGCGGAAAAGAACCTTGATGCATCATCGCTGACAGGTTTTATGTCACCATTTAGGAAGAACCTCTCACGAGTTCTGACGTAAGCATACTCAGGACTGAAAAACTCAACATAAATCAAATCACATAAAGTAAACAAAACGGCATTATAAATGATCATTTCCACGACAGATAATGTTAGGGCTTCAAAGTGCAAAAATAACCTGGAAGTAGCAGTACGTTGTCTTCCGATGACCTTTCCTTGGCTAAGCTGCAAAAGTTCAGTAGCTATGTTTTGCTCGCTTCGTGACAAACTGAGGAAACAAACGAAAAAATGATGAACGTACTTTCACACATGTGCATTCAATTAAAAACATTTCAACCTTATTTTTATATTCTTTTGTTACGTTTCCTAACCTTTCATTCGGCATATATGGTGCTTGAGACGAGTCATTCCCTGAAGCTGAGACATAATGAACCATACGAAGTTCCTGGCTTGACATTGGTATAAGCCGACCAGTAGATCGCATAAGGTCGACTACCATTTCCTCACCGTTGAGCGTAACCACAATAGACATATGCTTACAAGAGTCGAAACTTGCACAAGATTCCAGGTCATTAGGAAAACCCTGGTTAAAAAAGATAAATCATTAATCGAAATGTAACGTTCTCGGAACCAAACAATGACATGTGAAAAAATGGATTGACATACAAGAACTTACCACTACAAGCTTACTTTCAAGACCAACAGTATCAGCTAGAACTTTAAACAAGATTGCTCGATCACGACAAGAACCAGGTTTGATTTTTCCTAGCTTTGGAAAATCATCAGTTTTTGCTGGAGTCTGCAGAGGTGGTTGGTTGTAGAAAACTACCACCTACAAAAAGAAAACATTTAATCAAGATTTCCCCATAACCTAAATGATTATATACTTCATCCGTTTCAAAATACTTCTTGTTTTATGTTTCAAAAATATTTGCCTTATCGTTTTTCAATATAAATTTTTAGTATTAAATAACTCATTTAACCCAAGATCCAATAGAAAAAAAAAACACTAACAGCCAATTTTGCATGCACGATAAAGTAACAGAATGATTTGCTCTGTAGCCACAATTAATAAGTCCTACTAGCAAATGAGATGATATGCTCGTCCATTTCATTCTTACCAGTGTAGAAATTTTCTTAATAAATTCCGGCGCTGTCTTCAAATTTTCGACAGTTACGGTGATCAACTTCTTTAGCCGTTTAAGCTTTTCATCTTCGTCCACAAGGATCACGTCCGCCTTAACACCTTCGTCCCCCAAAGCACGAATTTCATCTAGTGTTGGGATGCTTTTGAAAAGCTTCAGTCTATCCTCCTGTTGCAAATTCAACAACAGTGTAATCAACAAACAAAACGATTCTTGACAGATAAGCAACACCAGATAAACCAAATTAAAATAAATCTAACGAACAAAGATATTTTACCTGGATCACACAGTAAAATCCATTGGGAATAGGGTCAGAAAAAGATCCAGTACTCCAAAACATATTTGATGCTTTATAGGATGACATCCCATCGTGACCAAAATGTCTTCTTGATTCTTTAGTACTATAGTTTTTTTCTTGTGATCTCTCCAAGACTTCGGGAGGCTTCGAGGTTGAACTTGAAGCTTCCGGTTTTGATGTTGGCCCAACATCATGTTCTCTTGTCTCTTCTGTTGCCATAGCTTGCGCATCGCGTTCTAAAATCATATGAACCTCTCCTTAATCACAAGAATTTATGAAAAAAAAAAACTTAGATACCAAAATATTGAGAATCAAACTTTCATGTACCTGCAGCTTGTTGCCGGAGGTCAGCTAATCTGCATAGAAAAAAAAAACAGAATTGTTAGGTGGTAAAAAAAAAGAGGATTAAGGATAAGTGCAACAACAAATAAATGATGAGAGATGTGTTTTTTAATGCTTCCGCTTCAATTTATATCTACACATTTCTTTCTCTTTAATCTTTATCAAAGTTTTTAACTAGTAAATGAACGTTTTGAATATTCAAGAATTCTCAAGATTGGCTTCAAAATATTATTAGACCACTCTTACGGCACGACGGATGATGGAACGGGTGCATGAACGGATTCTTGAACGTCAGATCCTCGGCAACAACTGCAACAAGATCCCATGAAAGCGCTTGGTGATGAAATTCCAAAAACCTGCATGTATTTCAACTCATATGAACAATTTGATAAGAGCTACCCCAAGTGTAAGCTTCCATTCAATATCAATCCCAGCAACTTAAAGCCAGTAAAAGATATATTACGTACGACCGATCCAAACACACAAGAAAGAAGAAACCATAAACCAAATGGTCAAAGATCCAGAAGAAAGAAAATGACCCTGAAAAGATTAAAGAAGAGAAAAAACTAGAATGAGAGTTTAAGAAAAACTCACAGCAGGAGATCAACGAGTTCGATGAACGTATACTCTTCCCAGTTCAACTTCTAACAATGAAGCAATCTTTCATAAAACAAAACAAAAGAACAGCTCGATCGCAATTACAAGACAGAGAGTGGAAGATGAGAAATAATTTATATTGAAAAACAAAAATGAGAGACAAAAGAAAAGAACCCATAAATTAACTTTTTTAATTAATGTAGTTATAATTATTTTTTTTATAAAAAAATATTTTTTAAGACTAAAAACTAAAAAGGGAATTTAAATTTTAGGAAAAATAAAAAGACTAAAAAATGGCTAAAACATTCATATTTTAAATTTCAGTGATGTAATTGGTCCACATACGCATGTTGTCTTTGTTAAAAAATTTCATTTCCATACTTTATCAAAAAGTATTATATGAAAGTAATTTCATTTTTATCAGTTCAAGTATATCTTTACTATGATAAGACATGTGCCAATCTTTAAGATATAGTTAGAGAAATGTTTCCACTGAAAAGAAAGATAAAATGCATTACTTGTAACTTTTCTTACTATCCAAATACACAATGTTTTAAAAATGTGCCACATATTTTCTTTCATTTATTATATATCCCTGAGTTGCAGGTAAATCGTAAAATAGATTTTGTTTACCACTTGTATGTATCCTACATAACTTCATCTTCAAAATATCAAAAACTCTTTATTTCCTAATATGCTATGATGATCATCACCTAACATTATGTGAGTCGAACAACAGAATTAAGCCCACCAACTACATTAATGGGCCTTCATAAGCCCAAACACTCAGCTCAGCCCTGAATCTTCACAAAGGTTTTAACATTTTCAATCTCTCCGACATATCGATGACCACCGCAACTCAGCCGTCGTCGTCGCCGTCACCGGAGGCGTTATCTACTCAATTGCAGCCGTCAAGAGTAAGTACAAAGACGGTGGAAGATGCGGGTAAGGCTTTAGTCAAATGGAGAAACGAAAAATTAAAGACGGAGAAGCCACAGGAAGACGAATTCGTTTACCTAATCGTAACCTATTCCACAGAATGCTTATCGAATTGAAGCTCAAATTCAAAATCGATCCTTTTGGTGGTAAAGTAAAGAAGTTAGTAAGAGTGGAAGAAGAAAGGATTCCTCTTTACTGATTATGGGAGTATTCTTAGATAATGCCGGTTTAGACTTGCTGATTATGATTATGTCTTTATCATCATGATTCTGATTCTGATACATATTTAGGCCTTTGTTATGTTTCATCAAACAGTGTCTTCTCGTGTATAGTTTGGTTTGGTGGTTTTGAGGAGGAAGCATATTTGTATTACATGTGTTCTGTTTGCACTCTGTTATGTGATTCTGATTTTCTCTAAGATTACTACAACCTCAAGAATTTGCGGGAAAGAAAAAGTACCTACAGGATTTGAATCAAGCATGATCCAGATCTTTGATTCAGATCCTGGCTAAGTACTCATCCCAAGAAATGGCCAAGGAAAAACAAATTCTCTCTACTCTTAAATTTCATCTCTCTACTATGCTATGGTCTCCCGGCGATGTCGAGAACAGAGAGAGTGAGAGCATCGTGTTGATATCATCTCTTGGTCTTTGCCTACAAATTCCTAACTCCGGGAACTGATTGCCACCACCTCCGGACATTAGTTTTGATCGTTTCAATGATGATTCTTCTCTCGCCTGTTCTTCTTCTCGGACTCTTTTCTCATGGATGCTCTTCCTAATCTGTATGAAGATCTCACCAAGATTACATAAATATTCTCCATTTATTCTTTCAAGCTGTTTCTCAACAAGGTAGTAGTTACCTCAAGAAGAGGCAGAGTCTTGTTCTCTGTTCTGTCTCGGTTATGAGATTCCTTTCCGGTTAACCCGCTAAACCAGCTGGAAGGTCGCATCAGAAAGTTACCTCCAAGATTTGCATAGACTGCGTCTTGATCTAGTACCCTGTAGGAAAGAATGCGGATTTTGACTTCTTGATCATCTAACGTATTTGAATTTGTTTAAGGATTGTGTCTGTGAATGACCTTGTTGGAACGGTTTTAGAGTTGTAGACATTTCTTAAACCGCCATAAGGGATATGGATCATGTCCAACAAATAGCTGCTGTATCGAGATGACGTCTCTGGCTTCTTACTCCGATACATCTTGTAATCGGAAATATCAAAACATTGAAAAATGAATGATTAAAGTGACACAATCATAGAGAAACATACGAGTGATTATAGTTTGAATGAAACCTGTAAGTGACTCTTGACATGCGCAATACTCAGTCCTTTCATATTCATCATTTGAAGAACCAATTTCGGCGTCGCTCCTGTAAAAAATCATACAACGATTACAAGTTTAAAACCACAAGAAATCACAGAGAGAGAGAGAGAAAGAATAGTACTGTGTGGACCGCCTAGTCGTTGGACAGCACGGATGAAGGAAAGGTGAAGATCAGGCGTCCATCGAAGCCGAGGCATGTTGGATCGAACATACTGTCTCACGTTGTTACTACTTGTGGCTTGTTCTTCGTCTTCAACTGATGATGACCCTTCTTCATTTTTATTCTCCTCCGCCTCTTCTCTGTTCAGGTCAATCCACATGGAGCATTTCTCCGGCGAATATGTCCCGGCCATGTCTCTCCGACAAGAGTAGTTTCTAGCTGCCTCTTGAATCAATCAATTACTCAAAAGAAAACCCATGAAGGCTATAATCTTGAGTTATATGTAGCAAAGAGGTGTTAGGACTTAGTTTCAGTAATACATGTGATGTGGTCATATATATATATATATATATTATAAATGCATAAGTTTATTTATAGTCTTCTTCGATGATATAAACTATAATAATTTTATAGACATGTATATTCTTATATCTATGTCATGCATGTTTACGTGTGTGAGTATGTGTTTCTTTTGGAAAAGTGTGTTGGAATCTTCCGTTTGGTGAAATCATATTAGTTATTAGGTTTTGCTTCATTTTTGTTAACAGACCAGAAATATATCCGTTTGTTCTTTTTATGACAAAGACATCTAAACTTATCGCCTTCAAGACTATACTGAATTTATAGAAATAAATAAACAAATACTCTCTTGTTTAGATATTTAGAGTGTTGTATGGTGAATGTAATATATATATATATATATATATATATATATATATATATATATATGAAGTTCAAGACTATATGATTTAGTTAATCAGTTCTTCTGTTTACAAAATGTGCCTCCATATATGATATGATAATAGCTAAGCTGTCTAAATTGGTTAATTTATCACATATTGCGCATCTTGTGTTAAAATAACCACGTCTACATGTATATACAATTAGCAGTCGAATATTTGGTGTCATTAGAGTTGTAGTTTTGTGAATGATTAAACAATTCTATCCGACCAAACCACTCTTGTCTTTGTAACCTTTTTTTCTCTCTTTGATAATCTCCAGTTAAGTTGACCTTTGCCGGAGACTATGCTTTACCCTTTTGTCATATTCTACCAGTTTTTCAAAACCACTTTCAAAGGTAAATTATAATAAAATTGGTATATAATCTGTATATATATCAAGAACCCAAATCAGATATAACAACCATGGATCTTAGCCGATTACTAAGAGTATTCATCTGTATTTCAATAAAAGTTTTGCTATTCACATTAAAAACTGACAATAAATCAACCAATACTCCTTTAAAACATCTAAAGTTTAAGGTCGTGAAGATTTATCTGTTCTCAGTTTATCCTATGTATATGTATGTGTGGTTAATACATGACGGTTCTCAATCCCAACGTTTACAAACAAAACTTATAAAGTAAAGAGAAAGGAGTTTTGTCAAATAGTTAAGGATGTGATTCCCAAAGATTCTTGGGTTCACGTTTGTACAAAATCAGAAGTTGTCTTTATCTTTTTTGGTTTTATTATTAGTGACCCCTTTCAATAGGCATTGGGTCACTCACCTGCTTTAATTTCTCTTTGAGATTAGGAATTGCTCGGTTTCTCTACTTGTGATTAATTATGTTTTTACAATCAGTTACCAAATTATCAATAGTATATCTTGTGTCGAAGTGCCATTTTGATGATTCAAAAGCAGCACAATAGCACTTTTGTCTTTAGTTTCATTTGTGAAACTTGAACTAAACTTTATAAACACGGATACACTGAAAGTAAGAAATAGTAAAATTTTATTTTCAAAATTAACATTGAAAATACCGTCACAAAGTAATTCAAGAAAACAAACTAGTAACCGGACAAGCACATTTTACAAAATTTAACTAAATTTTATGTGAAGTTAAATTACCCCACACCTATACATACTTAGTTATAAACCGTCCCGATGCAAGATTCCGACACTCTAGGTACACACATATCTATACAAACATTTTGGAACATATATGTAAAACGCTATAGGATCAAATTTCAACGCAATAGGATCAAATTTCAACGCTCTCGATCTACAAATTTAGGGTTGTGTAGAGAGAGAGAGAGAGGACAAATATTCGAAGTAGTTAATTAGGAGTGAAGAGAGCATTAATGTGAGAGAAGGAATCGTAGAGAGGGCACTAAGAAAGATGAGAAAACTATGTTTTGTCCTAACCTGCTTACGTACCGACACTCCATTCACAATTCCTCCATTTCCCATGCTCTCGTTTACGATTCAAATTGCCTTTATAATTATTGAATTTCTTTAATCGACATTATTTATCTGTTAGATCCGTTGTCAACGGTTTTCCAAGAAAATTCTCTCCCTCTATTCCGAAGGAAAAAAAAACGTTCATGCTCGTTAGAACATTTAGTAGATGTAGATCCGTTGATAGATAAAAAAAATAAAAACTGTTTTGATCACAAATAAAATATGATGATTGTTTCTGAGATTAAGTATAATCAGAAGTCCAATTATACATAGGGTTTCAGTTTCATAACATACTCATACCACCAAAGTGAAGGTTATTCCAAGCTTCGTCACACGTTTAACTTTTTTTACAAGTTAATAAAACTTAACTATGCTCGTTGATTGACAATTGGTTTCATAACGTTTTTCGTTTTTTTTATCCACGCCTATACTATATATACTAGTATAGTACCCGCACGTGCGGTGTGACGTTGTTGTTTTGTGTAGAAAATTTAAACCCTAAATCCGAACCCGACAAAAAACCCTAATCAAAAAATTTAAAAACCCAAACTTTTTTAATAGGTCTAAACATGAAAATCCGAAATCAAAAAAATCCCGAAAACCCTGACTGAACAAAAAAAATCTGGAAACTTTTTCACCCGGAACCCGACCCCAATACCTAATCAAAATTTTAAAATACTCAATTTTTTTAATATATCTAAACCCGAAAACCAGAAATCTAAAAAATCCGGAAAACCCTAAACTGAAAAAAAAAATTGAACCTAACCCGAACAGAAATTTTCAAAGAAACCCGAACAATTTCTATATCTCTATATATATCTCTATAAAATTATGTCTCAGATTTTCACCCAAACCCGAACTTGTCTATAAAAACCCGAAAATCCAAAAAGCATATTCTATTGATTTGGAATTATCGTTAGATTATGTTAAGTTTTTTTTTTGCAGATTTTTAAGAGATGGAAAACGGAAGTTTTCTAAACCATCGGTTTATTTTAAGTTATTATTCTTGTATCCAAACAATTTTTTCCATTTATTCTTCTATCCAAATAGATTTTTCTCTTATTCTTATATCCAAACAACTTTTGTTTCCATTTATTCTTCTATCCAAATAGATGTTTCTCTAATTCTTGTATCCAAACATTAGAATGTACTTCTCAATTAATAATATAATAAAGATTGTAAGATCTCTATAGATTTTTTTTTTTTTTTAAAAGAGGTTGATCGGCTTCATATATTTATTTATATAGATGCAAGAAGCTAAAAAATTCTGCATGTTGCCCTAAAGAATCGCCGCAAAATAAGGCACCGTCTTCGAATTCTTCCTCATCAGTCACATGCCTAACGTATCTCTCTACTCATGACCAGGATTAGCTTCAATTTTCTTTTCTCAATTCTATAAATATTGTTTTACTATACTCATAAGAAAAAAACAATATTATTACTTTGTCGAGTAACATAGTCCGTGAGTGGCCAGAACTGCGTTGCGTTCAAGGCGGTTGGGAAGATATGAGCATGTTAAGTTGTTAACGTTTTAAACCAACGATACTCCCCTAACTGTTATTCTATGGGATCTCTTATTCTATCAATGTCACAAGTTTTCCACGATTTATTACTATGATAGATTATTAGATTTAAAAGCGTTAAGCAAAGAACTCAATTAAAATCAACCATAATTCTTCCAAAATGCCTCTTTCTTTCTTTGTTTTTGGTCGTTGGGTCTAGTTTTGAGCCTTTGAGACCATTTCACTGCTGGTTGTTGAACATTTATACTCATCATCAATTCCTATTCGTCATCATCATCATCATTGTAGGAGTCAATAGTTTTGGTTTTTCTGCTTGAAAACGACGATACATATTATATGGTCTTAAGTATTAACGACGAAAAATCACAATTTGTAATTTTTGGGTCTACTTTGCCTTGTGGTTCAAATCACACCTCATAAGCTTTATTCGGATTTTCGAATCAATCCCAGTTTCTTACACAACAAATCAGTATGTACAATCCCGTTTTTGCAATATGAAAAAAGACCCCAATTTTTATTGATTGTTTCCGAAAGGAATAATGATATAGATATAAATAATAAATAAAAATCCAAACACCCGCCCAAATTATGTGAGAATTTCAAAGATAGGAAGAAATCATAAGAGAAAAAAATCAAGTTCTAATAACAGGACCCCTGTAGGGAACTCGTCGAATCACAAAGTCATCAGGCGGTTGAAACTCCTCAAGCCATGTCACCTCTGAGACCACTTCCCCATCCACTTCTATTTCACCTGTGCTCCATTTTCACAATCATGCAAGTACAAAGATCAACAACAACTCATCAAAAGAAAGTATCTTCACAGTGAATGGTGGTGGCTACATAAGCTTTGATTGAGCATTTTTCTAACATGAGAGTGTTTCGAGAGCTTACCAGGTAAGTCTTCTCTTCTGGATTTCCGGAAGTAAGTGCAATCCCGACCCTGATCTGAGGAGTAAGGTGGAGCTAAAATATCAATAATAGCACAATGTGTGATGGCTCTAAAGCAATGAATGTTTCCACCGCTTCTCGGATATAACGTGGTTGCTGGTGTTGGAGCTGTCATCTCCTTATCCTTCACCAGTTTTGCTGGTCTTGCTGCTTGTGAATACAAGAGTTTTTATAATTAGACCAGAAGAGTGATTATTCTCAAAAAAAAAAAAAAAAACTGAGTGCAAGAGAAGGACGATGGTTGTTATACCTTGTGATGGATCTTCTGGTTCGGTCAGGTCAGGCTCTACCCAATCATACGACTTGACATGCATTGAACCATAGATGAGCTTGCTTAGCACGGTCATGCCCGGATGGTTATGAAGAGGTATCATAGAGGCAGGTGGCATACAGAAAATTCCAATCTGTTTTCACAAAATGAACCAAGTCAGAGAGATAGTGAAAATGACGGTACAATGAAAACAAAACCCCAGCTATAGACGGCTCAGAATATGACTCGAACTTTAGTTTACTCATACTTTCTAGATCATTTGTCATAGGCTTTTTTTTGCAGACTTGAGGCTCATGGCTTGAATGGTTGGTTCCTGAGATTCTCTCAAGGACCATGTTTGGATGCCCCCCACTTAATTCCCCTAATTTTGAATATGCGGAAGAAGAGAATATTAAATATCAACTAAACCATCTTTGAATCGGCTATAGAGGCGATTTAACCTTTTATCTCTACTGAAAGTTATTATTCCAAGCAAAAGCATTCCTATCTAAAAGCACTGATTCTCTAAGACAACCTAAACTCGATTACAAAAGATGCACCCTTTTCTTCAGAGTTTCACAACAAAATCAGCCAAAAGATTCGTCCAATGAGAATGCTTACAGAAAAACTGTCGCACTCATGCAAATGAAGATACTTTATCGCTGGAGGTGACTGACTTCCATTGCGTTCATTGATAGGACCAGACCTGCTCCGTGCCAGCTGAGCTTCCTGCTCTATTCCAACATCAGATGGCTTTATTTTCTCTGAAACATGAAAATCACAAATAAAGTTGTAACTCCTAAACAAGGAATAAGATTACTAGCACCAGACCTTAACTAATACAATCATATAAGGTAAAATTGCAGAATGTTCAGATAAACTGTTTCACATGTTGTGGGCCATACAATTCATAAAAAAAAAAAGATCATTGTCACAATCACCTACAATGATGAGACAAATAACAGATGATAAGCGAAAAGTGAAAAAAACCAAGTAATGTGCATAATCATACCCAACACATTGCGAACTTTCTCAAGAGCCTCCTCTGATATTGGCCCGTCGTCTGTAGCCAACGACGCCTTGCAAGTGTTGTAAAGCCTCTGAGCAAAGTAAGGCATGATCTTGTATCCAAATTCCAAAATTCTCAGCCTCACTAGCTATGTTATGTCCCTCCTTTCAGATTTTTAAAAGAAGCTCCAAACTTGTCAATGACAACAGAGGAAAAGAGCCACTCCTTGTATAAAAACTAAAACTTCATGGAAGGTTATCATTTCCTTCTTCTACACCATACCATCATTTTTTTCTCCTGAAAAAAAATACAAGCTTGATATCATTTACAAGCTTACACAATGCAACACATTCTGATTTCATATATATCAAAATAGATATTTAGATCATACAGCTCACAAGCCGGACATAGATAGAGAATTCAAAGCTCACCATTTCGCTACTGAATATGAGTTTAATTGAATTGGACTATAACATAAGCATTCAAATTTAGCATTTCTCATCCATTAGCCTTAGAATTTCACATGTAAACTGATTTCAATACAGAATTCGATCTCAAATCGGAGATACAAGAGTTGAAACGGCAGCTACAGAGCCAAAATCAAACGAAATGATCATATCCAGAAAAGGAGAAGAGATTGAAGAAACCTGAAGTGAGCGGTGGCGTAAGATCTGGGAGAAATAGAATCTCGATGAGGACCAGGTACAAGTTGAAGACGAAGAAGAAGAACAAGGCAATGAGGTCAGAGTAATAATTTCTTCATTTTGCTTTTTATTTATTAGTAAGATAAAGAGTAAATTTTGTTATTAAAGACTGATTTTGTTCCCATATGCTGAGATATTTTCCTCAAGTGGGATCCATATTTATCAAATTTACTACTATGCCCCCCTGAAATCTAATGACCAACAAACACTCATAATTACATACAAAAACAAAACATTGGTTATGCTTTCACTAATTCACATCCATTGCTCAATTTTTGAAAAAACAAAAACAGTTTATTGTACACATCTTTTTTATGCAAACTCAACTAAACAGCTTATAAGTTACTAGGGGAGACCCGCGCTTCGCGCGGGGACTTATATTGTTATGTTGATTTTATTAATTTTTTCTTAAATTTAAATTAATTCTATGGTTTATTATTCATATTAATGAAATATAATTACTGTTACGTAAAATTTCTGAAAATAAAATATAATTAAGGTTACGCAAAAATTTTGAACCGTCCTTTCTCATTCCACCCATTTTGTTCCTTTTTATCATCCCGTTCTTTCCCGTCTCGTTCATCTCGTCACGTGCAATTCCATCTTATCTCATTCTGTTTCATCCCGTTTTGACTTTTCTTCTTTCCGTTTCTTTCCGTCCCGTCCCTAAATATTATTAGGGATAAGCAAAATTCTCATCTTTTCCCGTCCCATTATGTTCCTTTTCATCCCGTCCTTTCAGTCCTATCTGTCCCGTCTAGTCTCATCCTATCTCATTCTTTTTCTTCCTGTCTCAGTAAATATAATTAGAGTTACATAATATTTCCGAATCGTCTTTTCTCATTTCTCCATTTTGTTCCTTTTTATCATATTTTTTTGTTCCCGACCCGTCCATCAGGTCCCGTGCAATCCCATTCTATCTCATTCGGTTCCTTCCCGTTTTGTCCTGTTCCATCATGTTCCTTCCGTTTCTTTCTTCCCGTTTCTAAATATAATTAGGGATAAGCGAAATTCACGTCTTGTCCCGCCTTATTATGTTCCTTTTCATCCCGTCATGTCCGTCTCGTCCAATCTCATCCTATCTCATTCTGTTTCTTCCGTTTCTACCTGTCCGTAACTAAATATAATAAGGTGTCATATAAGATTCTATAATAAATTAAATAAAAATATAAGTATTTCATTTCAAAACATTAATAAATATAAAGCATGAGAATTTTTTGACAAACCTAATAAAAACAGTGAGAAAATAAATCATTTTTTTTTGCTCAATCCAAATTAATAACATAAGATTAAAGGCCCATAAAGCCCATCGGATTTTCTTTAAATCTGTTTGCTGAGGTGGCGAAAATTTGCCTACGTGGCAGTCTCAGAAGAGACCCCAACTGTACTTTATATATATATATATAGATAACTAAAAACATACGAAATCTATGACAGGCAAATTTGATTTCGATTGAAATTTCTGACAGTGCTTCTGTGTGGATTCTTTAGATAAAAAGAGTTACATAGGTACATTCTGTTATAACCAAAATTAAAGGGTAAGTTATGTAATTTCATAAAGCAATATGTCGGAGAAAATAAATAATTTTGCAAGATAATAACAATTAGCGTGAAGCTCACGCACGGGCTTTGTCTTCTTTATCTCATCTTCCTCTCATTTTCTAATTGATTCAGTATTCACCCGAGAGTCGACGAAGAAACCCTAGATTTTGTCAAAAGAGAAAACTTGAGACCCCGAAACCATGGCTGGAGTTGGACCGATGACTCAGGACTGGGAGCCGGTGGTGATCCGAAAGAAAGCCCCCAACGCCGCCGCCAAGCGCGACGAGAAAACCGTCAACGCCGCTCGCCGATCCGGCGCCGAAATCGAGTCCGTCAGAAAATGTTTGTTAATTTCTGACTGATTAGGGCTCTCTGGAATATTTCCTAGATTTGGCTTATTTTGTTCTCGATTGAACCTTGGAATAGAAATTAGGATTTATGTTCGTCGTCAATTGAAATTTCCTTTGCAATTAGCTCTGCGTTTAACATTAAAGTGTCCTGCTTTGGTTTGCATATGCTTTTTGATCTTTGTTCTCTTGAAATTTCATTGTTTCATGTGTGATTACTGATTTCCAGCTATGGCTTCTGATTTTTGTATCACATCCCTCTTTTTGTGTGTTGTGTTTAGACAATGCTGGAACCAACAAGGCGGCTTCAAGCGGCACATCTCTCAACACAAAAACGCTTGATGATGACACTGAGAACCTTACTCGTAAGTCTTATCTCTCTCTCTCTCTCTCTGTTATCATTTGCTTCGCTATATGGTGAATTGATTCCCCTAGTGGCTAGGAAATGGTAGTCTCAGACTCTGTTTAGGCTCTGTAATCTTTGATGGTCTTAGGCTATTAGCGAGAGGAACTTCTTTGTCCATTGATGTGTATTGGTTGCTGAAGCTCCCCCATTAAACGTTTTCTCTACCGGTTTGTGATTTTCAGATGACCGTGTGCCTACTGAGCTAAAGAAAGCGATTATGCAAGCCCGAACAGAGAAGAAGCTGACACAGTCTCAACTTGCTCAGGTACTTTTCATCTTCCTCTCTCTATCTCTTTACTCTTATTACTACCTGTTTTGTGTAACTCGGTTCGTGACAAAAAGAAGACACTTGTTTGCTTCATTGTGTAGATCATCAATGAGAAGCCACAAGTGGTTCAAGAATACGAGTCTGGTAAAGCAATCCCCAACCAGCAAATCCTTTCTAAGCTGGAGAGAGCACTTGGCGCTAAACTTCGTGGCAAGAAGTGATCAAAGCCCTCAAGATAACAAAGCCTTAATCTCTCTTTTCGTAACAACAATCAATGCCTTTGATCTAATGTAAGACTGCAAAAACCGTTTGAATGTTTGGTTGATGAAATCACTCATCTCATAAACTTATATCAATATAAATAACTCGGTTTTTTTCATCATCATCATACACTAGAAATGCTTTTATTGTTGATTTAAGATGAACTTGGGAAACATATAGATATTATTCAAATCAGAATTCAGGTTCAGGTTCTTCTTCCACTGGAGCAATAACCCATTCACCATCTTCGTTCTTGATCATTCCTTTGTTCTTCTCCACCCACCAAGATCCTGGAACCAAACACTCATCTTTCAAGAACTCACATGACTTGTTCACTAACGCAATGCTTCTCTTCACCATCATTTTAAACTCTCCTTTCTTCCCATTCCACCCCGCAACGACATGGAGCATTGCCTGCACATATATGAACAAGAAACTCATCTTTCTACTCTGTGTTTGAAAGATGCACTCACAGATTCTTACCTGAAGATTATGCCAGTCCCCTGGATTCCTTGAATCCTTTAGGTAAGGTGACTTCTTTGTTTCGATCACGCAGTTGGTTCCTATATCCACATACCCCAAGAGTCCTCCTGGATATCTTGTTAAGAGGTCAATCTTGTTCCTTACATGGAGGATCTTCAAGTTCTTGTGACGTGTCACTTCGTCCCTGAACTCCTTGTTTCCCACCTGTGGACAACCAAATACAATAGCAGTGACTGGAACATCATCACCGGAACCGTTCTCAGCTATGTCATAGGCGGCGATCACAGCCTCCGTAGCTCCCAAGCTATGTCCAGTCAACACAATGCTCGGCATCTCGTCCTTGTACTTCAGTAGAAGCTCCTTGATCTTAGCTAGCAACTGTGAGCGTAGACTCAGCCTTGTGAATCTCGATTTCGGGTTATCAGAAGTATAGATTGAGAGCCACCCGAGCATCACTTTAGTCCCCTCTTCGTCTTCACTGTCACTAGCATAAGTACTAGTAGCTCCAGCTACATTAGAACCAGAACCGCTCTTGTCCGGTGCGTGCAGCAAGGGGTCAGCTGAAGTGGGCTTTGCTCCGAAAACATTGATCCACTCGTAGTTCCTACTCGTTCCTCTCATAGCCACGTAGATCTCACGGCGTCCCAAAGCCTTTGTCCGTTCATCGGAAGTAACAGCAATGTAGCCGAACCAGTTAGACTCACGGTCCCAAGAATCTTGTGAGTGAGAGTGTGGAAGCAAACCTTCGGGGAGATCAACAAGAGCTGTAGCGTAGAGGAAGCTAGCAACGTCGTAGTCAGAAGCGGATTCGAGCATGACCTTGTCGAAGAAGGAAGACTTGCCGTAGCGGCTGGCTCCACAGTACTTGGAGTTTTGGTCGTTGACGAAAGCATCGTAAGTCGCTTGACAAAAGTCTCCGCAACGGAGAATGAGTAGGCGAAGTGATTGGTCAAATGGGTCTATGAGTTTGTCCCAATTCTTTGAGCCTAAGAGCTCTTCCCATGGTGTTGTAGCAGCCATTGGAGAGAAATGAATCAATGATTGTGTAGAGAGATAGTAAAGTGATTTTCTTTTCTATTGTGTATATAAGAAAATTGTTTTTTTTTTCATGAACTTTATTTAAGTGGTTGTGATGATTCTCTGATGGTGTGTGACCCACTTAATATCCATGGAGATAAAGGTTATTATTGGTGTGGGAATATTATTGGCATATAGTATCACAAAACTTCTATATCATTCTCAACCATACAAGAAAAATCAACCCAATCAATAGAGAAAAGAAATATTCAACCTCCAAATCAATAGAGACACACAAGGAAAACAGAGTTTTTTGTTTGTTTTTTCTAGTCAAACTCGACGACAGGCATGTCTTCGTCGTCGGGAGTAGCCATGACCCAATCACCGTTCTCGGTCCTGAGCATGCCTTTGTTTTTCTCGACCCACCAACACTCGGGAACCAAACATTCCTCTTTCAATAGTGCGCATGACTTGTTAACCAATGCTACGTTTCGGTTCACTTTTAACTCGAACTTCCCGTTCTTCCCGTTCCATCCCGCTACTACATGTAACATTGCCTACATGTAACAATGTCGCAATTTTATGTGTTTGCGATTATATATGTGAAAACAAATCAATGAAATGTTTCACATTTCTATTTTTATTTTTATCGTTCAAACCCTATGATATAACCATTAATTAAACTACATACTTTTTAATTATTCTGTATAATATTGCTATACAAGCACCCACACAAAAAAAAAAAAAAAAGAAAAAAAACACACAAAAAATCGGAGTCATTTCACTAAGTTGAGTAAGTGATTGGATCATATTTCAAAGTCTTATATGCAAAACAGAATGACTTGCCTGTAAGTTATGCCAATCACCAGGATGATGAGTTTCTTTAAGAAAAGGTGTGACTCTCGTATCGATTTTGAGTTTGGTTCCAATGTTGACGTAGCCCATTATCTTAGCTGGATAGCGAGTGATGAGATCAATTTCGTTTTTCACGTGCAATATCCTCACATTGTTATGTCCGTTGACTCTGTTGGAGAATTCTTTGTTGCCCACTCTCGGAGAACCAAACACAATAGCTGTCACCGGAGGCACGTTGTTGTAGCCGCCTGTGACGTTTTCGGCCAAGTCAAACGCTGCGAGAGTCGCGATAGTTGCACCTAGGCTGTGTCCGGTTAACACTATGCTTGGCTTCTCGTCCTTGTATATCTCTAACAATTCTCTTATCTGTCGTACGTACCAAGTTACCATTTACTCAAATGAAAATATACATACAGTTTACACCATACATATTGATAACTTCAAAGACAATTCTCAAAAATACACCAAATTTTTTTTTGTTCCAAAATTACCATTGCTAGTTTATTTTCCAAAACTACCACAAAATCCTTTTTTCCAAACATACCACAAAACTAAAGTTGACCTTTAAACAATTAAACCTCAACACTTAACCGGTTAATTAACCATAAATCTTCAAGATAAACAACCTTAAAAACTAAACAATAAACCCAAAATACTAAAATAAAATCCAAATAATTTAAATAACAAACCTTAAAATCATTTAGTGTTTTTAGTATTTTTGGAAAATATTATTTAATGGTAGTTTTGGAAGAATAAATCTAGTGATGGTAATTTTAGATTTTGGATCAAAAACTTACTTTAGTGGTATTTTAAGGTATTCCTCTAACTTTAATTAGTGGTATTTCGGATATTTCGTAAAGAAATGGTTATTGTAGAAACGGTAATATATCTGTTTCACTACCCTAGTGAGAAGCTGAGAACGTGCACTCATCTTGGTGAAGGGTGAGTTTGGATTAGCCGTTGTATAAATAGTGAACCATCCAAGCATAACCTCAGGACCATCTCCACCGTCCATCAACAGTTCCTTCACCGAAGTCAACTTCGCTCCCATCACATTAACCCACTCGTAATTCCTCGTCGTCCCTCGAAACACAACGTAGATCTCTCTCCTTCCAATCTCAGCCGTCCGTTCATCAGACGTGACCGCTATATAACCGATCCAATTTGTCTCCCGGTCCCAAGACTCGCGAGACATGGAGCTGAGAAAGAAGGCTTCGTGGTCACTGACACGAGCCGTTGCGTAAAGGAACGCAACGACCTTGTAATGTTTAGCATCGTCGAGCATGACTTTGTGGAAGAAGGATGGCTTGCCGTAACGGCTGGCTCCACAGTAGATGGAGTTTTGGTCGTTGATGAACGTGTCGTAAGTGGCTTGACAGAAGTCACCGGCTCGAAGGATGAGTCCGCGAAGTGAGTGGTCTAGTGGTTCTAGTAGGTTTTGCCAGTTGTCTTGGCCGAGAAGCTCTTCCCATGATGGCTCTACCATTATTGATGATTTGCTTTTTTGTGTTACTGTTTGTAACAAAGTAACTAACGCATTTGAGATTTATATATATCATGTAATCGTGAGAGCCACTTTTTAAATGTATTGGATAATAAACATTTGAACTGATCTTGTATATATATGCCTTAGAATATGCTAGTGTTCACTATGTAACTGGTCCTTACCAATTCTTCAATTTAAATCCAGTTGTTGTTATTAGTCATATATTATTATTTTGAGAACAATTCATGTTTAGGACCTTCTCATTATTGAAATGTGATTAGGACATTGATATTTGATTGCTTTATTTTCTAATTATAAAGTTATAGATAAGGTGCAATGCTATAGAATATGATTAGGACATTCATTAATTTTTGTTATAAAAATATATATATTTAGAGATAAATATAAATGAGCTTTTTCCTGAGACGTTCAAGAGGAAGGGCCCATTGTTATTTTTAGCCCACAAATAGGTAAAGGCCCAATGAAAGTGATACGATATCAACTTATCAGCTAAGCTAAGATGGTCGTCGTCGGTGAAATTTCCCGGTGAACCGAAATTGGTATATCTCCAATGATTCAGGCGTTATTTTGAATCAGATGGTATTTGCATCTTCTGGCGATTTCAGTCTATCGCGACCAACTGTATCCATTCCTCTCACTGGAATTAGCGATTAGCGTAGCTGAGAGCTATGGCTCTGATCGATGTCGCGATATCTTGTCTCAATTCGATCCGCGAAGTAAGTGTGAAGCTCTCATTTCCTTTTTTCCGTTTTTGATCTGTTGCTCCTAAAATCTTGACCTTCACGATTTCATTTTGCTCCTTTTCTGTTTCCTGGGAAATGCTAAGTACCTTTGATGATGAAATTTCGACGTTTGTTTTGCAGATAGAAGAGCATGTAAAAGATGCAATTGTGTATATCGATGCTGGGTGCACAGAAAGTTTCCAACTTGCAGGAGCATTCCCTTTGTTCTTGGAGCTAGGTGCTCGTGCAGTCTGCAGCCTTGAAAACATGACTTCCCTTGATGCGGTAAGCTCGTGAGCTCGTGACTGTGTAGTTTTGGTTTTCACAATCCTGGTTAAGGAAGAGAGGATCAAAATCTAGTGTTTGTAATTGATGATCTAAACAGAGAATGGGGAAGATTTGAGATATTGGAGATGTGACTTTTGATACCTTTTGCTCTAGGTGGCTGATTGGAATTCAAAGTTCGATTGTGCAACTAGAATTGTGATTATGACGTCTCGGCTTCTCAATGATGCTCATCGATATATGCTGCGGTGTCTAAGCACACATGAAGGTGTTCGCAGCTGCACTGTGTTCACCTCTATTTCAGAGGTGCTTATCATAAAATCTTTCTGTTTTCTTGAGTCAGTGAATATTTCTTATCTAATTACTCTATTAATTTGAACTTTTTTTTAATGTACAGGGATCTCACTCAGCCTGCCCTGAATCACCTCTAGGTCCAGACGCGTATCGAGAGTATGAAACATTACTCGTTCAGGATTACAATGAACATACCAAGAAAAGCGACAAAGTACCTAAAGACGAAGGGGTTTCGAAGTTCTCTTCTGCACTTGAATCTCTTACTATGGAACCCATTATAAATGAAAATGTAGATAATTCCTCAGGTGGTGCAGAAGGTTTGGTAGTCTCGGTGCATCACTTCCCCTTGATTATTTGTCCTTTTACACCTAGAGCGTTTGTCTTACCTTCCCAAGGATCAGTCGCTGAAGCGTGTTTGTCCCGTCAACATGAGGATTCTCTTAGTTTTGGGCTGCCTCCCATAAGTACTGGATCTTTGTCTGATACTGATGATGTTCCTCCTGGTGCAACTCTTACCGCACATTTTCTTTACCAGCTGGCTCTTAAGGTAAGCTTAAAATGCAGAAATACAAATGAACTTAGCTCATAATGGATAGATGAAGTATGTGAGCTACAACACTTGTTTGTCAAAATTTGTATTTCTTCTGTTCCTTTTCCGAAGTTTGTGACCATGTCATTGTTTTGAAAAAAATTGTAGATGGAGTTGAAGTTGGAAATATTTTCACTTGGTGATCTATCAAAGAACGTTGGGAAGATTCTGACGGACATGTCAAGTCTTTATGACGTAGGGCGTCGCAAAAGATCTGCCGGCTTGTTACTTGTTGACCGTACTCTTGATCTCATCACTCCCTGCTGTCATGGGGATTCACTTTTCGACCGTATCTTTTCATCTTTGCCTCGGGCAGAAAGATTTTCTTCACAAGCACAGCTTAGACAAGGGCTTCCAAGCATCGATCGTCCTTCTCTTGATGTTCAAGTGCCACTTGGGGAGCTGTTAAATGAAGAACCAAGCAAGATTAGGGATTCTGGTCTTCCTCAAGGAGTTGAAGCTTTTTTACGTGGCTGGGATTCATACACTTCTGATCCACAAAATGTAGGTTTGCTTAATGAGTGTGACAAGAAATCTATCGCCAACTGGACTGAGATACTAAATGGATCTCTCGTCGGCACTGAATGTTTTAGAGGAACGCCTTACTTAGAGGCCATGATTGATAGGAGAACAAAGGATGGAAGTGTACTGGTGAAGAAATGGCTCCAAGAGGCCCTGCGTCGAGAAAACATCTCTGTTAACGTGAGATTTCGTCCCGGTTATGCTACAAAACCGGAGCTCCAGGCCATGATCAGAGCATTGTCCCAAAGCCAGTCGTCTTTGTTGAAAAACAAAGGGATTATTCAGTTAGCAGCAGCCACAGCCGCTGCTCTTGATGAGTCTCAAAGTGCCAAATGGGATGCGTTTAGCAGTGCGGAGATGATGCTAAACGTAAGTGCTGGTGATACGAGTCAAGGTCTGGCTGCTCAAATCAGTGACCTGATCAATAAAAGCGCTGTTGCAGAACTTCAAGCGAAGAAGAGTGAGAAACCAGATACCTCATTACGAGGGCTTCTATCTTTCCGAGACGCCCTGCTTCTTACAATAGTTGGTTACATTCTTGCTGGCGAGAATTTCCCTACATCTGGCTCTGGCGGGCCTTTCTCTTGGCAAGAAGAGCATTTTCTAAAAGAAGCCATTGTCGATGCTGTTCTCGAGAATCCATCAGCAGGAAATCTCAAGTTCCTCAATGGGTTGACAGAAGAGCTTGAAGGCAGATTGAATCGCCTTAAGTCAGAGGACACCAAAGAAACTCCCTCTGATGATCAGTTAGACATTGATGCTCTTGATGATGATCAGTGGGGAAAATGGGGCGAGGAAGAAGAAGACGCTGAGAACAGCAAAGCAGACGAGTCCTATGACGATATGCAGCTGAAACTGGACTTGCGTGATAGAGTAGACAGCTTGTTTAGGTTTCTCCACAAGTTATCTAGTCTAAGAACAAGGAACCTACCATTAAGAGAAGGCTCATTGGCTTCAGAGAGCGGCTTTTCCGGCGATGCTTCTGGAAACAAAGGACTACTCTACAGGCTTATAACAAAAGTGCTGAGCAAAGAGGAGATTCCCGGTTTAGAATACCATTCCTCAACCGTAGGAAGGCTTTTCAAAAGCGGGTTTGGAAGGTTTGGTCTTGGTCAGGTTCGTTAGTCCTCAATACTTTCTTTTTCTCCGCATCCTCCACAAGATAGACATTGTCACATTGGTGTTTGGTATTGCAGGCAAAACCGAGCCTTGCAGACCAGAGTGTCATTCTCGTCTTTGTCATCGGAGGAATCAATGGTCGAGAGGTTAGTTTCTTTACCGTAAAAAGTCGCATTCATTTGGTCTTTTGGGGTTATCTTTGTAACGACTGTCTATGACTCTGTTTCCACCATTGTCAAGGTTTTGGAAGCTCAGGAGGCTGTGTCGGAGAGTGGAAGACCAGATATTGGCCTGCTTATTGGAGGAACGACTCTTCTAACTCCTGACGACATGTTCGAGTTATTGTTGGGACAGTTCAGCCATTTTTGATGTCTTTAATCACAAAACGTTTACTCTCATCGTCTCTGACTCTCTGTTGTTAGCTTGTAAAAAAACAAAAAAACGAAACCATGAAATCTGATCGAATTCTCAATTTACAAAACTATAGTCCATTTCCGAGAGAAAACAAAAGTATCAGGTATTAATTGTGAATAAGAGTTTTTACACTCAGATAATTTATCTTTTTGGCCCCTCATGTTTTGTAGTTATTAGAGAAAAAGCTTTAATTAAGTTGGAAATCAGAAATCCTCTTAAACCCCAAAATCAAACACACTCGAAAAACCTCGCGAGTGAAGAAGTGTGAAACAATGGCAGCAATGAAGCTTCTACTCTCTCAAGCTCGCCGCCAAGGTCTTACCAAATCCATTTCGTCCCCATTTCAACAAATCCCTAGACTCTTCTCTTCCTCCTCATCGTCCGATTCGAATCCTTCCCCGGATTCGAATCCAAACCCGCCGCAAAACGAATCCCGCAAAAAACTCGAGCCGGTGTCGTACGCCGCCAAACCGAAGGATCAGAAATCTCAACCCTCCGATGGCGCTTCTCCTCCACCGTCTTCTACTGCGCCGCTTAATTCTGAATCGGCGAGCCAGGAGGATCGATCGAGCTTGACGCGAGAGGAAATCCGGTATGTGAAAGACGCTCCTTCGATCTCTCCGGTTTCCTACGCCCAGCGTGTGGCCCCGCTTCCGGAGGATCGCGTCGTCGGTGAGGACGAGAGAGAGCGAACTCCGGAGGAGATGGAGATAGAGAGGAAGAGGATCGAAGCAGAGAATCGGGCTAGAAGAAGGTTCTTAAGAGCTAATGCTGTGGAAGAGGATACATCTTCGCTTCCTTTACCAACATTGCTTAAACCGGATTTGAGGCATGGGAAGAAACCTATTTTCGATCTCATGGAGGCCATTAGAGAGATAAAGGTCAGAAATTTTTTTGTTTGTGATGTCAAAAAAGATTATACTTTTGCTTATTTCATACTTAAGGCACTTCAATTGAGTGATAGGTTATGCAAGTTTTGTTTAGTGGTGGTACTGTGAGAGTTGTGGATTCGTATAAATTTGTTAGAGGAATGCATCAATATAAACATGGACTGATTAATTTGAGCATCCTTTGTATTCGTATAGTTTTCGTTCTGATGTTGTTTTTCTTCAATGTTGTAGTCCAATGCCAAGGCCAAATTTGATGAAACTCTTGAGGCGCATGTGAGGTTGGGCATCGAGAAGGGCCGATCTGAGCTGGTATTTGATGCCTTTCTTTTCTCTGGATGTACATTTATATTTTCACTATTCTTGATGAAAAAGTTGTCATTCTTAATTCTTAGCATTGCCACTGGTTACATCTTATCTTTAATTTATGAGAAGAAATGTTTTTTATGTGTAGATTGACTGTTATCACTGTTTAAAATGCAGATAGTTCGTGGTACTTTGGCTCTACCACACTCTGTTAAGAAGGTAAAAAGAAAATGTATTTCTTATCCATGATGAGAATTTCTAATTATGAGCCACTTATGTAATACAAGAAATGATCTGATGCAGGATGTGAAAGTGGCTTTCTTTGCGGAGGGGACTGATGCAGAGGATGCAAAAGCTGCTGGAGCTGATGTTGTTGGTGGTCTTGAGCTTATTGAAGAAATCTTGAGTAATTGATCTTCTTCACCCTTGTCAAATTGTGTTACAATGGTAGGTTTGTGTATTCATTCTAACGTACTTAGAACTCTCTATATGCAGAAAGCGGCAAGATCGACTTTGACAGATGTCTTGCAACTCCGAAAATGATGCCTCGTGTTTACAAGGTTTTTTGGAATTGAGCACTTATCCAAATCTGTTTACAACATGATAAAGATAAAGATGATAGAGATATCTTCTCACTTTAATATGCAAATGGTTTTGTTTGCAGATATCAAGGATTCTTAACAATCACGGTTTGATGCCAAACCCCAAAGTGCGTTTGGATTCTTCACTCAAATTCTTACTCTAAGATGTATCAGTCGCTTAAATTAACAGAACCACCAATATTATGATCTTGTTGTAGCAAGGTAGTGTGACCAAGGATGTTACGAAAGCAGTCAAAGACGCAAAAGCTGGACATACCAAATTCAGAATGGATAAAACTTCTATTCTCCATGTGCCACTTGGAAAGGTGGGTTTACATCATCTCTTCCCAATGACTTACAAAGTTAAAAATCTGAATTTCATTAGCGTTATTCTTACAAAATGAAAGAACACTTTCCCTAAACCAGATGAGCTTTCCTGAGGATGCTTTGCGAGAGAATGTTGGTGCATTTATGAATGCTCTTTTGCTGGCAAAGCCTGCAGGATTGAAAAAGAGTAACAATTTCATACCGAGCCTTTTTAGTTTTTGTGTAGAGAGATATTTGTTTGGTTGTGTCACAGAGTGCTTACTCTTTACTTTGATTTTTTTTCTGCAGCTTCAAAATATGCTGGTTATGTGAATGCATTCCACTTATGCAGTACGGTAAGTGACTAAAATCAAACCCTTTTTAAACAAGAAACATTTTTTTGGATTCCATTTGTAATATAAACAAGTTTTCTAATGGTGTTTTTATGCAGATGGGAAAGGGTTATCCGGTCTCGATACAGTCGTTGTCAAGAGCAGCGGATCTCTATACCAAATTGCAGCTCAAGTGAGCAGAGTATTAAGACAGACTCCAAAAGATTAAAAGGCTGCTGCGTTTCCAAAATGCTGAATCTTTGAAACGTCTAATATGATTTGTTGTTTCCTAGGTGGATGTTAGTCTTTTTTTTATAGCTCAATGGGGTCGAATTTGCTTATGTGTCTCCTTTTGTTTTTGTTGTTTTAAGAGCTAAATAAAAAAACAAAGGGATTTTTTTCCCACCATCGCTTGAGTTGCCCAAAGTTTAGAGAATAGTTTTCCGTTCTTGGCCTGTGGCCTGAGGTGCAGATAGTTGATCTTATTGGTTAAGCGCCTTTTCCAATTTACATGAACAAATAGTGATAAGTGATTAATGAGGCCAAATAACTTGAGAGGAGAAAGAGAGTGACTGAGTTGTGGTGATTGGTGAATATATGACGTTGAAATTTACAACTTAATTTAGAATTCAAAGTAGAGAGATGAAAAAAAGTATGCAAGTTAAAGTAACGAACAAGAAAGTTATATATATGACGAAAAACCAATCAGTAACCAAAATCTTCGTTCTTTTTCAGTTTTTTTTTCGACTTCTCGTTTCCTAAAAGAAAGTAAGAAAAATTGATGGATGTGCTCGAGTGGAGTTTTGAATTCGGTTAACGAAATGATTCCAAATATGGTGATTATTATCACCTTATATATTCAATATCTCTGGAAACTACAACATGTTTTGTGAATACAAGGAAACTAGGAAAACCTGAAAGTGCTCATGTAAAAAGTAGTGTAATTTGAAAAATACATTAGATTGATACAAAATCATCTCGTGTATGTGTTATTTAAAGACAAAAAAACTAAGCAATGGTATATTATTTTTGTGTGTGTTATGGTGGGCAAGCAGTACCAGTAGCGTGACACATGCAACTATGAGTTGTCTGATTTTTAACACGATCCTCATGGTTTGTACATGATGTGCATTTAGCTGGGGTGTTCCCGAATTGGGCAGCTTTGAGGCACATTTCTTTCCAGTTAGTACCACATTTTCCAGGTCCAACAATGCGTGGTCTTGTACAAGCTTCCACCTCTATATTCGTATTTTAACCAGGAAAATTAGTACATTTATATATGGGATCAAATATTATAGCATAAACAAAACTAGTAATAAAAAATATTCCAAAATGAGAATATATACCTTTATCATTGTTCATAACGAAGAACATCAACACACAATATATCACTAACAGAGTAGTAGGCTTCATGATTTTTAAAAACAAAAGTTGTCAGTGTTGTTTACAGAAACTTTTTGTAGTTAAAATTTCAGTAATTTTTGTTGTAATATATATACACAACGTACACTAAAAATAGGTTTTTGATTCGGAAAAGTTCACTAAAAAAAAAAGCTAAAAGTAGTGATCGGTGGCGCAAAATTTACGTGATCGAGATGATATGTGATTTATTTATTTTGTTAAGACACTAACATTTATAATAGTTTTTTTTTCTATTAAAATGCCAATACCGAACCAGTATTGCTATGCTCACACAGGACCTAAGAGGCGAAGCTAGGCTAATACCACAGTGAGGTATATATGTGCAAAACCTTTCTTCATGAACGGATGTAAGTGCTCATAGAGCCAATATGAAGGCTTTAGTATCTATAAATTTAAAGGTGCAAGATAACATAACACATTTAATAGTGAATCATTTCGATTGGCGTAGACCTAACTCGTATCCAAAGTTGGGATATGCAACGTGCTTGAGCGTGGTGTTGTAATTAGTCAGGGTGATTGACTAGTAATTTAGAGAAATCTGGAGAAAAAAAAGGCTCAATTTTCTAAAATTATAAATGAGTTTATGTTTCGTGATTAGCTCCTCTCAGTTTTGTTTAACCTTACTCTCAATTTTGTTTAACCTTATCTGGATCTTATGTATTAACTTATCGATCTATAAGAGTGAAAAAACAAGAATTCCATTTTTTTTAGAATGACTCCTTAGATATATGTATTTGAAAGTTTGAGAAAATTTTGTCTCCTTTTATTTTTGTTGTTTTAAGAGCTAAATAAAAAACAAAGGGATTTTTTTTCCCACCATCGCTTGAGATGCCCAAAGTTTAGAGAATAATTTTCCGTTCTTGGCCTGAGGTGCAGATAGTTGATCTTATTGGTTAAGCGCCTTTTCCAATTTACATGAACAATTTATGAGGCCAAATAACTTGAGAAAGAAGAAAGAGAGTGATTGAAATTTACAACTTAATTAATTTAGAATTCAAAGTAGAGAAGATGATGATGCATATTGCGTATAAATATCCAGAGAGATGAAAAAAAAAATATGCAAGTTAAACTTGTCCATATATAGTTTTAGAAGTCAGACGTTGAGTAACGAACAAGAAAGTTATATATATATATATATATGACGAAAAACCAACCAGTAAGTTGTGAATACAAGGAAATAGGAAAACCTGAAAGTGCTCATGTAAAAGGCAGTGTAATTTGGAAAATACATTAGATTGATACAAAATCATCTCGTGTATGTGTTATTCAAAGACCAAAAAAAGATATATTATTTTTTTGTGTTATGGACCTATGGTGGTGGGCATTTAGTAACGTGACAGTCGCAAGTATGAGTTGTCCCAAGCTTACGATTCTCATTGTTTGTACATGATGTGCATACAGCTGGCCACGTGATTTGGTAAGCTTTGAGGCACGTTTCTTTCCAGTTAGCAGGACATTTTCCATATCCACCAAAGGATCCTCCTGTACAAGCTTCCACCTCTACTTTCGTATTTTAACTAGGAAAATTTGTACAATTATATATGGGATCAAAAATGATAGAATAGCCAAAAATAGTATAATTAAAAAATAAAATCAAAATGAGAATACTATACCTTTATCACTGTTCATAACGAAGAACATCAACACACAGTATATCACTAACAGAGTAGTAGGCTTCATGGTTTTTAAAAACAAAAACTGTCAATGTTATAGTGTTTACAGAAACTTTTTGTAGTTAAAATTTCAGTACTTTTTGTTGTAATATATATACACAAGGTACACTTAAAATAGGGTTTTGATTTGGAAAAATTTACTGAAAAACAAAAAAACGCCAAAAGTAGTAAGTGGTGCCGCGTAGTTTACTTGATCGAGATGAAATGATATATGGTCAGGGTTGGCCCTGAAAATTAGGGGTCTATAAATAATTTAGTGTGATTTTAAAAATTTGGGGGCCAAAACTCATGTAAAATTTGGGGGCCAAAACTCATGTAAAAATCACTCTAAAAAAGTGGGAGCCAAAACAAAAGTTTCGGCACAGCCCATAGGGCCGGTCCTGTATGTGGTTTATTTATTTTATTTTGTTAAGACACTAATATTTATAATTGTTTTTTTTATTGAAATGCCAAGACCGACCGGTGTATAAGTGCAAAACGTGCCTTTCTTCATGAACCAATGTAAGTGCTTACAGAGCTAATATGAAGGTACCATGGTGCTTATGAGCGAACACCAAACGCTGCAAGATAACAGAACACATTTAATACTGAGTCATTTCGATTGGCGTAGACTTAACTGAACTCGTATCCAAAGTTAGGATATGCAACATGCTTGAGTGTGGTGTTGCAATCTGGAGGAAAAAAAAAAGACTCAATTTTTAAGTTATAAATGAGTTTATGTTTGGTGATTTTGAGAGTGACAGGGGTTGATATAAATTTTTGAAAACTCTCACTCTCAGTTTTGTTTAACCTTATCTGGATCTTATGTATTAACTTATCTATCTATAAGAGTGAAAAAACAAGAATTCCAATTTTTTTAGAATGACTCCTTGGATATATGTATTTTCAAGTATGAGAAAATTTTGGCGAGTAGTTGAAGCGTGAAGATACATATTGATCCACTAGGTGACACGTGCCACCTTCGGTTAAGCACGCTTTCGCCGATTGCCGCTACATTCATCTCCGATTCCAAATAACCTTCCGTGGTTCTTATCCTGCCACGTCATCACTCCACCCTCGTACGCCTTGAGTTAATTCTTCACAGAAATATATTAATTCAAAAATATCGAATGAAATTGAAATTACATTGACGAGAGATCTTTTGCCTCTTGGCCTAGTGATCGGATCGGATCGGATCGGAGCTTTTTGAGGTTCTCCTTCAATGGCGCAGCTACTTTCCCCTGTTTGTACGGATCTTCTCAAGTTCCAGAACTCACTTCTCAGCTCCAGATCAAGCGCGTCGCGTTTCTCGGCGAAGACTAGCGGTGCTTCGCCTTGGTGCTTGCCTGCGTCCGCCGGAAGGAGGCGAAGCGGCGCCATCGGAAGGCTGAGAGTCGCTACTGAGGATGCTTCTTCTCTTTCCACCGGTGATGTCGCCGATGATTACTATGCCGTTCTCGGACTGGTACCAACCAAATCCGATTCGATAAATCGCATTCGGGAGATTTTGGAAGTGATGATTTTCAATTCGAATTTTTTTTGTTGTTGTTTTTGCTATGTAAAATAGCTTCCAGATGCGACGCAGGAGGAGATTAAGAAAGCTTACTATAACTGTATGAAATCTTGCCATCCGGATTTGAGTGGCAACGACCCAGAAACCACGAATTTCTGCATGTTCATCAACGACATCTACTCGGTGAGTTTTTATTTTTATTTTTTTTGCTCACTTGATTTCGTCTCCCTTTACCGATTACCGTTGAATTCTGCAGATTCTGAGTGACCCTGTACAGCGTATGGTTTACGATGAAATCCATGGGTATACAGTGACTGCCATCAATCCTTTTCTTGACGACTCCACCCCAAAAGATCATGTTTTTGTTGACGAGTTTGCTTGTATTGGTATATATGTCTTGAGTTTCATTTGGGGCCGAGTGCAAACTTTGGTTATCTCGAAAGTGACTCGTTTTGTTGGTTAACAGGCTGCAAGAATTGTGCCAATGTGGCTCCGGATATATTCAAGATTGAGGAAGACTTTGGAAGAGCAAGGGCCTGTAACCAGAGTGGCAACCCAGATTTACTTCAGCAAGCAGTTGAAACGTGGTAAAAGCTTATTTATAATCTGTAGATGCTGCTTGTGATTGTTGTAGGTAGGGAATTTCAGAAAACTAATAACTCTCCTTTTTTAAAAATTTCCAGCCCGGTTGATTGTATCTATAAGACGTCGGCTGCACAGTTGTCATTGCTTGAAGACGAAATGCGTCGTGTTGAAAGAGTCAATGTAAACAACACATAGCAGTTGCATAGGTTTCTTGGATTGTAGTTTGCTACTAAAATTCATGCATTAATCTCTTTGGCATTGTCATTGATGGGATCAGGTTGCTCTGATGCTTTCTGGAATGGGGTCAGGAGCTGTTGATGTTTTCAGAATGGTAAGAAGGAAGTGAAAACCAAACGCTCTGTAGCTGATAAATAGCTGAAATGTTGCTAGTACTCTTTAGTCTTGTTATGGCCCCATGATCAATCTTTGAATCCATTACAGGCGAGATCTCGATGGGAAAAGAGGCAAGCAAAAGTTTTGGTATGAACCAATTATCATCATCACCTTTTGAAATCCTTGTGAAACTGTTTGAAACATGACATCACCTCGTGCTTTACCTTACCTATGTTGTCAGAATCAAGCTAGAAGTAGAATGATGAAGAGGAAAAGCACAGACGAAACACCTTCTTATTGGGATAACCTCTGGGGCAAAGAGAACCAATACCAGAAAAGCGGTAAGATTAATGATTGATTAAACTCTCCTCCTCCTCTTCCTCTTTAGCCAGTGACTGATGATACTAAATTTGGATGTCTGTGACAGAGGAAGAAGTACAAGAACGAGCACAGCGAGCCGCCGCAGCAGCAAGAAGATGGAGAGAATACTCACGAAGAGGCGTCGATAAGCGGCCAACCTTCAAACTCCCTGACTCTGCCTCCAGAGGAGACAACTGAAAAAAACTCATGAATCATATAATGGTCGCATATAGTTACTTAATAACTTCATTTGGTACGGAAAGTGTATAGCTTTCTTCTTTCTCACGTCGATTTGAGGAAGAAAAAACTTAAGTGTATAAAAACGTTCACGATTTTATGTATATATAAGCTTCCAACGCCTAGATTTAAGATTTAACATTGAAGTCAGTAGGCTTCGCTGTTATGTACAGTAATTACTACTACCAAAATCTTAAGCAATAGAAAGATCTAGATTAGATAAATGTTACTTATACCTTATAGAATTCCTAATGATTGTAAAGATTATCAATGACACTGAATGCCTAATTGCGGAAATTATAATACTCCCTCCGTTTCAAATTAGTTGTCGTTTTGGCAAAATGTATCTGCAAATATTTGGACATATCTACAATGCAAAACACATCCAGATACGTCTAAATATTTACAGATTCATTTTGCCAAAACGACAACTAATTTGAAACGGAGGGAGTAATATTTAGACAAGATGATTGGCCAACCACTTTAATGGTAGATTCTCTTCTCCCGAAAACGACGTTTTTATTCTCTTTGTCAATTTGTCATCTTTAACTTTTGTGAAGAGAGTCATTTTAATTATAATGAATGTCAAACCAAGAACAATCAAAGCTTATAGAAACACAAATGATGGCAAATATTTAGTATCCAAAGCTTTTGTGTAAACATCATCGAATAGTGGAAGCCACTGCATGAGCCCAATGTTTGAGATGATCTTTCAACTCTACTTCGTTAATCGCCGGAGCTCTCCACTTTATCTCCGGCGTGATTTGTCTCTTCCCTTTTCTTCCTCCACAAGCATCCCATGCTTCCGACAAGTAGGGTCTCGCTGCTCTGTTTTCCTCTGTCACTTCCGGATCTTTCTTCACCAATCTCTGCAATCCAGGAAGAATAGAAACCAGGTTTGAGTCTTGTTGGTCTTCCTCGGAGAAGACAAAACCCAGATCCATAAACCCTTTAAGCTCTTCGTACTCCAGATCCGACATACTCTTTCCTCTTCTTGTTCTTACATTTCTCTGCTTCTTTCTCCTCTCTTCTTCCTTCTCCGACTTTTTAGAGAGTACTCTCTCTCTTTCCGCAGTCGAGAACTCGTTCACTTCTTTCCCTGAGAGAATCGTCTGAAGCTTCACCGGCGATGATTTAACGTTTAAAACAGATCTAGGAGACAAGAAAAGATCGTCTGACGAAGAAACAAACAAGCTTGTCTTTGAACTACTTGTCATCATCGTCTCATCACTCATAGCTCTCTCCACAAGAAAGCTCACCGGAGATTTCTTCACAGCTTCTTCTTCTTGTATTTTCTCTCGGTTGAGATTCAAAAGATCTTTGCTTTTCTTGAAGATTGGTCTCTCCGACCAGTTTTGCTCGAACAGTTTCAACAACTCCTCTTCTTCAACCATTTTTTAAAAATGTCTTTTTATTCTTACTTTCTTTTGTGTGTTTGGAGGATATGATGAGTGTTGATAAATGGGGTTTAGTTAGGTATTTAAGCCTTGTAATTAGCTATGTTGTAATTACCTTACTACCCTTAGCTTTGAATAATTACGTGTGGACCGGCTCTGTTCGTCAACACACTAAACACACTACTTAACAGTAACAGTCTCTATCCGTTACACAATTCGATTTGGTAATAAATAATATATTTTCATTTGATCCACATTGCGTACACACTACACGTCTACACATTAAAGTCCATGATGTATTCAAATTAAAGTAAATATTTTCGTTTATCATATTTTTTTGTACATGTATTTAATTCTGGCTCTTCGAAGGTTCGAATATCTTTTGATGCGTGTGACGCGGGAGGGGAGCGTGACAAAAGGAGTTGTGAATAGTCAAAAGACTCAAAACAAATAAAAACACAAAACTCATTATAATAATTGGCAACTTTTTTCATATTTAACATGTGTGGTAAGACATTTCCATCTTATACCTAAAAGTGACCAACCTCTCACCTTATACTGTAGTTTCAAATCTCAATCACGAAACCAAACAAAAATAAAGAATTGTTGATTAGTCTTTTACGTAAAACTCGACACGGATTGAACATTTTGAAGAAAACAAGCATCCATGATGAATAATTAAATTATGATCTATGTTCCATCAAAAGAACAAAAAAGGAAAAGCTGAAAAACAAAAAAGAAATGAATTTCTTATTCAATACGCAAGCTAAAAAATGAAGAGAGCATTCCCCAAATAACGAGGCCATAGTATTCCACTGTATTATTCTAAGTTCAACAATAAAATAATGTTTGAGCACAAACAAAAAATAACCCAAAAAAGACCTTAGACCTTAACACTAACAGAAAAACTTAACCTAATTAAACTATCTATCAAAACTAACCTAATTTCCCAAAGACCTACCTTCTCCTCGAAGCAAAACGAGCGCAAGACAAAGTTTTTGCTGAGACCTAAAGGACCAAAGCTGAAAGTCATTGCCTTCTCTAAGACTATTAGTTTTGACCACATAGTTCCACTTATACCCCAACCAATACGACGAACTTGGGTTCCCTCTCTTCCCCTTATTCGTCTCTCTCTTCTCCATAACAACTCTTCTTAGCTTCAGCTCCCATACTCGTAACCTAGGATCGATCACTTGCACAGTCAAACCTCTGCCTTCTCTACCCTCTTTCACTAGGTTTTCTGCCTTTTCCTTTTCATCAGACGTCAGAAAACTGTGGCTCAAGAGCTCACTCATGGGAATGGATAAACGTGAGGCACCTTTATCCACATCTGACTTAGTCAACTTTCTCTTGAATATTAGTCTCTCTTCTGTGCCTCTCATCTCCATTATCTTGTTCTTAAACCTCTCCGGCAGCTCTTCTACTTGTTGCTGTGGCGGACGGAGAGAAGGTCGTTTTCTTAAAGGCATTAGCTCTTCTTCTACGCCATTCTCTCTCTTTGCCATTGTTTTTGTGATAATCATTGACACAGAACATATTGTCAAGAGTTTTTATAGCTCAATGTCTTTTTGTCTCCTAATTTTTTTTATGCTGATTTAATTTGCCTTGATCCAAGTACATATATTCTGAGAATCGATATTTGTGGATGTATGTATATCTGTTCCAAAAACACTAATTTATTGTGCTTATCAGAAACTATTTTGTTTATTTTTGTTGTGCGAAAAACTATTGATTTTTTTTTTATAATAAAATATTAGTTGATGACAAAAAGACATCAACTACTTCAGGAGGATCTTCACTGTAAAAATCAAGAGAGAGAGGTACAAGTGTCTGTCCTTGAACAACAATAAATTCTTCAAACAATCTGAAATAAAACTATCTTTCTCTTGAAAACAGTTCAGAACCAGAGAAAGTTTACATAGATTTTAAACTGCTTCTTGATGAGTTTCCGCTTCAAGACGACTAGAGCCGAAGTTGAAACGGTGGAGAAAGAGCAGCGAGATTGGCTTTACTTTAGTATTGAAAGAAGCCGAAGATAATCATTTGTATCTATCTACTTGCTCATAGCTGAAGATAAGTAGAAGTTCCAAAACACCGAACCCATGGACATGAAAGCTACTCGAGCTTGAAGCGGGACCACCCTGTAAATTCAATGTAGAATGCCAAATTCAGACTATACACACACACTCACTGATTTTACATGAGAAGAAGAGAGAAAGAGAGAGAGAGACATACGAGAAGTTCAGAATGCTAACGGGAATCCAGAAGCGAAATCCTGCAGTCATCCCAAGAACCAATAAGTACATTAAAAAGTTAAAAAGTTCAACTCTGTTTATAATTGTGTCTTACCATAGAGAAGCGTTGGAAGAGCATCTTTCTGATACTTGTTTCCAAGCTCAGAGAGCTTTCCCAGCCATAAGTTGTTCCAAGCAAATATAACACCGATCACAATTGGACCGAGGACTACTTGGTTAAGCAGAACCTGTAAAAAAAGGATACCGGTAAATGCAAATTAAAAAACTCCATCACAACATGTTCTTAAAAGTAAAAGATGGCTCTAGAGATAACAACAGTTACCTTAAGCACAAGATTCGTAGCGGTTGGTTTTGGCAAAGAATAGTCAAGGTATTGATACCATGCATAAGAACCAGGTCCATACAATAATAATCCGTAAGAACTCATCCTCAGTGCACGCACCCAATCATGTTCTGCCAAAATGCTCCACCATTCCTCCTAAAAGTGAAAGATCCAATTTAAGTCAAACCAAGTTTTCACCATATGTAAAAGACTCATTTTTTTTGCAAGAAGATCATATATCAAATTGTCACTACTCACTACTCATCACACCAACATTTGGCTATGCAAAGATTCAAAATTTTCTAAGATACTGTCACTACTCACTAATCAAACATCACCACCGACATTTTTGGTTATGCAAATTTAAATCAGAGTAGGAACTTGATTCATGTATAGTCAAACATTCACTAAAAAGCTCTAAAATTTCAAATCTTTATCACTCGGAAAATCACCGACACAGAAAGGAAATATCTTTTGAGGCGAAACCTCGTCAAGTTTATCAGAAGCTGAATGTTGAAGAGCAGCTCTCTTCTTATTCCACCGTCCAGATATCTGGGCAATCGTGTCGCCGGTGAAGGTGAGTGCGCCGGCGGTCACAGCTTGCTTTAACGGAAACCGATAACCGGCGTCTTTGCTCACATTGACCGAATCCGACGATCCAGAGTTCCTTTGCTTTCCTCTGTCGCCGGAAGAGTTCTTCTTCTTCTTCCTCCGTTGATCGAACCCATTCCATCCCCAGAATCCGCCGGCGCCGCCGAATCCACCCAATGCGTCCATTAAAAATGATTCCTTTTCGTCGAAAAACAGAGTTTCCCCCAAATCCTTAAAACGCAATCAGTCCTGCCATTTGTTTTATCGGTTTGATTTAGTGAAATTCGATTTGATTAAGCGATAATTTGTGGTTCGGTTTGGATTCGGTTTGAGCTGTAAAACGACGACGTCACGTGAAACCAGTTTGCACCAATGAAATAGGCGCGCGTATATATAAGCTTGTTAGGACCCACAATCGTCGTTTTAAAAAAGCGCGTTTAGAAGAACCGCGTTATCTCGATTTTATTTGCTTGAGGAAAAAAAAAAAACTCAATGGATCTTTAAACCAAACAAAAAAAAACTCCGGCGACTGCTTATCGGGGAAGAGGACAGGTTTCTTCGATCTCCGAGGAAACTCTTTGGACCTTTTTTCCGTCGTGGGTCAGACTTCGATTCGTCTCTCTATTCAATTTATAGTGGTAAAACTTCTCCTTTTGCGTCTACTGTTTTCGATTTGGAATTTGGATTGTTTCAAAATCGTGAATTCGAATTGGGGATTTTGATCGATTGTTCAGTTTCCTATGATACTGGATTTCGATCGCACTAGCTCATTTTACGAAGACCTGTTTTTTCTTCTTCTTATGAAGTTTCTCTTCACCGTGTCTCCTTGTGATATCAAATTGAAAGTGTTTTTCTTTTGTGATTTAGGATTTGGCATCTTGAAAGAGAAGCTGCGATGTCGTCGTTTGAGGGGCTTTCGAAGAAACCACTTTCGCTTGTTGATCTTTGCGTTAGGACTGCGATTGATAACGTGCGGTACATTGGATATGTTGGTGGGGTTGATTTTCACCTCCTGGATCAGATTATGCAACATTGTACACTAGAGCAGCTGATGCATATAGAGGATTGTACTCAAGTAAGGAGATTTTCTCTCACCATGTTCGCTGTGAATCTTTTGTATGTTTTGACACTGAAAAATTATGTTTTGTTTTGCTAGGACACTGATCTTAGTCCAGTCACCAATAAATACTGGAAGAGATTCTGTGTGAAGCAGTTTGGTCCAAAGGCAGATGCTTTGAATGTTATTGTGGACGAAGATTTCAAGTGGAGAGAGTTATATGAGGTTGGTTTTTGTTTCTTCACTTGTTGATGTTATTGCTTATAGAAGCGTTGAGATGCTTATGCAATGTGTTTGCATGCAGGCAAAGTTGAAAGAAGTGGAAGAAGATGAGAAGTTAGTTATTGATAAACTCAAGGAACGTTACAAGGCTGAAGACGAAAGTACGATCTCTGCAAATCTTATTCCTTTTTATTTATTGACCATTTGATCCATCATGAGAAGATCCATGTTCTTAACCTTAATCTATGCTTCTTTAAATTCAGGGAAACAAAGTCGACAAACTAAGCTCTGCTCAAAAACGCCTCCAATGAAAAAACCCTTTTGGGGTAATATTTCTTTTGCATCATCTGGTCGAATCTTGCCAAATTATTATACAGATTTTCTCCCTTGTGACTTTTGTACTCAGATGGTTTTTTATGGCATGATTTGTTTGCAGGTAATAGTGGATCAAGTTACAATCTTTCAAACGTCAAGAGCAATATCATGAAGAAGGCAAAATTAGATCTTTATAAGAGGTAACCAAATCTTCACCTCGAATTGTACAATCACAAGTCTTATCGAAGTGAAACTTTCCATTTCATTTAGGTATTAACCCTTTTCGTATGATATTGACTACAGTCATGAAGTGAAAAATCTCACTGCAATTAAAAGGAACACGATTCAGAAGAGTTTCAGGTAACAAAATCTGACTCGGTCCATCTCTCTCTACATTTCGTTATCCTCCGTACCATTGATCGTTCTCTAACTCTGTATCGTATAGTATCTCTGCTCCAACGAGGACCGGCGTATCCGCGAACGTGCCTTCAACTTCAAGAAGCAACAGTTTTGCGCAAGAAGTGAAAAATCTTACTCCTGTTAAAAGGAACACGATTCCTCCCAAGGGTTTCAGGTAACAAAATCTGACTCGGGCTATTCCTATGACTCTATCTATCGGTCCACATTATTTATCCTCTGGAGTCTAAACCAAACCATTTATCGGTTCTCTGTATTGTCTAGTATTTCTGCTCCCAGAAGGACTGGCTTGTCCACGAACGTGCCTTCAACTTCAAGAAGCATCTCTAATGGTGAAAGAAATCCACCGCCAAAGAGGGTCAACAGCCTTCAAGGGACTCCTCCTTCAACTTCAAGAAGCAACTCTACTGGTGAAAGAACTCTACCGCCAAAGAGAGTCAACAGCTTTCAGGGGACTTCTCCTCCTTCAACTTCAAGAAGCAACTCTAGTGGTGAAAGAAATCAACCGCCAAAGAGGGTCAACAGCCTTCAAGGGACTCCTCCTTCAACTTCAAGAAGCAACTCTACTGGTGAAAGAACTCTACCGCCAAAGAGAGTCAACAGCTTTCAGGGGACTTCTCCTCCTTCAACTTCAAGAAGCAACTCTAGTGGTGAAAGAAATCAACCGCCAAAGAGGGTCAACAGCCTTCAAGGGACTCCTCCTTCAACTTCAAGAAATGCAGCCACAAAACGAAAACATTTAGTGTAACTTTCAAGATTTTTGTATACATCATATTCCTTCAAGTGTGTCATTTACATGGCTGCTTCAAGTTTCAAGAACTCGGAATCTCGAAACTTTGTCGCTTGATGATATCCACCTTTGTAACAATAGATCTTCAAAGTTTCTGCAATGACTTAATAAAGTCGTTTGATTTTCTTGAAGTTCTGTTGCTTTGATCGAGAAGTCTCACAACTTACGACTCTGATGGAGATATGAGAACTAAAGAAACTAAGAACATTGTCTTTGGGATGATAACATATGATAAACACATTCTGATAAAATCAAGTAAGGTCAACGTTGTTCCCAAAGAGATTTTGATCCACCATCAATTTAGGAGAACCACTCATACTGTGAATACAAAAAGAGAAATCTTAACTTAAAGTTTGATCAAATCAAGACTGGAGCAAGAGAAGCCAATCTCTTTTATTCTTTGCGGTATGGTGTGCATTGTATGGACTATGGACCTAAAAGGGTGCAAGGTTAAACCGAAGATCCAGCCAAACGTCTTCTTGATGCATTTGAAGTTGAGACTGGACCCATTTTGTCCGACTCCTTGGACTCATCCGCCACCATTCTCTCTCTCACCGGTGTGTAATGCCTCAGCCACACGCCGGTGTACACCTGCACACACACACAATCAAATATCCGTGAACAATCCAAGTTTCAAACTGATCAAATTAAACAAACATCTTTCTCTGCAAAAGATGTGAACTATTCTTGGAAAGAGAGTAAATAAAACCTGTTGTGGTCTCATGATCTTGGTGTCAGGATCATCCAACGACTCTTTCCAATGAGACAAGTATCCAGCCATCCGAGGAATCGCGAATAAGACCGTGAAGAACTCTGGTGGAAATCCCATTGCCCTATTTCCAATGGTCCAGGTTTTGCAGATTTAGATTGAAGTTGTTGAGAGGAAGTGATGAAACACCGAACATGTATGTATTCAAAGTTTATACCTGTATATTAATCCAGAGTAGAAATCAACATTTGGATAAAGCTTTCTCTTAACAAAGTAATCATCAGAGAGAGCTGCCTTCTCCAGAGCAACAGCTACCTGAAGACCATATCAGAATCATATTATTACCAAATATATTCGTGTATTTTTAGAATAAGATTAAACAATGCGGACATAGAGTACCTCGATTAGAGGATCTCTTCCAACAATGGAGAACACTTCATCGGCTAGCTTTTTGATGACTTTAGCTCGTGGATCATAGTTTTTGTACACACGGTGTCCGAAACCAGACATCTTTCTCTTCCTAAAATGTCAAAAGAGATGAGAATATTCATGGAAAACGGATGCATAATCGTTTCACACAATGAGTTTACCTGTTCTTCACACCATCGATGAAGTCTGGAATATTTTCAACAGTCCCAATCTCTGATAACATTTTAAGCACAGCCTAACAGAATCAAAAGACAAAAAATTTCAGAGACCACATGGAAACATAACAGATGAATTACAGGAGAATAAATATAGCACACCTCGTTTGCACCACCATGAAGAGGACCGTAAAGCGCTCCCACAGCTCCAGCAACAGCAGTGTAGACATCAACACCACTACAAAAAGACATCTCTTAATCTATACATATATTTATCAAGGTGGACTAAGTTTCAAACCAAGGAGGTACATACCTAGAGGCAAGATGCCGAGCAGCAGCAGTGGAACAGTTCATTTCATGCTCAGCATGCAGAATAAAGAGGATGTCCAACACCCGAGCCAGCCGAGGATTAGGTTTGTATGATCTATTCCCCCTGTGAGAAGCAGAAGATAAACGAGTTAATGGCACACGCTACATACGCAGTCTAAATACTAAGCTTCGTTTCCAGTGCAATGCATAAACTCTTAAAGAGATTAGAGACATACAGAGAATCAAGCATGTAGAGGAAATTTTCTGCGTAAGAAAGGTTGGCTGAAGGAAGAACGGGAGGCCTCCCTGCCATCCTCAGATAAGCAGCTGCTGCAATAGTCGGTGCCTGCAAACACACATTTGATTCAGTCCAAATATCTGTATTTCCATGTCTTAAGATAAAATCACAGAAAATGGGAAGGAGTAAGTGGTAACAAGCGATTAAAAACTGAGACTACCTTTCCAATAATGCGAACAATTTGTTTATCTCTAACTTGTTTTGAATCGTAAATATCCTGGCCCTGCAACCAAACAGAGTAGTATTAGCTCTTTACAGTGAGTGTGAGTAAAAAGGCCTGACACGTTATTAGTTAAAACATATATATAATCTTAAAACTTACCCTAAGAGCAGGATTTGCATCAGGATGAAAGATGGACAGTGCGCTCATTGCACTCACAAGAACTCCCATTGGATGTGCATCGTGAGGCATCGACTGTATAATATCCTGCACGACAGTTAATCAAGTAACTCGGATTTAGAAGATACGAGAAACATTTTGCTTGATAGCTTTGAATAACGCACACTCATAATAACGACATGCATCAAATGTCTTGACAATCATAGGTTATAATAAAGTTCTGTTTTGGTTTTGGAACGAGGACTAGAGAGACTCACTAAGACTCCTTGTGGCACAGCTGAATGCTGAGAAACTGCAAACTCCCAATCAGACAGCTGACTTTCAGACGGCAGATTCCCATACACTGCCAATAGCCAAACAGATTAAAACCAAAAAACTGAACAATTTTCAGACAAGAAAATCCAACATAAATCCAATAACTTACTGAGAAGATAAGCGACCTCAAGAAAAGTGCTGTTCTCAGCCATTTCCTCTATTGGATACCCACGATAACGGAGGATCCCTTCATCTCCGTCAATGTAAGATATCGACGAACGGACAGGAGCCGTGTTCAAGTAACCTGGATCGTATAGTTTAAGCCCCTTGTCCTCCTTCCCTGTCGCTATCTACAGGCCACACACACAACAAACCAAATCTCAGATCGAACTAAAATCAACTACTTGTCCATTACGTAATATGCTCATCAAAACCCATTTCTACACTGTTCCAATCAGAATTCGAGATACCTTCTTGAGATCAACAGCTTTAACGGTACCATCGTCTGAGACCGGAATCTGATACTTTTTTCCGGTGCGTTCGTCGACGATCGTCAGTGATCCCTTCAAGGATCCATGCGGCGCGGCGCTGATATCCGCCGACGTGGACCATCGCTCGATCGCCGGAGATCTCTGTCCCGATTCGACGGGATTACCGGCTTCCAAATGCGCCGAGAGAACAGCCAATCGAGCTCTAACTCTCTCCGGTAACTCCATTTTCAACAGAAAAAAAAACAATTTATAGAGAAACAAAAACGAAAATTTGCAGAATTCAAAGAAGGATGAAGAAGAAAGGGAGCAAAGAAAGAAATTATACGTAACTAGTGAACTATTCGCGATATTACACGTGTTTATATAATCTTCGGACATGAGTGTTTGACTAGTGTCCACGTGTATGACATCCAACGGATATCATTTATATCAACGGCCATAAAGGACTTGCGGAAGTAGGACTGACCCCAACTAACGATAATTATCTTCTACATCTGTCAGGATTATCTGGGACCCACATATCCAAATTTCCCATCTTTGAACTTAACCTACTCTAGGTGACACGAGAGTAAAGTATACTCACTCTACAAGTGGGACACGTGTTCATCAGCTACATGCGCGTGGTCTTCATGCGCTTAACTAACGAGTAGAGAAGTCGAATGCTTTCCTCGATTTGCTAAATATCATCATATAATGTGGGCTTCTGCTTCCGGCCCAACGGTATATGGCCTCTCTCATGGGCTTTATTTTTTGTTCGAACAAGGTAACACTATGAGACTATGATTATAATGCTGTGTTGAAAAAGACAGTCTATGATTTTGTGGACGATTTCTTTTACAAATTATACTTATCGAAGCAATGGGAAATAACGTTTATAAATTACTCTTTTATAGTGCATTACGTTATGTATTAATCGTGTAAGTTTATATGGAAAATAAGTCTAATGACGTTCTTTTTTTTTTTCAAAGTCTAATGACGTTCAAGAACAACAAAAAGGGAGACCATGAGAGTGATAGGTCTAATAAATGTGATGTTAAAAGCGACATGTCGTATAGTTTCACTCGTACCTAAAAATAGAATTCTAAGTTCTCCACGTGAGGCTCTGAATATGAGAGTGATAGATACTATAAAATATTTTATATTTCTTTCAATCCTTCCGTTTTCAACAAAATTCATGAAACAACATGATATTATTATATACAAATATTTATACTGCATATTAAAAAGAGAAATTGTAGCTGTTAGTACGCAATGATGTCTTTCATGCATAACTTTTGTTTACACGTCTAGAAGATTTATTCTTAATTTGTATTCGGAACAAAAACAATTTTTAACCAACCAAAGCCATAGTAGTAGTTGTTAAAATAAAAGAGCAAGAAAGTACGTGAAAATGGATTTTGCTAAAATATAGTATAAACAAAGTTTTTTCACATTTTTAAGAATTTCACCTCAAAAATAACAAATAGAGAAATGTGTGTAGAGTGGCAAAGGAAAGGCCAATTTTTGCAGGAAGAAAGCATGAGAAAGAGTAGTTGGATTTAGACAGATGACTGACAATTTATATTTTTTTATAGTTTTCTCCTATTTATGGTGCTTTCGGTTATTATCATGTTTAAGTTTAAATACATTTAACCTATCATTAGTCACATCAGAATCAGATGATTCACGTACCAGAATTTGTTCTCTCATCATTCGTCTCTTTTTTTACTAGATACGAATCCTACGATCACGCGAGGTCCTCTCACGTTAAACGCTATATGACGCATGGTCGTATGTTGATCTATCTGGTACATTCAAACAAGAAAATGTTTAATCTTTAATTTGTTATGCATATACACCAAGAAAAAGCCGTATATATATTCTACAATATAGAGGTAAGTAATATTTCTACTAAAATTTAAAATCTTTTTCCTAGATCAATTGTATGGTCAGACTCAAATTTCAACATTATTTTGTAACCCTACAATTTAATTTTTTGGTCAGACTGGAATCAGGTTGTGTCGTTTTATCAGATCACTGCACACTCTTTGTCCAAACTGCTCCCTTATTTTTCATTAAAAAATTATCAAATATTTAACAAATTTCCTGAAAATTCAATTCTTACCCAATACAAAACAAAAACGTCGTTTCATCTGTTATTTTCCTTTTGTATACAAACCACATTTATACACACGGCTATGTAGTTGTTCAGGACCCATATTTACACACCTAAACTCATAACAAATCAAAATTTTATTAGAATCATACAATAATCTGAAAAAACTCTAGTAATATTATTAAATAAACTAAAAAATAACATTAACTACATTAACGTCCATTGCTGTAAAAGGAAACTAGATTCACAAAATCGATTACTTAAATGACTTCCCTTGAAATCATCGGCTACTTTGGGAACAAACACAAATCTTCTCTCTGTTTTAGGAATAAATTATTAATTTCTTTTTTTGTTTTTTGTTTTTTTATCTCCCAAGCAAAAGAAACAGAGCAAACTGAAACAGAGCAATGGAGAAGAAGCACGATCCATAATACCGAGAAGGATCAGCTTGAGATTTCTTCCGCGTTGAATGCGTCAACGCTCCAGCTGTAACATTCTTCCCGCAGACATCAGCTCCTGTTTTAACGACACTGAACTCATCCTCCGGATTCAGACACAATCCTCTGTTCCCGCTCAAATCCAAATTCTTACCCAACCGTCTTAAAAAACTCGAATCGAACGGCACCACTCCGATAAGCAAGTTCCTGCTGAGATTCAGATGGAAAACGTGAGGCAGCGAATCAAACCCCGACGGGATTTCGCCGGCTAATCTGTTGTTAGCGAGAGACAACGAGCTAAGGTTCATCAGTTTCGTGTAACTCTCCGGGATCACGCCGGAATATCCCGAGTTCTCGAGCTGGACCTCCTGAAGCTTCGGAAGAAACCCTAATTCGATTGGGAGAGGCACGAACATTGGGTTGTTGTCCATTATAAAGTACTGCAAGCTCTGTAGCTTCGAGATTCCTTTAGGGAAAGCTCCTTTTAGCTTGTTGTTGCTCAACGCCATGAATGATAAAGATCGTAGCTTTTCTACGCCTTCTGGGATTCCTCCGACGAGAGAGTTCGAGCTCAAGTCGAGCTTTTGAAGCATACCCAGTTGCGAAATCGTCGGAGGGATGTTGCCCGTAAGCGAATTGTAGCTCAAATCTAACCCCACGAGGCTGTTGAGGTTCCCTAGTTGCAGAGGGACTTTGCCTGTGAGCTTGTTGTAGCTTAGATCGAGGTGTACGAGGGTTTTCAGTGAGAAAACCGCCGGTGGGATTTCTCCGGTTAATCGGTTTTGTGAAAGAGTGAGGATTTGAAGAGATTTGAGAGATGAAATGAGAGGAGGGATTTGACCTGAGAGAGAAGGGTTTGATCTGAGGCTGAGCTGTTGAAGAGAGGAGCTTGGGATGGGTTTGATTGGGAAGATGATTGTGGTGGTGAAGTGAGTGAAGCAGTTGAAGAAGAAGACTGATTGGAGGAAAGGGAGAGTGAAGATCAAGTAAGGGAAAGAAGCAGAGGTTTTGCAAGAAGGGTTTGGAGCAGAGCCGAAGTCGAGGCGAGAGACGTGTGGCAAGTGGTCTGGACCGGTTTTGCACTCAATGCCTGGCCAAGACGAGCCAGGCGCGCAAGGGTTTGGGTGCGAGCGGCGCCATTGTTGATCAGAGGACATTGCGTCCATGATTTTGAAGAGAGTCTCTGCCTCAGATGGAGGCATTGAGAGAGAGACTCTGTTTGCTTGGCAGAGAAGGAGTGGTGTTATCAGGAGATGGAAGAGCAGTGAGGAAGGAGACGGTAAAGCTCTCTTCATGGTCATAGATTTTGTGTAAGAGAGGAGAGAGAGTGAGTTCTTGTTGATGTTATACTGAGAATTCATAAAAAGTTTTTCACTAGATTTCTTTAGTGACGTTTAATTAGAATATTTGGGAAGAAAGAGCATAAAAGTGGCATTAGATCATGATGGAGGAGTAAAGAGACCAAAAGAGAAACTTAGGAAAAAGGTTTAAGCTTTGGAAGAGTTTAAGTGAAGGGTTTTAAGGATTTTGGGACAGGACAAGACAGGGACACGTGAACAATCAGAATCTAAACAAGGGATGATAGAAGATGTGAAGACTTAGAAGAAAGCTAGTAAAGAATACGAATAGGTTTTGAGTGTGTTTGTGTTTGTGTGTGTGTGTGTGAGAGAGAGAGAGAGAAGCAATTATAAATGGAAGTGATTGAGAGTGACACGTGTGGGGTAGTGAGAGGCAAAGAGGTAGGGACTCAAGACATGAGATTGGGAAGAGAAGAGGAGAGAAGAGGAAGACACAAATTAAAAGAGTACTTGATGGTTTTTGTAAGGCCATACACACATGTTTTTCTTCTTTATTCAAACACTGTTGTTTGAAACAAATTTTGAAGGACCTGTCTTGTTGGTGTTAATCTCGTGAATACATTAGCTCCTCGAATCTCTCAGGTTATGTGGAGTGGCTTTCCTGTGCTGTCTCTCTGTATTAGTCTACATCCATGTGATGTTTATAAATGGCTTCTAGTCGCATGTATAAATAAAGTGATTTTTGTATGAATCAATCTTTTCTTTGAGTTTTGTTAAAAATCACAGACCCGATCATTACGACGAAAACAAATGATCAACGTGTACAAGAACATTAAAAGCTTAAGCAAAACAAATTTGTAGAAAATTTTGATGAAGAAAGGATTGTTTGATGGTTGGTACAAAAGACAACTCACCATATGACCATCACAAGGCGTAGTTGGACCAAACTGTTTCAAGTATCACCCACAATAGATTCTTGACTGTTCACTCAATAGTTTGAAATTTGTCTATCAAGTATTTCGAATCATTATTTGTTTCATAAAAATACTAATAAGGAAATGCTCTTCAAAAGTGGTGGGCATAGTATGTCTCTCTATTTACTGTCTCCAATTATTCATGTCTTTTATAACTATTTTTTTCTAAATTTCTCTGAGATTTTATCATCCATAGTTTGAGTTGTGATCCAAACAAAATCATAGTTACTTGTAGAATTGTAGTTTTATAGCTTAATTTAAAACATAGGGAACAACCGTAATCAGCCGCATAGATATTTTGTATTCTTTGGCATTTTTTTTGGGGTTAAACATATGAATTTTGAGTCTAAATTTACCGTACTTAATGATAAATAATGTTTTCTTAGAATGCAAATTAACTAAAAAGGAGTTTTAAAGTTGATGCAGAATGATAAAAATCTTTCTGCATTGTAAGAAAAATCGATTAAAAACAAGAAATGTCTTCGTAGCACAAAAAGAAATCAAAAAATTACTTGCTATGAAAGAAATTTCATAAAAATACACTAGTTATAGGGAAAACAGATAAACTTAAAATTATGAGAAGAAGATAAGAAGTGAAAATTTTGAACGTTAAGTTTTTGTACTACAATTGGCAATAATGTAGCAGATGTTTTTGAAAATACATGCATGTATGTGTTATATGTAGTGTAGTGAAGGATCTAATCTTAGCCTGGACCTCACTGAGGTGGTAAAATCAGATTCAACTATTCACCGTACGGATCTAAACATATATATGGCCTACAAAGAAATGATCCAACGGTCATAAATGTTACTGAATTATTACAAGACTTTGAAAATCTACCAACATCATACTAAACCAAACACCTTCTTTCATATTTGTTCTTGACAAATTTGTTTACGCACCAAGAAAGTAAAAATAAAAACAATCTAGCTTTTTTTGTCACTGTTTTATTTTTAATCCAAGTAATGCTTTCTGGATCTCTCAGTCCTTGTATCAGTGCTTTACGATTTGACACCACTTCCAATTCTATCTCCTTTTGCTTTCTCACACATTTTCGTACATATATCTATGCATAGGCAGACAATAATCAAATATTATATATAGTTTTAAATGATGAAAACATGGTTACAGTATGAACATTGGATGGTGATTCCTCGGATCATCAGATACTATGTGGTTATGTACAAATGAGGGCTTATAATTCTGTGATTCAGTAGCAGTTGATTGATATGCAAAAAGAGGGCTTATATATTTTGTCAAATTCTCTGAGGAATCTCATGAAAAAAATCTGCAGGTATCTTCTTACAGAGCTATTTTGATCTGAAACAGCTCATGTGGGGAGGGTAAAACAATAGTATTACTAGCTTTCTCTTTAGCTTTAGACTGTGTATTAGACAGCTCACCATTTGTACAATCATATAAAAGAAGGGGAAAATAAACTGAGCCTACATGAGAAAAACTGTTGGAAGAACTGTGGCTTCTGTCCTTATTGGTTGTATTTGTCTGAATATGTGAATCGGATTCTATTTTCACTCTTTGATTTTTTTCATTTTTTGATTCAAGAAACCATGTTTGTATAGAGAGTTTTGGGGAGTCATTTTGGTCACTCTTCTGTTTGTGTAATCACAAGATTTTAACTAAAATAAGAATGATCCATTACTCCCTCTTACAACACAAGACAAGAGAGCCAAAAGTTACTGGATAAAGCTTTAGAGGAAGAAGGAACATCTTTTATCAAAAAGAAGAAAAACCGATTAAATCCTGATACTGTACCTTTAAATTATCATGGGGCTCCCTTTTTCTGGAACAACATGAAAAAACTGCAGAAGATAAAGAAATGAAAAAAAAGCTTATATCATTATGTTTCTGAAACACTTTTGGTCTTGTGAGTCTTTAACATAGGCATTTGAGTTGTTGAAGAAGCTTTTTGCTGGTTAGTTGAACATCCTGAGAAAATTGTTTGCATACGCCATTGGCTTCACATCCGGGTGAGGCTGTGAAAATCACAGAGAATCAGAAGAGTAAATCAAACAGTGAACAAGTTTCATGATTCTGGTTTCTCTGAAGCATTAACAAGAAACAATGCTGCAATAGACAAGAATATAATATTACTAACCACTGCTGAGAATGTTACAATGTTTGGCTTCATCTCAGGAGCTTCGAAGCGAATGAAAGCTCCCTTGTTACCCATCTGCAACAACATTTTTCCATGTTTTTAAGTAATTGGCGCTGTTCAATATTTGAAGTCAGAAGATATGAGTTTTATATAGTTACCTGATCACAGTAGTTTGGCGCAGAGAAGACAGTGATGAGTTTACCATCATGATCAACTTCGTAGCCTTCATCTTTCACTTCATGTGATCGGACCAACAACTCTTCATAAAAGTAATTAGATTCATAAACCTAAGTCAATAGCCATCCAAAGAATCAAACATTAGATATAACAAGACACTAAACCAACCTAGATTGTTGTCGTCCAAAAATCTCTTCGTTACATCTCCACCAAATGAAAGACCAACACCTCGCTTGCTTGGGCCTCTTCCAGGGAGAGGTTGAGGATCACTCCACAACATTTCACACATTAATCCTGATTAAACAGTTAACAGAGAGTAGATGTTATGTCATAATAAGAGAAGCAATGTTACAAACGACGTGTTTGATTTAATGAATCATACCTTCCTCAGGAGGCTCACAGAAACGGTCAATGGTTCTGATGTCTGAGAGTTTCACGCCGTCCACACTGAAGAGACCTCCATGCACCACAAATATCTTCCCATTTATAACATGAGCCAACGGAAGGTAGCAGAACACTTCAGCAAAGAGATCCACGAATTTTTCACTCAGCTTGGACCGAACCTCCCCCTCAAAACCATATATTTTGTTCATGCTCTTGCTCTCATGATTCCCTCTGGCTAGATATATGGCTGCCAATACAAATATTGAACATCAAAGAAGTGTCAACAATAGCAAAAGCACAAACTTGAAAGCTAAAGAAGTATTACAGAAAGTGTTCAGAGCAACTTACATGTTGGACACATGCACTTGAATGCAAACAATGTGAGGATGATCTCAACAGAGAATGAGCCTCTGTCCACAAAGTCGCCATTGAAAAGGTAGGGATTCTCCTCGGAAGGTAGTCCATTAAGCTCAAAAATGTTCATGAGGTCATAAAACTGCAAAAAATAAAAGAAAGTTTCAAAGGCACACCCAATACAACACACTACAGAGCCCTTGCTAGTAATGAATAGTAAAAAGAACTATATGAAGAGATTGTGTAAAAACCAAAGCTTACCTGACCATGAACGTCACCGCAGACTGTCATGTGCTTGCCATTAGGAACAGTAATATCCACGAGAGAAGGCAATGCTAGCAAGATTTGTCTTGTCTGTAAGACAATTTGGTACGCATACCTACAAATTTTATGCCAGAAAAGTATGTATGAATAGATGCCCAATGTGATAATTAAGTTCAACAATACACCAAAAATATACTCACCGTTTATGCAATGTCTTTTGCTCTTTGAAGTCCTCCATCATCTTCTTCACGAAATCCAAGGTGACTTCCTCTCCCTCCATTCTAGCACCGGAATACTGAGGCTCAACCTCTACAATGAAATCGGAAAAGAAGAATGTCAGTGATTAAGTCAACAACAATTTTCCATGAATGATAAAAACTAATAGACACCTTAATTGGTAATAGTTAAAACGTAGCAAAAGAGGTAAGCCACACACACACACAGCAAAAAGTTTGTAAAAATCTATGAACTCTTCCACTGCTGTTCAGATGGTTTTGACATCATTATCATTAGACATTTTCAATTCCCAACTGTGACTCCAAGAGAGGAAACACATTCAGGCTTTGATATGCATTGATCCTAGGATGAGGATTTGACCAGAGAAAAGACACTACTACCACTGAAGCTACCCCACCAATATGTTCCTAATACCACCGAGACCAACACCATGAGTATCTCAGTTGTGGCAAATCCCCGGACAGCCACCACCATCACTGCTGCAACAACTGCTGCTAAAGCCGTTTTGGTGGGCATGGATGATGATGATGATCTGGGTTTGTTCCCTATTATGTGAACAATAGGTAGAAGAATGATTACTAGTCTAAAGCTACACTCAACCATCTGTCAACTACTGAATCAAATGCACGGCACAAAAAGAGAAGAAAGAACCAGAGGTGGCAGAAACAAACAACAAGCTATAAGACAAACAGAGAGATAAGCAAAGTAGATGGATGATACCTATTGTGCTGTAGTCAATGGACTCTGCAACTGAGCGCCTTTCAGATACTGGTACGGAAATTGCTTCTTCAAATTTGAGTTTCATCACTGCTTTCTCACATTCTCTTAGCTTCCTTGCCGCGTCAGGGTCATTAGGAGAAATCCTTTTAACCTAAAATATACATAGCAGACCACGTCGGCAATAGCGTACACACAAATCTCACTCAACAGATAACAAGAGCGCACCATTAAACTGGATCTTATCACAATCAAGCTATGCTCATGTGGTTGAGTACAAGCTACACATCAATAACATTTCATCCTAAGTCTAGGATCTATAGGACATATAAGAACTATCAGATCAACAGCTACCAAATCATAGAAGAAAAGAAACAAGAACTTGAATTGGCACAATTCTCATACTATAAACAAATAACCTGTTGGAAATCCTTCAAGGCATCCTTAAACTTTCCCATGGCAAGATAGGCAGCACCACGCCTGTAATACCCCTGTGAGATTCAGCAGATAATCAGTGAACAAGGCTGAATATACGTTGAGAATAAGTATAAGCAACATCATCTTGACGCAGAATGATACCTTAGAGTATCTTGAATCAATCTCAATGGCCTTTGTCGCATCTAGTATTGCACTGCCATATTCCTCCAGTTTTGTGTGAGCAAACGCACGGTTTGCCCAATACACAGCGTTATTGCCGTTGAGCTCAATAGCTTGCGAATACAGATCAATAGCATTGGAGTACTTGTGACCTGTTAAGCAACCAACACACATTTAGCAAACTGTTCTTAATTCGAAGAACAAGAAACAACCATCTCATCAAAATTTAGTCAAAAAAATCAAACCTTTAAAAGCTTCATTAGCCTGATTTTTCAACTCCTCGGCGCGTGAAACATCAGACGTCTCATTCTCATTCTTAGTCTCCATGTTTTTCAGAAAAAGAGCTTATCTCTTACTCAATTTCGCCGTCTTAGTCCGCTGAAGCTAAAACTGAATGGCAGAAAAAGATGGAAAGTTAAGGTTTTTATCTCATCATGCCCAAAAAACTTTCATAATTGTCAGATGCACAAGAAGACAAGAACAGTAATCACAACCAACCGCCTAATTCCATCAACATTTCCTTAAAAATCAGTAATTTCTACTTAACAGGGAGAAAGTTTAGGAGCTTAAACGGTCAACATCATACTCAACCTAAATAAAGTTCCAATTTTTCATAACAGAGCCACTGAATTTAGTCATATCTAACAAGATTCAAAGCAGGAAAAGAAGTCGTCCACACAGAATCATTCGTACACATCATTTGAGCTGAAAATCGCAGAGAAAAACTGAATCCAGATAAGAACACGGTGATAAACAGATGACAGCAAATTGCTATTGATTCAAATGATAAAAAGGGAATCCGACGCTGATAGATAAGATAAGAAGCAAAAAGTTGTAAACTTTCATATCTAAAACAACGAATTGGACATCATCTACGACGAGTTCATTGCTGTAAGAAGTCGAAAAATTCACTTACAGACAAATCTCGTGAAAGATCTACTAGAAAACACAGATAAGAGCAGAAGCAATACAGGACAACAGGAAGAAAGCGTGTTTTGTCGGAAAATCACGGAAACCCATTACTCTGGAGGTAGATTTATACCTGAAATAGGCTCAATCTTGGCGACAGCGGAAGAGGAAGAGGTTGACGAGTGAAAACAGGTATAAGAGAAGCTTGAAGTAGCTAGAAACCCTAGATTGGTCAATAGAAAGTATGCGCTTGAATCTATGAGAGGGGTTTTGGAAATTATTAACTTTTGGCAGATAATTTTCTGTCAGTAAATAATGGGACGAAGATGTGTAGAATCCAAAAAAATTATATGATTTTTTATGTTTGAAAAGAAAAGAAAAAACATTATATTAATCACGGATTAATGACATCGTAGATAAATTTATTTACATTAACTTGTTAAAAAGATGTGATTAATTTTATGGTGGGTTCGCTTTTCAAATTTCAAACACAGACGTTATTTTAGGGACAATCTCTAGATTTTTGGACCGAGAAATTAAATAAGTTAAATTAGTTTATTGTAACTAGGCTTTTTGGTTATGCGTGAATTAAGGATTAAGGAAGAGTTTAGTACATTTCATATTTGTGAAAGAGTATCGTATTCTCATTATAATTTGAATCGTCTCCTAATGTTTGTTTAATCAATTTGAGAGCCATCCAAATTCAATCCGATTTGTCGTTTTGTTTTGTGAAAGTGATGGCTTCTCTTATAATATCTTTGCTCATATAAAAGAAGACAAATGTTGAAATGTATACCCAATAAATCTTTAAAACATATCTGATCTTTCTCTTTTTTTCTCATCCAAGTTTCCTCTATACACTCTATACACATAAAAATATACAAACACTTTTTTTTTTATACAAACACTTTCGAAATCAAGAAACCACAGAGCAATGTTTCTTGATTCTTGATCTCATCTCAATGCTTCTTTGTCTCTCTTTCAGCCTACATTTCAACACAAATAATGAAGTTAAATTTCAAAACAAATGTATTGGATTACATAAAAAAAAAAAAAAAAAAAAAAAAAAAAACAGCAAGGAATATGCTATACCGCTTTGATTGCTTTCTCAACAGAATCCCATCCAAACCGGTCAACGTAATCTTGAACCGATTTTCTAGCATCAAGACTCATCATCTGTAAAACTCTTCTCTGTTCATCGGTGTAAACCGTTCCTCCTCCAACATCCATTCCAATTCTAACGTATTTCCTCACAAAATTGGAGTAAATGTAAGCTGCACCACTGAACATTGGTAACACCAACCACATACAGAACAAAAGCTTCAAGTACGGCCAAAATGGTAGCCTGCAAAATGCAAAAATAAAGAGCAATCTATTTTTTTAGTCTTTAAGACATATAGTTATAAAATCTGCATTCGTAACAGAATATAGTGGGAGTGTTATTATTATTACCAGACAAGGATTCTCCAAACGGATAGTTCGAATATTGTCATGAAGGAGTAAATAATCCAGTATGTTAGCCATTGTTGATCATCTAACATCGTTGGACTCTCTATTGCTCGTAATGATGCATACCTACTCATTCATTAAGTTACTTAATTAATTTTCATTTATACATAAACCATAATTAGTTAAAATTTTAAATTTTGATTTCACTTACAGAGGGTAGAGAAGCATAACTCCAGGCCTGCATGCACCAAGAACATGAAGATGTTAAGCAAGCATTACAAATCTCGAGTTTTTTTATCTCATGAAACGAAACTTTATATTAAATCAAAACCTACCCAATTAGAGCATCAAAACGTTTTGCAAGCACAATAATGACACCCATTTTTTACTCAGTCTCTTCTTCAACAGAAACTTTCTTCCTGTTTATATCTTTGAACAAACGTCTTAAGTACTGTGAAGTTGGATATATACACACAAAAGGTTTATTTTCTTCAAGCAAGAATCTTTGTGTTAACAAGTCAGGTAAAGAATCTCCGATCCATTGATACGTTTCATAAACCGGCCTATTTCTCCTATCTTATGTTCTGATGGGGGAAAAAAATCAAACTTAATTGTTGGAAAAATATCACGTGAAGGAAAGCAAGGTCATGGGTTTAGTATAACTCCGTAGTATTTTTATATTGAAAAATTTATCTTTTTAATACAAGATTCGTTTCTTTTTTCACAAGAGTTGGTCATCAAGAACGTATTCACGTTAATTAATGAAATTGGACGTATTACACAATTTGATTATGATCTCTGGCCTGTGACATTATGAAATTTGGGTAATTCACCTGTCCTTTAATGTGGAGTCGTCTTTATATAATCTCTCTTTCTTACCCATACGCATATGTTTTAAATTAGATGGAAGTTCATTAGTGATCATTTTATTTGATATGGTTTTTCTTTTGTCACCGAGCTAGTAAAAGTACTACTGTTTTGATATATCAATCTCTCTTTATCACACACACACGTATATATACACTGTATTCTAGTTGATATAGATTTTTTTTGTCACTGAGCTAGTAAATAAACATCCACTATGAAATTACGTTACTTCACGCTAACTCCCCACAATAGAGTATCAGAGCATTCAAATTTCGATGCATATTAAGAAAACTATACCCCAAAAGTCAATCAAAGCCCCACCAACTCTTAAGTTCCTTCTTGAAATGATTTTGCAACAATTTGAAGCTTAATTCGACATGAACGTGTATGTGGATATTGTGGCTCGTGAAGAAAATTTAATAAGTAAGTACAAGGAAAATGATGGGGTATGGGAAAAACACAAAAGAGTTTTCTTTCGAAACTAGAATTAATTAGTGGAAATCTATGAAAGGGTTTACGGATAACGACTATACACACACTTAATCGTCCTCTCTGCCCTCATTTACTTGATTAGTTTCATCTTCCCTAATTGTATTGTCTCCTATGTGATGTAGTCTCTTGCTTAAATTATATTACAGCATGGTGTTATGATAAATAATAATACTTAATATCAATATGACGTTCGACTAACCTAATGTCCAAGAATAAGACTTGAGCATAAGATTTTGGTAAGACGAAAAGCAGAACTATATACTCTTAGATTGCCATTTTTATCAGGCCATCTTTTTTTTTTTTTTATCTCAAAAAAAATCTCTAACGTAAACACTTCAAATTATAAGTACATACAAACTTGACCTCAAAACAAAAATTAGAAAAGCAAAACATTTACATATCAAACCTCATTCATCGCCTCTCTTGGTAGTTGATAAGTTGTAACACTTTATATAATTATCACCATCATAAAATTTGAAGGCAACCACGAAATTTCTTATCATATCATGTCAGTTGAGTATAGAGATTTATTTGGAATATCTGATTATTCAAAGAAAAATAAACAATTGGAGTAGGACAATAAAAAAGAAAAGGAGAGAAAAAAAGAATTACCCCAAATGGATAATTTCCAAAAGGTGATACTGATGAAAAACAGAGCCCATACCTCTCTATTTTCCCCTAAACATGAAAGAAAAATTGGATGGTCCTCCTTGAATGCCATCCCCACCCAATCCAAACCCAACTCTCTTCTTCATTTTTTTCTATTTTGATATTTTTTACCTCTTAGTTTCCATCAATTTTCAAATTTCAATCTAAATATACACATAGAGAATTTAAAGAATTAGGTGTAAGATTTTATTTGGCAAAATGTTAGACTAATGGTCCATTTCCTTTTTTTCTCTTTTCATTCAATAACATTTCATTCAGTTTGAAAAAAATAAAAATACCAAACCTTCTGTTTTCTGCAAGTGGGTTTTTACATACTTTGAAAGAAATATTCCTCTAAAAGAAATTATAAACCAAAACTGGAATCAAAACAAAATAAAGTAGGAAGCAGCAGTTAAGTGGTACTCAGTTAATAAGAATAGTATCTTAAGGCCAAGAACAAATTAAATCTCTTAAGATTTTCATCTTCTCTTCTCTTCTCTTCTCACTTGTCATTCTTTTCTCATCGTAGTTCTAGCAAATCCTGCAGGTATAACTATTGATACTATGCACTAAACTAATCCTAAAGTCTAAATTTTGTAGTCAAAGTCTCTTCTTGTTTCTTCAGCAATCCAATCCTTGAATCTTGGAGTGACCAAATCTAGGGTTAATTCATCTAATCTTTAAAATCTCATTTCTTTTGTAATCGAAGGTTCTTCCTTTTCTCCATCGAAACCTCAAAACTTGGATAGTAGCTATAGTCGTTTAAGTGAAAACAGATTTCATCTCTAGCTCTCTCCCTCTCTTGTGTGCAGTGTTTGATTGTGTTTGGTTTGTATAAAACTGTATCAGGGTTAATAGAAATGGAGGGTGGTGCGAGTAATGAAGTAGCAGAGAGCAGCAAGAAGATAGGGAGAGGGAAGATAGAGATAAAGAGGATAGAGAACACTACGAATCGCCAAGTCACTTTCTGCAAACGACGCAATGGTCTGCTCAAGAAAGCTTATGAGCTCTCTGTCCTGTGTGACGCTGAGGTTGCTCTCGTCATCTTCTCCACTCGAGGTCGTCTCTACGAGTACGCCAACAACAGGTAATCGAAATCCATTAGATCTTGATTTTCTTGAAATTTTCTTTTTTTATGAATAAAGTTTCGATTTTTTTTTTGTGGGTTTTCCAATTTTTGTGGTTTCTCTCTTTGTGTTTTTTTTGTTTCTTTCTAAGTTTCTATGAGCCTCAATCTCTGTTGGAAGTCTGATTTATAAGTGTGTACAAACATTAGGGTTTGTGAAAACTCTGAACCCTAGTTTTGTTTTGGGGCAATTTTGATTTTGTCTCTCTCTATGTGAAAAGCTGTGAGGTCCTTCTCTGATCATTGATTAGCATCCCAATACCTTGTTCAGCTGTTTTTGTCTTCTGCAAATCCTTAAAAAAAAAGCATCTATGTATGTGTATCTATGTATGTCAGTTTCCACAAGACACTTCGATCAAGATGATGATGACCCATCAGGTTTATTTCTGCAGATTTATCATTAGGTTTGCATCAGAGTAATGAAAAAATAGGGTTCTTGACAAAAATATCAGATCACATGTTAGATGGGGCTATAGAGCTATGTAGATTCCTTAAAATATTGATACACTAGGTGAAGACTAGGGTGTGTGTGTTCTGACACTTCTCTAAATCTTTCGGTGATTTGGTATGTTTTACCAAGAAAAGAGTTTTGGGGACAAAGCTTGTTGTTGAGTCACTAGTTAATTAATCATCCATCAATCAAGAAAAAATTAATTAAATTGAAAAATTTAACTTTTGATTATTCAGTTGTGGACTTGTCATTTCCATTATCTTTAGAAATGTCCAGCTATTAACAGCTCATGTTCTTTTCAACATTTTGATTCTTTGTATCTGCTTTGTGATGATTAACTGTTTTGAAAATATTTGTTATTTTTGAAGATCTATTTGATCTGTATATTTAGTCAAGTCTCGTTTCATGGATCTAAGATAAAAGTAGTGAATTTTACAAGATCTATTTAATCTGTATATCTGAAATTGTATGTGTCATGACTTAAAAGGTACAAAAGAGGAATGCATTAGGTATGTATAGAAAAATGTATTTTCTAGGTTTCTATTTTCAGATGTACAGCTAACTTTTAATTATTTATATACTCTCTTTCTTATTTCAAACACACTCGTGTTTATGAATCTCTTTTGACATTTATCAGCCTCAACTTTCCATCATACAGCACAATGTGAATTAAATGGTGAAAATGAAAACCTAACATATACAAAGATATTTAGCCAGCTATACTTTTTTCTAAGGATTTATGAATTTCACATTCTTTCTCAGATTATCATTGCCTCAAATTTTATTCATATACACATGTTGGAATGGATATACATTACGAAATTTTTATTCTTAAAAAATGAATGTTATAGGGGTAACTTCACTTAAAAGTCACTCTTTTGATTTAGCCTACTAGTGTTTTCAAAACCAGTTAGGCCCTACTAGCTAGCCTAAATTATAATTTGGATTTTGTGAAATTGTGGACACTTTGGTAGGCAAACTCTACTCTTAAGAAACCTATAATAAGGTTTTACCCTTACAAATGCCAAAATCAAATAAATTGAATGAAATTACACATCATTATAAACCATTAGTACCCATATAGTCCCTCAAACAACAAATCAAATGACTAATACCTAACGTCGTTAATGAATCCGGTCTAAATCTATCACACGAACCATAAATGCAATTTTTGGTCAAATCGATCACCAAATGTATTAGTCATGCGTAGAAATCAAGGTCGATGTGTGTTTTACAGGACGTACTTGGATTTTGGCAAATATGTATTTGCTTCTAGCCTTGTATATTACTGCCTCTCGTATTTGGAGTATCATTTACTAAAACATACGATATTCAATTTCTTTTTCATCTCCTAGTTGCTGTCTCTTGTGTTTTCAAATTAGGACTACAGTTTTTTGTGTGTGTGATTAGGGTCTTCTTGAACTTTAGATTATGATGTCACTGTTTTTAATAGGCAATGGCGAAAATGGCAGAAAAGAGAGAGAACCAATCATATGGGGGGCGTAGTACGTAGACTGGTCCAGTCACTCTCTTTTCTCGTTGAAATTAAGATTCTGGCTTGACAAAACGTTTCTGTTTCAAAGCCTTACCTTAATAGTATCTTATTTGCTCTAATATCCAAAGGTTCAAAATATCAAAAACCTTTGTAAATCTGCTTCCTTTGATTTGTTCTCGTTTCCGTTAATTAGTGTTTGAATCCAGTAGTTAATATAGTTTTGTGGGTTTCAAATTTTATTTTCACCGGTTTTAGAGTTATGACTAATGACTATAGGTTGATGATAAAAGTTTAATTTAAATCTTTTTTCCTTGGTGGATGTTGCTGAAATCGTACGATGAAAAGTGTGAGAGGAACTATCGAAAGGTACAAGAAAGCTTGCTCCGACGCCGTTAATCCTCCTTCCGTCACCGAAGCTAATACTCAAGTAAGCTTCATTTAACTAATTCAAATTAATTTACCGCTTCTTCTTTACAATATTCCATTTTCGTATTCTGACTTTAAACTGATATACTGTGTCAAATCATGGATTGGAAACTGATGAAGTACTATCAGCAAGAGTCGTCTAAGCTTCGGAGACAGATTCGGGACATTCAGAATCTGAACAGACACATTCTTGGTGAGTCTCTTGGTTCCTTGAACTTCAAGGAACTCAAGAACCTTGAAAGTAGGCTTGAGAAAGGCATCAGTCGCGTCCGCTCCAAGAAGGTTAATTAGTTTCCATCAACTCCTATGCTTTCATAAATCCTTTTCACGAGTACTTGATCTGATTCTTGCCAGTTACGTTTGTTTTTTCCTCAGCACGAGATGTTAGTTGCAGAGATAGAGTACATGCAAAAAAGAGTAAAAACCTATCTTCCTCCCCAAGTAATTAATTTAACCCTACTTTATAAACAGCCAATCTTTCTAATCATCGCTTTTCTCTTCTGTTTATGTTTTCATTTAGGAGATTGAGCTTCAAAACGACAACATGTATCTCCGATCCAAGGTTTTTTATATTCTTTTTGTTAATTACATTTTGTGCTTCTTTTCTCCCAACTAATACACAATCTCATGATGTGAAATTTTTCTCGATAAATTGATGAAGATAACCGAACGGGCGGGAATACAGCAGCAGGAATCGAGTGTGATACATCAAGGGACGGTTTACGAGTCGGGAGTGTCTTCTTCACATCAGTCTGATCAGCAGTATAACCGGAATTATATTCCGGTTAACCTTCTTGAACCAAACCAGAATTCCACCAACCAAGACCAACCACCACTCCAACTTGTTTAATCAAAAGATCTTTTACCATAAGCTTTCTCTCCTCGTCTGAGATCGATCTTATGCATCATATATAGATTCATGTTACAATTACGGTTAAAAACTTAAAAAGCAGATGTGGTGAGGATTTGGGAGGGACCTAATTTACATATATTTTTGATTATTTATATGTAATGTGAACCTTCAAGGCAATAATAATTTCAAGAAAAGAGATTTAACCAATAAACAATATCTTGTCAAATCATTTGCCTTTGTTAATCTTTGAGTATGACTGTATCGTTGAATACAAAAATTCATGTTACAAATAAGCAACACGATTAATTACAAAAGACCAAACTTTTACTGAAACGTTAACAGAGCAACCAAACCCGTTACATGTCTTATCGGTTAACGGATCAGTGAAAACTCTCATAGCTACATGTTGTTTGTTGCTAACACGTGTTATGGCATCTGTCTCTATCTCTAGAGATATTGTTTCCCATAACTGTCTCTCAATGCAGAATGTGTTTTGGTTAAAGCAGACTACTTTCTTTCAAAACACGATGATAAGAAACCACTACTCCACTTAGTCTCTTTTCCAGAAAATCACGCCTAAGGATCGATCAATTCATCTAATGCAGAAGAAAAGGTAAATTTGCAGAGCTATAACTAAAGCAAATCTACTTAAATGTAACCACAACCTAAATAAATCTTTCATTCTCTGTTTTCATATATTGAATTAAATATTGATCATCAAAGGGGAAAGACGACATGCATTCTGGTTTAGGAAACGCAAAACGGAGCACATTCTGAATCTTTTTATAATTAAAAAGGATTAATATTTTTGTGACTAATGAAGTTTCTTCCATTCTCATATCAAATGAAGTTTGACAGCCATATAACATTCCACCGAAGATTTGAATTTAGACATCTTATGATAGACTATGAAACTTTTCTTTCTTCAATTCTTAAATTAACTTTCTTGGTTTTTACTCTTTACCATCACAGAATTTACCACTTAACAGTAAACACTCTCTATTTAGTATATCGAATGCATGAAGCAGGGCACCTCTTTTACACGCAGGTAGTTTCTTGCACTCTGCTTCTTCTAATTTTTTTAATGCAGATTTAATAGTATGATCTTTTATCTTTTACTAAAATAAGTTAGTTAGCATCATCAGTCATAAGGATCATTAAGCAAGAAAATGAAGAACATTGGGTAAAGATAAAACTATACTACTATTATTCCAAAACCTCCAAAAATGCTGTCTCCTCATAACCATGACACTTACTCAACATCATAAATGCAATTTTTCAGACATTAAAGATATCATTCATTGGTGGTTAGAGACTTGGGGTTTGAAACTTGAATGCATGGCGACCATCTCGCAATATTTACTCCACGAGTTTATTGCAGTAACTCCACAACACACCACACTTCTGATCTACTGCACCTTCTTTAATGCTACATCTTAATGTTTTGTCTTTCTTTTTTTCTCTCTCACTGACTCGTCTTTTCTGGTAAACTCATCCAGTTGTGACTCATCACTTAGGCCTGATTTTTTTTAAAAATGCTCATGAACAATTTAATGGAGCAGTTATGACATTGTGTTGGTCTATATGCATGTCAATCTATATTTAGACTGACCTTTTTTTATGTACCTATGTATCAAGTTTGTTGGATTTTCTATTATCTTCTAGTCGCTTTTAATATTAATGTCCATGCCTATTTCTAGCATCTTGTTGGTGTTAATATCAAAAACAATGCAATGTCTCTCATGTCTTCGTTCAGTTTTATTTGCATGGATTCATTATTTTAAGACGTTCTTGAATAGTGGTTGAGAAACAGAGGAACTACTAAATATTATTTAAAGATCAAGAAAATTTTAAAACAGCAACATGAGTATCCATCATAAATAGTACTAGATTCTATAGGACACTTAAAAACTCTACTGAGCACACAAACAAGCATAGGATAATTAATTAAGATTGTCTTAACACAAACCAACAAACAACTGATAAATGAACCACTCTTCTTCTCAGACTCTTGGCTTTAGACGACCTTCATTGGCAAGCTTGAAGGTATGGGCCTGTCTTGTGGCTGCCTTGTTTGAAGAAAGTCCTGCAACGAAGTGGTCTCTGACTTGAGGGGTTGTGAAAGGGAACCTACTGTTGACCATTGAGTTTAACCAAGACGCTGTGCCTTCACGGTAGAGAGCTCCAATGGCATCAGTGCGGCTGTTGGAAAGAGCCTGAAGAAGGTTCATGTGAGGATCAAACCCAGGGATGCTACTTGGAGAACTGACTGTACCAAAAGCTCCTCCAACAGTTCCCCACCACCCAAGAAGACCCCAGATCAATGTAGGGTGGTTTCTCCAGTAACTGCACAAAGACATAACAAAACTCATCATCTGTCTTAACGTATGTGACTGATCAATGTATGTGTTAGTGTTAGAGAGAAGAATGTATGTGACTTACTCGCAAGTTCCAGTGATTGGTGGAAAGGGAGCAGGAACGAAAGGAGTTCCAGGAGTTCCAGGGTCAATATAGATAGGAGTTGGTGGGGTTCCTCCAATGATGGGGGTTCCTGGGTCAACAATGGGTGTTGGTGGAGTCACAACGACCGGAGTACTCGGTGGAGGAGATGAGTAGTATCCACCAGAAGGAGGATTTGAAGGCGTTGGGTGAGAAGGTGTGGAAGGGCGAGAAGGCGTGGAAGGGCGTGAAGGAGTTGGTGGGTCGTGAGGTGGAGTTCCACAGTTACAAGGAGGGGTGGAGTGTGATGGAGGTTTAGGAGTTGGAGTGTGACGAGGAGGACTTGGAGTGTGACGAGGAGGAGATGGAGTGTGACGAGGAGGTGATGGAGAAGGGTCGTAAGGTGGGCTTCCACAGTTAGAAGAAGGAGGGGTATGTGATGGAGTTGATGGAGTTGGAGTGTAGCTTCCACCGTGTGATGGAGGAGTTCCTGCATGTCAAGCCAAACCAAAACTAAATCAAGATTCTTATTACATCAAATGAATGAAAAGTTAAAGAGTGTGTGTATGTTTTTGCTTTTACCTGAACTTGGGTCAGGAGGAGAGTAGTATGTTTTCTGATCCTCAAAGCTTAGGGAAGCAACAGAAGCAAATAGCTGCTGTGAGAGTAAAGCAGCAAAGAGAGCCCAAATGGTAAGACTCTTCATCCCTCTCATCTCTGAAAATTAAACTGATAAGATTTCAGAGAGAAAGTGTTGTGTGGTCCTTATAAGGTGGTAGAATGAAACCGGAAAGTAGGGTTTATAAATAGAGGGAAGCAAAGGGTTTTTTGAATACTTCTGAAGTAAATACAAACAGGTGGAGGAGTGTGTGGTTAGTTGATGTGTTGCAGGTTGCATTTACACTATGCCATTTAATACACCATGGTGATTTGTAATAACACTTGGAATTCTGCAAAAACAATAGTATAAAAAAATAGAGAGTTAAATTTTAAAAAATTCATGCATAGGCATGGACGCGTCACGCGTATGAGAAGCTGTCTCCCATATAGATGATTCATCTCTCCTTATCTGTATTACTATTTACGTTTCAATCAATTAACTCAGTACGTTGCTTATGTTTATTGCAACAAACCTTTCACTTCTGTATATAAAATGAAAGCTATAGCTCTGTTTTTTTTTCTTTCTGAAGCTAATTAGTTAATCCAAGTAAGTTTCCACTCTTGTGAGTGCTTAAAAATGTAGGGCAATACTCAAATCAAGAATCTAGGTAGTAGACTAACATAGACCCTTGTGATTCACAAAAGATTAGCTTATGAGATACTTAAATTAGGGGTCACATGACGTTAAAAGAGAAGTCAAGCTACATTTATTACACCTAACTAATTAAGGTCACTTCTTTCTTCTTGATTTCGTTTTATGGATGCAAACTGCAAAACCCAAGATCGGCTAGAAATCATTGGTGTATAGATTATTGTTTTTCAATTAGCATATTTAAGGATTTTATTTATTGCTATTTGATTTGGATTTCACCTTAATGTATATAGTTTGCATTCAAGTGAAGTGACATTCATTTTCACCTTACAGATACAGCGAGGCCATTTTAGTAGCACGTGGAGAGGCAGACGCAGAAGAGGAGCTTTGATTAGAGATTAACAACAACAACAACAACATAAAAACGTAAAAGAAGAGATAAATAAATGTAACAGTGTGGTAGGTTTTGGTGGGTCTGCAAAATTTTAACCAGTTCACAAAATAATGCAAACTCTTTTACTTCTCTTACTGTATCTCGTCTGGATTTGCTCCTCTGGCTTTTCCATTTTCTAATAATATTTTGTCTCTTATTGAGTTATTTTTTTCTTAATTCATTTTGGGTTGTGGAATCTTGACGTTGTATTTATTTTTAGAAAATATTTTTTCTTAATTTGAGTTATTTTCTATTTCCTAACAAAAGAAACTCTACTCAACTACTATCCACCATTTCGGTTCAAAAAACGCCGAAGGATCAAATGAATGTATACGAGCTATTCCGCTAACAAAATGGTCCGAGTTCGTTTTTAGCCTTTTAGGACTCAAGCAGAGTGTTGATGATTCCGACTGATTTTGGTTAGGGGGCCATACGGGTTACAATCAAATTTGTTAATGCTCTTTACTTATGTAGACACTAGACAGTAGACACCACGTGAATATTCAAATATCCCATGTTACCGTATGACGACATTTAATTACAATTTGCAAGTTAAAATAGAAATATTCTTATCATTTTAATTAGATCTACAGATTTTGAGCTGAGCGTATAACAAGGAGCCAAGACATGACATATGAAACTATGTTAGTTGGTTAATCAATTCAAATCCGTTGACACTTAAAGATGCCTTCGGCTTGTACAATAGATGATTGATTTCTCCATTAGGAACAATATCGATTTCTTCTCTTATTGTATTGGGCTTAGGAGACTTGTAATGAGTTTGTGTATAATGGCGACCGATAGGTCAAAGCAATTATATGAAATCAGTCGTCTTATTCATTACTCTAAAACCATGTAAATTTGATTAAAAATGATCTCATATCCTTGGCCTAATCTATCAGTCGATCAATATATGCACATTACAAGTCTAATGGAATAAGCGAAAGCAAAATGGTCGGTTTAATTAAAGCGATGTATTGATTAACTCTATAAAATAGTAAAGAATTATTCCTTTTTTTTTGGTTTTCAAGTAAAAAAACTAATTGACAGAAACTGTTATAGGTAAGTTCCACTAAAGGCTAAAACGGTCGAAACGATATTACTCCAAAACTAGAGCAACACACATACGGACAAGTTGTGTTTTTAGCGTTTTAGGCGATCCGACCATTTCAAAGAATCAAAGTCTTCTTAACTACCAAATACTGTATACATTACGTACCAATATACACCTACACATGTCTGTTCACAAAGATATATATGATTGCCTATCTATATGCAAAAGTTCTAATTATATGTTCAAGTAAAACGTTATTTATTTTTTAACATGTATGTACTATATATAATAGGGTGATCGTAACAGATCATCATACATACAACAACACTGTTGATGATGATTGACGACCATCGTAATGTTGTATAATTGTTGTAATGTCAATGTCAACCATCATCATCATCATTTCTTGCGGCTGCTCCTCTTTTAAATAATCTAATTAGTTTATAAGCCACAAATCAATATCTAAAGATTTGTAAAACTAAAACTCTTAATTTCGATAAAGAAACTTCTTTCTAATTTTGTTATTTCTAAACGAAGCTAGTTCGTTCTTCAAGTTAACAAAACCGACGACGTAAAGTGGAATCATATATGCTTAATGCCGCGAGAAGATTAATAAACTCTCTAAAATCCTTTTTGATATGATAAGACGTTTTTCTTAGAAGGAATCTAATCAAAGGCTCAAAGCGACTTTTAAAAAAAAAGGGAAGCCAAAAAAGGATAAATAAAGTACTTAAAAAAAAAAAAAAAAAGGCTCAAAGCGACTTCTTAACCAATTTATTCGCTATTACTTAATCCAAATTATTCCTTTCTGTGTCTGTTCAGAAATAGTATAGTTTTGTCTTAGGTGCATGAATAATATACCATGAAAAAAATACGTCCAAATTTTAAGAACCAATACTATACACACAACTTGTCAATTTGACGTAATGTTCACAGTGGATATATAAAGATAAAATTCCAAAAGTATACACATAGGACTCTCGATTATATATGCGACTATTTGGACGTCTATCATACGTAACACACTGACACATTAAGGTGTTTAATCTATGTGGTGGATAATTAAAATGAGTATACACACCGATCTTTCTCTAACGCAGTTTGCAACGTAATTCCGACATCAGAAGCAGCCGGCCAGAGCAGATCTTTAGGGATCCGCGTTTGATTTCTACTTGCCAAAATATAATATTAAATCTAATGAAGATTTCATCAGCAAGTGTGATTACATAGGTATACTAAATTATACTATTATCATGGGCCAAAAACATATAAAATATTGTGAAATTATTTAAGAGGCAGATTATGGGGATCATATTCATATGTTATACACTAATTTACAATCTTGGTTATAGCATATTTCAACCTCCAAGCACATGCGCTTGTCTCTCTCTCTCCTTCTTTCTCACCCAAATTCATCAATAATAGTATTTTTCATAATTTTAAAAGTCAACTTATAAACTTTCTGATGGTTAAGATTTTTTTTTTTCTGTTGATTATATTAATTTTTGAGCTAAACAGACGATAAAGTTTTGAGAACATGAACCAAAACCCTTTCGATATGGTTATTTTTATTATTTTTATGATTTCCATGCAAATGTGTTATATCCATATTTAATTTTGTAATCACTATAATAATGTTTACGCATCTGCATAACATGTTTAGTATCACCGTCTTCTGCAAAAAAAAATGGTAAAAAGATTTTGTAGCCTGAGCTCTTAAGGAACTGCAGTATCTTTAAGATCAATCATGTGTCAGAAACAAAAAAGGAGAAAATATTAAAAACAGAGAAAGAAAAGTTGAATAATCTCAGTTGGTTTTGACCTTAACATTCACAAAAATCTCCACTTATAAATACTCAGCATCATAATCCAGAGGATACTAACAATTGGTTAAGTGTAAACAAACAAACAAAATGGCTCTAGAACCAAACTTTCTTCTCTCATGGGTCTTCTTATGCATAGCTGCAACAATCTCAAGCACACTTTTCTTCTTCCGCAAGAAACCTCACCAATTCACATCAAAGTTTCTGCAGCATCAGAAGAAGAAAAAGAAGCTTCCTCCTGGTGAAATGGGGCTTCCATGGATTGGCGAAACGATGGAGTTCTACAAAGCTCAGAAAAGCAACAGAGTCTTCGAAGATTTCGTGAATCCAAGGATCATCAAACATGGGAACCTCTTCAAGACAAGAATCATGGGATCACCAACCATAGTAGTCAACGGAGCAGAAGCCAACAAGCTAATACTGTCCAATGAGTTTAACTTAGTGGTGAGCTCATGGCCTTCCTCTTCTGTTCAGCTAATGGGCATGAACTGCATCATGGCTAAACAAGGCGAGAAGCATCGAGTCCTTAGAGGTATTGTAGCTAATAGCCTTAGCTACAATGGGTTAGAGTCATTAGTACCTAAGCTCTGTGACACTGTTCAGTCTCATCTTGAAACCGAATGGCGTGGCAAGGAAGAGATTAGCCTCTACCGTTCGGCGAAATCTCTCACTTTTATTGTAGTCTTTGAGTGTCTGTATGGGATCAAAGTGGAGCTTGGGATGTTAGATATCTTCGAGAGGGTTTTAGAAGGTGTTTTCGCTTTGCCGGTTGAGTTTCCTTGTTCTAGGTTTGCCAGAGCGAAGAAGGCAAGGCTAGAGATAGAGACATTGCTTGTTGAGAAAGTTAGGGCGAAGAGAAGAGAAATGGAAGAAAATGGGAGGCAAAACACAAACACAACGCTTTTCTCAAGGCTAGTTGAAGGTTTGATCAAAGGAGAGATAACAGAAGAAGAAGTTGTAGATAATATGGTTTTGCTAGTTTTTGCAGCTCATGACACAACCTCTTACGCCATGGCAATGACTTTCAAGATGTTATCTCACCACCCAACTTGCCTTGACACTCTCCTTCAAGGTAACAAACAATCAAATCAATCTCAGCTGAATATTCTTTAATTTCATACTCACAATTGACTCACAGGTTTCTCTTGATTTCTCGCAGAACATGTTCAAATAAAAGCAAGCAAAGGAGAAGGAGAATCTCTTACAGTGGAAGATGTGAAGAAGATGAAGTATAGCTGGCAAGTTGTTCGTGAAACGATGAGATTATCTCCTCCAATCTTTGGCTCTTTCAGAAAAGCAGTTGTTGATATTGACTATGAAGGATTCACAATCCCTAAAGGCTGGAAGGTGAAACATTAACACACATCATATCTCTAAAATCAATACTCTGTTTCTTTCTTCTTCAAGAAATACTAATAAAATTACATTTTGGGTTTTTTTTGTTGTTGAGAGCAGATACTTTGGACAACTTATGGAACTCATTACAACCCTGAAATTTTTCAAGATCCAATGAGTTTTAACCCTTCGAGATTTGATCAGCCAATACAAGCATATACGTATCTTCCATTTGGAGGAGGACCAAGGCTTTGTGCAGGTCACCAGCTAGCAAAAATGAGCATTCTCATTTTCTTGCATTTCGTTGTCACTCGTTACGATTGGTCCTTAGTCCACCCAGATGAAACAATCAGCATGGATCCTCTCCCGTTTCCATCACTCGGAATGCCAATCAAAATTTCTCCCAAAGTGTCATAAAACAGAGCCATGAGTAAATGATGTAACTTGTAATGTACGCAATATTCATAATTCAGCAAAAAGTTATAAACTTTCATAACATTTCTGTTTAACTCACACAATGTATAAAATTCTTTTGCAAAGTGAGAATCCTCCTCCCAAATTTGACCACAGTGAAAAGAAGTAGGAGGTTAGTTCTCTGATGTGTTTTTCTCTGTCTTATGCTCTGTTCTAAATTTGTTTTCATTGAACACACTGACTCATGTCTTGGTTTCAAACCGAACCAACTAGTCAAAACAACAGCCTGAACATCTTATTCATTGGTCCATCAACCATTCTTTTTTCTTTTCTCTCTACCTACTCTTCAAACATTCCATCCTATTATTTACCTTTTTTTCTCTCTTCTTTATCTTCCTTTGTTGGGTTTAGTCTCTGTTTGAGTCCTTGGACAGAGTGCTATTTAAACCGGCAAAAGATCCATACTATAGAGAGGAAGTATACCAGAAGAGGAATGGAAAAGGTTAGTGAAGCCGAGGAGAAGCCTATTGAACAAGAAAGCAACTCATCAGTTACGGAGACGAGGAGTGATAAGGAAGATGAAAGGATCATGATCAGAGGCACAATCTCTGAAGAAGGCTCTATGGATCCATCTAACTCACACACAATCACCTTTGAAGATTATGATGATGACAGTGACTATGAGATGGAAGACGGGAAGGTTCTTGAGCTTTTCAGACGTAAAAACAGTGTGAGACCTGAGGTCACCGAGACAAACAACTTCCCAGACCTAGACGCAGTGACTCTGAATTCACCAATACTTGAAGGAATCAAGTCATCATCATCATCAAACGAGGACACTGAGGATGATTCATCAAGCAACTCAGACCTTGACACCAGCCTCTCCAGGTATTATTTTGACGGGTCTTTACCGTTTTCATCCCATGTGGAAGAATCTGAAACTCATCAAGATGAGTGTTCTGTACCTAAAGATGAAAACAAGGTGCGCACAACTTAAACCTAATCAAGAAAATGACTTGTCTTTCTCCATAAGCACCAACCAGTTGTAGCTAAACATTATATTTTTCAGATACCTCTATTGTGCCCTTACCAACCTGTGCAGCAACCAACTCCGTGGAGGAATTGCTGTGGACTCCTTCAGCTTCTCCGATCTGCTAATCCATAATACTTATGTACCATGAAAGTTTGACCTAAGAGCAAACCAATATTATGGTCTTTTGGTAACTTATCCTAATCTGCAAAAAATAAGCACCAGAGCCACAAATTTATAGATAATAGACATGCCATGTGTCATCTGGTTGTTCTAGTAAGTTTCTCATGTTCTTGAATTTCTTGAGTTTACAAGAAAATGCTTAGGATCTGTGTAATGAAGTCTGTTAGCTTCTGTCCTTCCAAGGAACTCTTTAGGTTTCATAATATCCTCTCACACAAATTGTAAGATTGTCGAGCACGTTGTTAAAGGATGTTGTACTTTCTCTGTAGATACCTTTATAGTTTTATGGGCCTAGACCCAATTAGATGAAGCCCAATGAGAACTAGTAGAGTTCGAGTTTATGGTTACGTTAATCTTTATGATAACTTCCTTAGCTAAATTAAGTTGTTTTTTCGTAAATCCAAAAAAATAACCATTACTAAAAATGTTTGCTCCTGCTCGTTTATAAATCGAAAATCCAGTTACTTTTTTGTATTTTAATTTGGAAAATTAGGTTGGTAAGAAATTAACATCTCCCCGCTATATGTTGAATTAAGAGATCTATATGTATAGTGTTCAATGTTGAATTGTAGGTGAGAAAATACGTAATAGCTAATAAAGAATCCTAAAAGCTAAAACTGATCCGATTGTTTTCTATATTTATCTTGGAATTTTTTTTGTAGCGGTTGATTTTATGAATTGTGTGTAAATAGTACTAGCTCTGGTTACACGACTAACTAGATTGTCTTGTATGTACAAGGAATATAAACACGAACTCAATTCGTGCTGGACCACGGAAACTCAAATCCAATAGGTTCATCGTAAACTTATATAGATATCGACCGACATTAGAAATCTTTCTAACTTTGTTATATGCTCACCCAATATTAAAAAAAAAATTGGACCAAGTAACATTAACTTCCTCAATATATATCATTAATGCCAAATCTCAAATGCAAGTGCTACCTCGTGATCCAATTTAATATTAATATGGTCTCCAACTAAATTAAATATTAAGTCATAACGTTAAATAACTACACTCCCTACATTATTAGTAGTAGATTTTCGACATTTCGTTAATACATACTCTGTTATATTTCAAATCACTTCTCATAAGCCATAACTACGAAACGGCGTAACAAAATCAGGGATTAAAAATCAAAGATTATAGTCTTGCTAAAGAAAAAGATTCCGAAGAGAAATATGTTGAGATCTCTTTCCCCATATATTAAAGCTAAGAAACCATAATAAAAATGAAAATAAAAAGAGATAAAAAGTGATTTTTTTGTTTGTTTTGGTTTAATCAAACGAAAAGAAGAGAAATCTTGGTGTCATCATCTTCAACCTCCGAACTTCATATCTTGATTATCTAAGCGTTGGAGAAATGAAGTGAGGACTTTAATGGTTTTGATCTGACATTGTAGAGACATAATGTAACCAGCTGTCTCTTCGAAGAGCGCGTCCACACCAAGCGCCGTTCCTCCCGGAATTATCCTCTGCAACGCAGAGATCTTCTCCTTCACCACTTCTTCTTCATCTTCTTCTTCTTCTTCTTCACTGGACACACACACGCGTGCCTTCGTCTCGGACAATCTCCGTTTGCTTCTGCGCTCGAAACCAGCGGCTCGTGATTTCCGGGCGACTGAGCATGACGGTGAAAGAGAGCGTCTAGTGTTTTCGGGAGTTGCTAGAGTTTTCTCCATTGAGAGAGAGAGATAGAGGGAGAGAGAGAGGAATGATGAGAGTTTGAGAGAATAATGAAGTAAGGAAAGTGCATGTATGTATGTGTGTATATATATTAGTGGACAAAATGGTGGCTGTTAAATTCTGTCCGGTTCAATCAAAATTTACTTTGGTTTTTAAGCAAGAAAATGAGTTGATTTTAGAGAGAACTATATCGGTTTGGTTTGGTATCGTACGCTTTTTGTTACATTTTTTGCATACTTGGGTGAAATGTTCGGTTAGGAACGAATATTGGTTTGGTTCGTACAAGGAGTATATTTAGTAATGAAAAATGGTTAATGGGAGGAGGTATTGACATCAAAGCTGGGTCCAGTTGTACGTTTTATCTCATTTTTTATTTTATTATCCTCGTGTTTCGGATTGTGGAAACCTTTTTTTCCTCACTTAGGTTCCATGGATTTGGATCTTGATGAAGAGACTGGTTTTTCACGCGCCATGTCGAGTGGTTTAGACTTTAGTTGACACATCACTCACTTAAGTGAATCAAACTCACATCTAGATTGGATTGTTTGATTAATAATTGAAAAATTATACTAAACTAAAGATATAACTTCTTTTATGTAAAGATTAACCGAACAAAATATTATAACTTACAACTTAGTTTTCTTTTTCTTTTTTGGCAAAACAACTTAGAAGCCAGCTTCTGTAACTCTGGTACAAACTTTCCCACCAGTTGTGTGGAAGTAATTGGCTCAACAAATTCAATATGTTTCATAAAATTAGCCTATGCAACAAATAGCATAAAAGCTTGCATTCTTTCGCTTCCTCTTATGAACCTCATGTCATACAAACTACAAAGCATCATTCTAATATCAACAAAAAACAATAAGAGTATTTTATAGATTTCGGCAAAATAAATTAGACGACGACAAATCCTAGTAACTTGTTGTAGTGAGTGTAACTACGCAGCAGTACGGACGAGAAGAAGAGATCAGACAGAACGCGCGAGGGAAGTAGCGCGTGAAGATAAGAAGAGAGAATGTGATCGGCTACGACATGTGCATAGGAAACAAGAGAAGGGACCCACAGAAAGCCCAAAGAGAAGGGAACATGTGCTCTCACATGAAAATCTCCATCTTTCAAAGCCCCATCTCCATGTGCCTCCTCCTTCCTTCCTTCTCTCTATCTATACATTCATGAATACACAAGACTTATGCAATGTAAAAGTAAATGTATGTATCGATGGATGAGATCAAATAGATACTCTAAGAGATAGTGAAGTAGTTCGTACAATTGAGGATCTAATCTACTACTTGCTCACAAGATCCACATGCATATCTATCAGGCATGGTGGCCACGTGTCACTCACCGTGGGTCCCCACTCTCAATATATTATATATGGCCTCCCAAATCTGTCCTTTCGTTTTTATTGTTTGTCAACTCCTTTCAAGTTAAATTTTTTACCAAGATATAGAAATTTGTTTAAGAATCAATACGATAATTAAGAACAAAAAGAAAGCTAAGGAAGTTAATGTTCACGAATTTGAATACAATAAAATAAGATTGGAGAGAGAGACTATAGTGTAACGGATTTTAAAATTATTGATTAATGTTTAGATGTTTAAAGAGATGTAAGAATAAGCAAAATAAAAAAATAGATGGTGTTTCCAAGGAGGGGACGAAGGACGAAGAGGGGTTTGGTTTCTCGGGATTGAGATTTACAAGAATCGGGTGCCTTTCGCATTTCACCATCTACCAAACTGACACTTACCCAATTCTAGTATCTATTTATTTATGTATTTCCATTTACATTAAATATGTTACAAAAATAACACACTGAAATTTAATTTCAGAGCTTTTTCAGCTAGCTTTCACATTCGTCTTGAAATTTTCAATTCCGTGTCCTTTTGTGGATGGAGTATCTTTTTTTCTTTTTCCCTCTTCTCTGGTTTTTCAGAAGCCTAACTTTATTTAAAGATGAAAAGCTAACTTTTTTTTTTCATATTTAGGGGACTAACGTGATTATTACTAGCAGTACCATTTCTGTTGGTACAAAACTAAAACCAAGATTTTGATGGGTTTGGTTAAGACAGGACAAGATGAGTTGTTTTTTTAGAGTTGAGAAAGGAGAAGATGGGATTATTTGTGGGAATGGTTTGTTTGTTTAGCTACAAATACAATTGCAAAGGAAGTGTTCTCTTCTCTTAAGGCTGGAGATATGGGCCAAACAGGTGGCCCCATCATGATGGGTGATCTCTGGGACAATGCTCACAGTGGTTGTGGTCCCACTTCAACCATTATTTGTCTCCTTTCTTAGCCTCATTTGGTTCCAGTGTGAGTGAGATATAACTTTAATTCTACTATGTATTTTTGTTTTAATGTGGTGTGTGTAACAGTTTTGCAGCAAATTAGACTCTCAAAGATTCCGAAATGTGGAGTGTGTAATAATACGGATCAGAGTGCATAACAGGTCCGAAGCCTTTGTTATACATCTTATTATATAGTAACAAAAACAAATTATACGACTTCTTAGCTCCTTTCTTAGTTTAGTACTAGTAATCCTCTGAATTTAACCGAAAACGGAGTATAAGAAGAACATGTTTATGAAGAAAAGAAGCAAGCTCTATTGTATACATATATATATACACGAATTGTTTGGTTAGAGATTTTATCAAGTGACGATGCAGATTTCTATTTCTACGGACATGAGAAGAACAAAGTGGTGCCTGTGATATGGGCTCCCACCACCACATGCGTCGGATGTGCCATGATAATGAAACCATGATCATCAATTCATCATCATGCGCATCCACACTGATCCATCCTCTGTAGCCAGCGATGTTCTTTCAAACGTGAGATAATCAGAACCTTTCTTGTCCGTTCTATGTGCCAGAATTTAACATCCATTTATTTATCTGTTGGAAATAAATAGAAAAAAAGAGACAAATGATGGATCAACAGTTGTAATAAAATAAGAGAATAACAATTTTTTTTTTCATTTTAGTTTTGTTTCAAAGCCAAATTTCTTTTTATGAAAGAAGTTGAAACATACTGTGTGTGATCAAATCCCTGCTGATGTGGATGGATGACTAGTACATCTTCGACATACCATACCGAACAGCTCCAACTTTCCGGTGAGCAGAACCACCAGGAGCAGCAGCTGCAGCCGCCGCTGCAACTCCAATCCCGGCTGTTGCCTGTAAAAGATTTGTGTCGATTATGATCCGGTCACTGATGTTGTCGGCTTTGTTCATTCCGGTTCGGGCCATGATAAACGGGTTGTTATCTATGTTGATGGCTACGTCTGGTGCGTATCTATTATTACACTGAGACATTTGCCTTGCCTGCTTCTCAGACTCCATTGTTGTTCTTCTCTCTTGTTGCTTTCCCATGGCTGCTGCTGCTGCTGCCTGTTGTGCAAACGGGAGATTAGTGCTCCGGATGAATGATCTCGGGTCATACGCATCTCTGCTGATTCTACCGTTGTCAAAAGGCGCTACAGGGCCCATGAACGCGCTTGGTTTGGCGGCTGCTTGCAGAGAGAGTCAGAGAGAAGTTTTACGATTATAGAGTTTGATTTGGAAACAGTGTTGTTGGATTCAGGATGAGTGATTGAAAGTACCTGAGAGATTTCTTTGAGGTGCTTGTGATGTTGCATGTTGATTAAGAGGAATGTTTTGAGTAGCTTCAGGGCTCGATGTGTTTGTGTTATTCGTGAATTTCGGCTGTCCTCCTCTTGCAACTGAGGTTGAGTGTATGACTGTTGATCTGAAAGTATACAAAAAGCAGAGTTAGAAATATACTTTCTTTCAACAGCGTTAAGAAAGATATATATCAGAAGTAGCCACTAGAGGTATTAACGAGGATCTACCTGGGAAGAGAGGCATGTTTCCTTTCTAGAGGTGCCACAGGGCTGGTTTTGCCACTGTTTTCCTCAAGATGCGCAAACTGTCTCCTAAATTGATCAACAGCACTGCACAATATACACGAATGTTAGGGACTAGGTGTAAAACAATGCTCGGTCAGGAATGCAATCACAAATTATTAAGACCTTGGGTAGACAAAACTGGCTTTATCAGCACCGCTCATGTAATCTTTGAGCAGCTGAGGATGGTATTCAAGGATCTCTCTGGAAATCAGCTCTCTGATATCTTCTTTAGTGACCTTTCTTCTCTCGAACTCAAATTCCATCTTCGTGATGGGCTGACACGAAGGCTCCCTTTCCACTTTTGCCAATCCCTTAAAATATGGATCGGCAAGAGCCTGATGCAAGTATTAGGAGAAGATCAGTTTAGCGGATCAGTCCAATAGACCAAGCATATGCATGATTAGTCAGTATTAGAAGTTGAAAGAACCTCTTCAGCAGTTGGCCGGTCTTTTGGATCAAAAGCAAGAAGCCTCTCCAACAACTTCAAAGACAAAGGATCCGCGTTTGGAAACTTCTGAGAGAACGGAATGGGTGGTTTTTTCCTCATGCTTGTCAAGTACCTCCTTGCCTTCTCGTTTCTCACCTGTATAATGTCATAAAAACAGAGTATTCATTAGTCCTTGCTTAAGATTTTCAGAAAACTCAATGCATTCCCTTTAAGCAAGAAGATCAGTACCCGAGAGATGGTGTCCAGGGAAGGTGTCCCTAGCAGATCAGTCATAAGATCCAGCTGGTGAACTACATTCTTTCCAGGGAAAAGTGGCTTTCCCATCAATACCTCCGCAAAAATACAGCCTATACTCCAGATGTCAATTGCTGGTGTATACTACAAAGCCAAAATCCATCAAATGTTATCTCGCAGTAATAGACCAATTAAAAGATGTTAATTGTAGAGAACAAATGAAACACCTTAGAGTAAAACGATCCACAAAGCTCTGGAGCTCTATACCATCTTGTAGCAACATAGTCCTGTAAATAAAATAGAAAATAAGGTTGAAGAGTTTCAGCTCCTGCAACATTTTGATCACTATTTAGACCAAATTCAGTTTAAGAGAAGAAAAAAAGGACTCTCATAGAGCCATCTTCGTACCGTCCAGAAGATTGTAGTAGGAGTATCATTGAATGCAACTCTTGCCAATCCGAAATCACAAATCTTAAGTTTACAGTTTGCATTTGCCAATATGTTCTTTGGTTTCAGATCTCTGTGGTAGACGTTAGCTGAACAACCAAGGCACATCAGATACTATATCACAGACTAAAAAATCTCCAACTGAAATAAAGTTAAGAAACATTGACAGAACCAAAATTTCAAAAGGCAAACATTTATACAGACTTTAGGAAACCGCATGAATCAAATTTAGTGCTTTAATGTATCAAAAAGTTGTGTGGAAAGTAAAGTCCTAAAAGACAAATCTAACATACACTACAGTTTGCAAGTCCAATAATTTCATCTACAAAGAGAAAAAGAGAGAGAGATCTTGTAATGCTACCTGTGTGAATGTACTTGAGTGCACGCAGTAACTGATAAAGGAAAAACTGGTAATGCTCTCTGGTCAAATCATCATTGGCTTTAATAACTTGATGAAGATCCGATTCCATGAGCTCAAACACAACATAAATATCTTTGAATTCTCTTCGTGAAGGAGGAAGCATAATGTGCTTAATCTCAACTATATCCGGATGCCTCAGGAGCCTGAGCAGCTTTATCTCCCGCAGAATCCTCGCAGCATCAGATATATGCTCAAATATGTCATGTATCTTCTTTATCGCCACTTTCTCACCCGTAAGTGTGTCTATCGCTGAGCAAACAACTCCATAACTTCCTTTCCCAATTACTTCTATAATCTTAAACCTGTTGGCATCGCCATAGTCAGAGAAGAACTCCATCTCCAGATTATTCTGTTACAAGTAGCAAATTCATGTCAAAATTGTAGCTTTAGAAACTAGGACGCATAACACATCAGTTGCTACAATATTTCAACCTTGTAAACTAGAGCATATACTAAAGCTGATGCAAATAAATCAATTTGACTTGTGAGGATGCAATTGAAGCATTGCTCATTGCTCAATCAATCAACCAACTATCTGATCATAGTCATGAGAAAAACAATTCAAACACCTAAAGTTGATAATTTCTCAAAAGCACCAGCTACTGAAACCATAAGAGCAATCAAATCCAAAAATTTGAATGAAATTGGTTCATCTACACAAATATAGTATAAAAAGTTAGAGAATTTGTCCTCAAGAGATCGAAAGGTTTTGACTTTTGAGTTCAAAACTCACACAAATACAATCTAATGCAGAAGGTGAAGATAGAGATGATCAGAGCGAGGAGAACTGATGCTAAAAGGAAAAGGCAAATGGATTAACGAAGAAACAAAAACACATCTTGTTGTCTAGAATTGTGGTATTATGCGTTGTTGATTGACACTTGTAACGTTCATTGTACCAAAATATCGACTCATAAAAAAACAGAAAAATTCAGAATTTGCACAAAACGGCAACTTTAAAGACGACAACAAACCAAAAACAAACAAGATTAACCGAAAAACAAAAACCTCAAATTGAGATTTAGTATATCGGATCGAAATCGAATCAATTAGAAGAAGAAAATGTTTTCACCTTCTTACGATGATCTTGCTGCATCATTGCGGCTTAATCGACGACTCGATCGGGTGAAATTGAAAAACGCAAAAACCCAGAATTATTAAAACCCTCGAAAAAATTGAATTTCCGGGAAATCAGGTCCGATCGGAATTTGGGGGAGAAAAAAAAAACGAAATCGAAAATCGGAAGAGGTCAAAAATTCAGATCAGCCGCATTGGCCCCATCGACCACTGCTCCAAATCCCGAGGCTAGAATCCAACCTGCTTCTGCTCCGGCAATCCTTCACCGTCAGAGACAGAATCGCAGGCGAATTTCTCATTCACCTCTCTCTCTCTCTCCGCAAACAAAACCCTCTCTCTCTCTCTCTATCTCTATCTCTCCGTCTCTCACCAAACCCACGGAAATCGGAATAAAAACCCAGATTAAGCTAAATCGAGCAATTGCTGAAAGCTGAGTGCGAACAGCATTGCTTTAAAAGCACGTTTCCGTCGGCAGGAAATAAGAATAGAGAAGAGAGGAGAGATCTGATCACCGACACACAAAAGGATAGAGAAGGAAGAAGGAGAAGAGTGAAAATGAAAGGAGAGAGAGATAAGAGAAGGAATCTAAAGGGATTATATATATACGAGTTTTAATGGTCGTCCCGTTTGGTGAGCTGCTTTTTTTCCCACTGTGATCCAAAACACATTTAGTGAAAGAAACAAAAAGTTATGCTTAAGATTACCACATTATTGATTATTTGATTATGCTTAGAAAAACAAATGTATCAAGTAGTTAATATAAATGGGATTAGCACATTAATTGATTTTGATCATTATTAGTTCTATGATCTATATTTGATCTTAATTGCCTTTCATTCATGTTTCTTGTTTATCCAGGATTTGAATTCTGACTTATCTGATACAAATATACTACTGTTCAGCATATTACTACATTTTCGATTTTTTACTATGTTTAGTTTGCTATTTGTTTTTTTATCTATCAAACAAATATTCATTTTGTTTGCCCTATCACTAAAAGTTAAGAATGTGTTACATCTGTACTCATTATCTTCATTCTTTTCTAAAAACCTTTTTTTTAACTATATATGTTGATATCAAATGCCATGGTCATGAATAGATAACTATATAGTCGTAACTGTATACGTTGCTATTATATTTACGAATTTTTTTATCTATTCGATTTTCTAAGCCAGTAGTAGCCTAATTATTATACAGAAATTGGTCATTGCTGCCAATTACCCTATATTCAATAGAACATGAAATTAGTTGATAAAACTAGATACATTAGTAACGACAAATTGTTTAACAAACATAAGGTTTTGAGCCATCTTACGAACCATTTCTTTTCAACTTTTAATTCGGTTCTGTCCAATTGGTAACATAAAAAATGAACGTGTCCAATTGTCTGTCACCGCTTCCACCTAACGCTAACAAAAGATGTCATTTTTAGTATCTTCGACCAACTTTTTAGTTATTTATTGTTAAATGCATATTAAAATTAAACCATACTAAATTGATATATATATTTCTATTTTATTTATGTTGTACTTATATTTTACTTAAATTTTGCTTACATTTTGCTTAACTTTTGCTTAATTTTGTTTAAAAATTTACTAAAATTGTAATATATTTTGTAAAACACAAATTATGTTGATGTTATCAGTTAAAAAAAAAAAAATATATATATATATATATATATATAACTGATATATCTATTGGATTATTACAAAAGTTCATTCATGTAACTGTATCTAAGTTGAATGATGTATAGGTTGGAGTTGTACTTTAAAAGATACTTCTCACAAACTCACACTTATGTGGTACAACTAGAATCAACCTGGCTTTGTACAAACGAACAACCGAGTTGTGTTAGGAAGCTCTGTTAGTCCAGTTTCTATCTACGGCGGTAGACAATACGAGATTTCCATTCTCGTATGGAAGGTTAGATTCTACTTACTCTTTGCAAATTTATTTCTTTTATGTTTTGTATTCTTGTTTTTTAATGATAATCTGTTTCTCTAACCAATGTAGGATCGGAAGAGCGGCAATTGGTGGTTAAGTGTCGGGGCCTCACTGATAGGGTATTGGCTAGGGGAGTTGTTTACAGGTTTAGCAGATTGTGTTGTCAAGGCGGATTGGGGCGGAGAAATAGCGGACGACCAAAGCTTTAACTCTTGATATTACATTATGATATGACACGATTAAATCACGGACTCAATTCTCTAACAAAAATATCATCTGAATAATGGAACTGATTTATCCACCAACACAATGCCATGGGAGCTACAAAGACAACCAATACATAAACCCACATATGCCGTTTAAAAAACACAGACAGCTGACATAAGGAAATAAACAGACAAAGAACATAAAACACAAAGGTTAATTAATGATAGGATAACAAATAGTAGGAGTATAGTATGAAGTTGGAGAAGTTGTTGTCATTAAGAGATCGAAATTTGAAAAGCTTAACATTATCTCGATTGTTCACGCATTATCTGAATCCTGACCAACCGGCTACTGGTCAAGCCATTTAATATGTGATCCCATGGGCTGCAATATTAAGAAATCATTACCAGAAATATACTTTGAAGTTTGAACCGTGAAAAATTGATGACTTTCCTCTAGCTAATCGATTTTCTGTTTCTCAAATCAATCCACCAGTGGAAGATGACTAGGATCATGCCAAAATTAGAGGCACAATGAATTCAATTAATTTCTTTGGGAGTTACTGACTTAGAGTACATGGTGCACCTTCTCCCGTGCTGTCAAACAGCATTGTATTTGAAATATTATCATAACTATATCTTTTTTATCACTACACATTGGTCAAAGTTCATCACCTTTTAAAAAGACTCATTTGATATGCATTATTTTTATACCTTTAAACTTACTGTCTCTAATTTAAAATCTTGAAAAGTTGTGTCAGAAAATAAGTAACAACTAAACTATACTTTTAAACTATGAAATATCGTAATTTAAATTCAACAGTTCTTGCACTAGCAGTAAAAATAATGCAACAGTTATATGGAGTATTTAGTTTCTAACAGATAAATATTTTTGAAGATACTTTTAGCTTTACAAACTATCAGGTGCAATAGAAGAATTGCTAACTCTTGAACAAAAATAGTTTAATTAAAATACTTATATTGTTTAACTTTACAACATAGCTTCACAAATATATTCGTTTTCTTTTTAAATTTCACTATTGTTTCATATATTTGTGTACCATGAATCCATGATAGGTGCGTTTTGTACCATTTTGCTAACCCTGTATTTTCTCCCTCATTCAGTCTTTCTTTTTTCACCACAATTTCCAAGATTCAATACATCATTGTCTTTTTTTTTTTTGAGCAAACGATATCAATAGCTCAATACATCATTGTCACCTATACTAAAAAAAAAAAAACATTGTCACGACCAACTTTTTCCCACTTAACTTTCTTTTATTCTTACAAAAGATTCTTCTCATAAAACTACAAGTGTAGATATAGTTTTTTGATAAAATGTTGATAACTGTCTTTAGTTTTCCTGGACATATATCTAGTCTTTCTCGTGAACAAAGTTGTAAAATTTTTATGGAAACAATATGTTTTTTCTAATAATGAACCAGTTTAAGTCTTCAGCGTTTTTTTATTTATGTGACAAACTTAGTAGTTTCTCAACCATAAAGGAGGAGCTAAATAAAACATACAAAGATTACTAGAGTTATGAGCAGATTTTGATAGAATATATGTACATAGTTTTATTACACATTTTTCGCATCTGGACTGAATTCAACTTAAAAATATCTGTAGAAAAAAATATATAGTGAACCAACTTTAAATCTTCATTTTATTTTTCGAAAAACTTAGTTCATAGTGTTGTAGATCAAATTTAGGTACTTGATTTCAGTAAACATATATAACCATACCGAAATTTAAATCAAATTTATTAGAAAATACAAGATGTATGTGTGTGTGTGTGTGTGGGTGTCATTGTCGTCGCTGATGCAATGGTATGTTCCCGATAAACATTTCCCTCAATTTTGAAAAAATGTAAACACTATATTAGTCCCCTTTTTGTGGTCGAAGAATGTATATATCATATATATGCATGGGACTATGCGGACTATACAAACACTCACTGATTTTACGTAATATATAAAGACCCTCCAAATCCAAATGTCATGAAAAACAGAAAAGAAGAGAGAGATAGAGAGAGAGAGAGGTCGCCGGTGAGAGAAGAGTTTGCCGGCGAAATTATGGATTTCTCGGGCATGTTGCTGCGTTTCATCATTCTTCTATCGCTTGTAAGAGGTTGTCTGACCATTGAGGTATTGTTCTGATCACTCATCATTCTAAAACTTTTAGTGTATATTAGACCCCGGTTTTTTATGATTTCATTTCTTTATCTTTTTTTTTTTTCAAATTTCATTTCTTTATCAATTATCCTTTTTTTAATACAACATTTGGTAATCTATAAATTGAATTTAAGTAAGATTGAAGTATTCGATTCCTAATCTTTAATTTTTGATTTAAATAGGTTTCTCTAATCTTTGATTTTTTTTTTTTTTTTTTTTTTTTTTTTTTTTTTTTTGTGACAGGCTGATAAAGGTATCCTGGCATCAGATGGAGATGTTGTGGATTGCACTGACGTAAAGAAGCAACTAGCATTCGATAATCCTCTATTGAAAAATCACAAATTCCAGGTTGTTGAATTTGCTAATTTAACAAGTCAATTTATATGTTAATGTTTTCTGTTTTCTGTCGACTTTAAATTTTAATGTGTTAATATAAAATTCAAAGAAGCTAATATATTATTTTTTTGTATTCCAAATATTTAGGAGTTACCATCTCAACTTCCTACATTCATCAGATCTACTAAAAGAAGCAAATGGCAAACCCTAGAAGCCCATATTAGTGTTGCCAAGTGTCCTAAAGGGACAATACCAGCAAGGCGTTACAGCTCCACCTCGAATCAGACAGCATCAGTATCTGCTAGTTCCGATTCTGTTCATGAGGTACGTACTTAACCTAATTTATTAGTAATTGACCTTTGACCTTTGCTAAATTTTATGATTTTTCTTATGAACCTATCATAGGTGGTTCCTTAAAGTTTACACTTAACATTGAAAATTTGCCTTCGCTTTAGGGCTTATGTTTGAAAATATAATAATTTCCAATGGGCCTCTTATTATATGAGATTTTTGCCAACAAATATATTTGGGCCTGGGCACTCTTACCCTGCTAGTCTGCCACTAATATGGAATTTGTTAATTTAGTGGATTTTCATGCCTGAAATATAACTTAATGACTACAAAAATGTCAATTATGATTCGCTGACATGTTTTTCGTCCCCACGTTTTTGTATCTAGTACTTTATGCTCATGGTGTATAACTGTATTTCGATTTTGTATCTTCAGTTTTGCCTTAAATACAAACTAATGACTACAAAAAACGAAACATAGTATTACTCCCTTATTTTTAATTTACATAATATGTAGTTGTATGCTAAGACTTTGATTTTGTATTTGGTTTTTCCTTAAATCGTATAAAGTTATAGAACAAAAATAGTTTTTCTCTAAATATTATACTGTTCGTTATCAGAAAAAGGTCTAAAAATGAATAGGTTAGAGCTATCTTTTAAAAGTCATTATACATTATTAGTGAGAGTGTGAGACCGATTAGAAGTATAAGTAGTGAAGCATACTCTGGTGTTGTTATTATCTTAAAACCTCCATGCACTCTTTCCTGCTTCATTGTATGTTTTAGCTAGTATTATTGATAATGTTGTCTTGAAAATATAGCATGCAGTCGGAATTGCCAAAGTCGCACCAAAAATGTATGGAGCAAAGGCTACATTCAGCGTCTGGAAGCCAACAGTAGAAAAAGCAGACGAGTTGAGCATTTCACAGATCTGGATCACATCGGGAAAATACACTACCAACGATGTTAACTCGATCGAAGTTGGCTGGCAGGTCTGTTTAAAATTATGGTATTGCTATTATTTTTCTAATTTTTTCAGTTATACATATATATATATACTTGTCTAACACATTCATACCATTTATTTGTTCATTTTAGGTTTCACCAAATATGTATTTGGACAATAAACCAAGACTGTTCATCTATTGGACGGTAATAACGATTTTAAGAAAACTTTACCTCTTAGTATTACACTATTTATCACAACTTTATCTAATATTAACAAAATTATTATTATTATTATTTTATCATTGCTACTATTCTGAATTTTCGAAGTTAATTGTGAATCAATCTGTAGTAATACTATACCTACGTTAAAAACTAAGTAGTATAGTACTATAGTTTTCTAAAAAGAAGCATATATTGTTGTCTGATACAATTTGTATCTTTATAACCGAGATCTTATCCTTTTTTTTTTGGAAAATGTCGATTCTAATCAGAAAAATATGCATTATTATCTTAAGAGAAATACTTACCTAACGGTGGCTACTGGCTTATTCTTAAAGAATGTCCAATTTTTATACCATATATAAGAAATGAGTTATACGATAATAAAGTGAATACAAATATCAATTTATTATAATATCCTAATGTATGATCTGAACGATAGTTTTTGTTTTCAAATTTAAATCAAGCAACTAAGCTTAATCTCTGGATTTAGGTTATATATTTATTTTAACTACGATTTTTGTGATTCCATAAAGAGTTTACAAACCGCATTTAAAAGAACTTTTTTTTGCTAATATTTATTCTGAAATTAAAAAAACTGTTTAATTCCTCCTTTAATATATATATATATATATATAACAAATATTTTGGTTCACTGCTTCTTTTAAAATACTTAATTTATAACAATGTACAACAACATGATTTTGATAAGTTTACTAATATCAATATTATAAAATATGATCCAGAGTGACACTTACAATGCAACTGGATGCTACAATCTCCAATGTTCTGGTTTCATACAAACTAGTAGCAGCATTGTTATCGGAGGTACGATTACTCCCCTCTCTGCAGTTGATGGCAACCAGTATGAGATCACAGTTTCTGTATGGAGGGTAAGCTTGTTTATTTTACTTGATTCGTTTTATACCTTTTCAGACAAATAGATCGTCGTTGATAAATATATACTGTAAATAAATTATGCAGGATCAAAAGCATGGAAACTGGTGGTTGAGTTTGGGATCCGACCATACACTGGTTGGATATTGGCCGGCTGAGCTATTTGCTAGTTTATCTCACGCAGAAGAGGTGCAATGGCGAGGTCACTGACTCGCATAGTTTCGGGAGACACACGACCACACAGATGGGCTCGGGCCATTTCGCCGATGAAGGCTTCGGCAAAGCTAGTTACTTCCGTAACTTGGAGATTGTCGTCAACAACAACACTTTTGAGCCGGTTCAAGAAGTAGATGTAGTAGAAGTAGCGCCCGACTATAAATTCTACAACATCAAGAAGATGTTTAGAGATGATTGGGGTACGTACCTTTTTTATGGAGGGCCAGAGTTCGATCGTATGCATTCAGGAGTGGCGTTTCTTGTACTCAGTTCGGTTTCCTTTTATTTGAGTGTCATCTTCTTCTTTCTTATCATTTAGATTTTTAGTTTTTATTGAACCATGAAGTTTAATCGAGTTGTAAGAGATGCTATATGATTACAATGAGTATTTTATAACAAAAATCTTATATTAGTTTATAGATATAGTTTGAAACATGAAGTTTAATCGAGTAAAGTTTGTTTACAATGTTCACGAATAATCAAATATCTTTTCTGTCTAACATGAAGACCCTTTAACAAAAAAAAAAAAAAAATCTTTTCTGTCTAACCTTTTCAACTACAACGGTTCGATTCCAATCTCTTCAATTATGTGTCGATCTATATTCTACGATCGGCTATGGTTGAGGCGTCAACAGAAAACCTTGATTATGTCGAGGGTTGAGAGTGTGGAGAAGAAAAAATGCACTGGATTTCTGATTCTATTTACACTTTATTTCACATAGAAAAATTCCGATCCTTGTTCGAGATGATTGCTCACTTTTTAGAAACTGGTACCATATTATTACAACATTTTTGGCATTGCTAACTAAAAGAAACTCTAATTAAGAAAACTGAAAACCTAAAGCTAAACAAAATTTTGTCAAAACTGAGTCTCACTAACTAAGAGCATAAAGAACGTTGGGAACTTTTGTAACATGAAACTCCTCCTTTGGTACTTCAAAGTTCAAACACAAGGAGGTAACAACCACACTAAGCATTCACTACCAGGTACAAAACACTTTCTCGTTACAAATTAAGTAGAATATTTGCATAAGAAAATGTCCAAAGACGAAAGTAGTTGAGATCACCCAAATTAGTTTGGACATATGGTCTATCTCAAAGCCAGCATGGATAAGGGACAATGTCATCAAAGACAAAAAAATGTTTGTGGTTTGATTATCAATTTCATTTTGGCTCTGATGCGATGTAGGTGTATTATATCTATCCTCCATTGATCAAAAGTAAATATTATACACACGAAGCTGATGTAGAGTGGCTTGACAACACAAAGATATGAATTTATTATTTTGTGTAATTTTTTATTTAGTAACGAGAATCTATGATATCGAATTATAACTAAAAAAGCGATGCTGATGATGATTATAATCTTATATTTGAAAAACATAACTATATTCTCAAATCGCTAGTTATACTAGGAAGTGAGGAAGTGATCGATTTATGTCAATGATTGCAACAACATTGTTGAGCTATTATAGGAGTAGCACACTCACCACCATGCTTGTATCCCATATTTACACAGTCACTAGCGCATTCATAAGTTGTATACTTTCTCGTACATGGTACACCGCAGTGATCATATTTTGGTGCCTTGGCCACTGCACAAATAAACATATGAAACGGTTTTTACCAAATTCAATTTACTTTTTCTATAAAGAAAATACACAACACTCTTGAAAATGATCAAAGATGTTGACGAAAAAAAATGATCATTGATAGATAACAAGAACAACATACCCGATGAGGCCAAACCGTTGGCGTTAAACAACGACGTTGCTAGTACCACCACAAGAAAAAAAGCCATATAATTTTTTGTGATATTCATTGTTTTCTCTTCTTACTGTTAAGAAATTTCCTTGTGAAGATGAAGAAGTATACTAAAGAATCCTCAGAAAAAGCTTCTCATAACCCTTTGTCGACAAAAGTTTCCATTTTCAATCCGCTCATAACCATAAATTTTTTTTTCATATTTGCTAATAACATTACTGTTTTGGTAATAGAAATATTAAAATATATACGTATTTATTTTCTATGGTCAACATTAGCATAAATGGTATGATTCTTATTATATATATTTTTTGGTATCAAATCATGGAGATATATACAGTGAAATATATCTCATTTAAGTAAATCCAATTAATACATACTGTTAAATCATAAATGTTAATTGATGAGAAAAATTAAAATCAAAAAGAAAAGTGATGAGAAAAATTGATGCTTTCCGGTGCTTTCGCAATTTCCACTTTCAACGTATTTTTCCTCTTTAGACAGCATGAGAATATATGTATACTGTATGTATAATTGCATATATGGCATGATTCTGTATTGTTTTGGTAAATTACGGAATAGCACGTAAATTCTGAGAGATGTCGTAATAAATACGTAAATATAGCAATAATTCTCATTAAGTTTAATTTGTTTGAGTAAAGTAAAGTTTGTTTACAATGTTGACGAATTAGTAAATCTTCCTTGTTCACTTTTCTCGACAATCGTCTTCATATCAAGATCATGATCTCGTTCTTACGCATGCTACAACCAATCTCGCTAGTGATTGTGACGCGATAATGCTTCTCTCTTGGATTAAATTACTGATAAAGGATGAAGAACGTCGATCCCTTTGATATGCCTTGAACGATTTATTCAAGAAAGAAGATTGTGAATAAGGAAGTGGAAGGAATGACAACTGACGTGGAAGAAGCTTGAGCAAATAATCGTTCTAAAGAAGGACCTTCCGATTAGAGTCTTAGAAATAAGAGTCGCAATACTTTTAGATCAATTTGTAATTGAGAAGAGAGCTGGACTTTGTGAGAGAGTGATTCTTGTATTTGGGATCACTGGTTACATCGTACTTGGAGTCTTTTTGAGTGAATTTTCTTATATAAATCTTCCAACGTATATCACCCCTTTCCTTCTTCGTTGTAACAAGATTTTTGGTTTAGTTTCTTTAGCTCCTTGTGCTACTCTTTTTATGTGTGAATTTACTACTTTGTGTAATGTTTGTTATATTAAATATTGAATCGCATAAAAACTATAAAAGAGACGAACAAACTATATTACATACAGAAAATAAGTTTTATCAACGAAACAAAAAAAAAAACCAAGATATTAGAACATTTTTTTGTCGTAACATGTACATCTTTGGCATTTTTGCATCGCACAAGTATATGAAACACAAACGTTGAAACAAATTATGTCATAAAAGCGATAATGTAGGAAACTTAGTTTCTATCCATTGAATAGCATAAGTTTATTAAAAAAAACATCATTTTATCTTTTATAATTTTATATTTGAAAAAACATAACTAAATTCTCAAATCGCTAGTTATACTAGCTAGGAAGTGATGGATTTCTGTCAATGATTGCAACAGCATTGTCGAGCTATTATAGGGGTAGCACACTCACCACCATTCATGAACCCATCCACTATACAGTCGTGGAAACATTCATAAGTTGTATACTTTTTCGTACATGGTACACCGCAGTAATCATATTTTGGTGCCTTGGCCACTGCACAAATACAACCAAGTTAAAAAACAAAAATATATGCACATACAGTATAGACATTTGAATCGGTTTTACCATATTAATTTTTTCTAGAAAGAAAATACACAACGTTTACTCTTCAAATGATCAAAGATGTTGACAAAAAAACAAAGTTGATCATTGATAGATAAACAAGAACAACATAACCGATGAGGCCAAAACGTTGGACATGCTCAACGACGCTGCTAGTATTACCACTACAAGAAAAAAAGCCACATAAGTTTTTGTGATATTCATTATTTTACGAAGGAGCTCGTTAGTTGATTTTGTTTGAAGAAGAAGAAGTCTATATAGATTATGTTGGGTTAAAGAGAGGCGTCGACTTTCCTCAAGATAAGAACCAAACACACCAAGGGCAGAACAAAGTTTGTTGTGAAAACAGAGAAGAAGAAGGAGCTTTGTGCGAGAGAGTGTAAGAACGAAGGAGAGAAAGTAAAGCAGGAGCACACAACAAAAGAATCCACTAGATTTAGAGAGTTTACAGAACAAGAAAATACAAGTAGTCACTCTAATATCCTTCACTAGTACTTAGACACTACTCTATTTATCTTCTTGTCTAAGAGAACACAATGAACAATGTTTGTGCTATTCAAAGTTTCTCTCTCAACACTCTCTCTAAATCTATCTCAAGTATCTCGTAACTCTCTCTCTCTCTTGCCCCTTGTGTCCTTTGAATGGTGTCCAAGTTTCTTATGCTACACAAGCCGCGTCGTAAACGTCTTCAAAACGCCGTTAGCTTTAGCCAAAGCGTGGACTTTCCTTTTCTAGCACAAACAGACGGAGGTTGTCCTTAAGGCAGAAACATGCTTTTGCTTGTTTTATATTGCAGAAGCCTTTACTCCTGATTGTGGTCCAAAAGCAACTTAACCATAGTTTGGTTTATTTATTTCCACCATAGTTAGTCTTTGGCAGAATTAAATGAGCTTGATCATCAAGTTATCTTGTTCACAGATTTATAAAAAAAATTAGAGAAAGCTTTGTTTATATAACCCTTTTTCGACAGTAGTCTCCATATTCAACCCGCTCATTACCATGAAAAAGTTTTCTGTATTTGCAAATAAAATTAGGGATTGTTATGGTATATACGTATTTCTCTTATTTAGACAGCATAAGAATATACATGTATATGTATATTTGCGTAAATGGTATGATTCTGTATTGTTTTGATATCAAATCACGGAAATATAGCACATACATTCAAAGATATTATTTGGAAACCATTTAAGGAAATATAGCACGGAGTATAGTTTGTCCGTCTCTTATTTAGTTTTTATTCGATTGGATGTTTAATAGTATAAAATTATTAAAGATGTTTCCAAATAACTTTTTCTCGACAGTTTCAACCTACTCATTACCATTAATAATTTTTTTTTCATATTTGCTAGTAATAACATTACTGTTTTGGTAATAAAAATATTAAAATATATACGTATTTATTTTCTTTAGACAACATTAGCATATATGGTATGATTCCTTTGTTTTTGGAGTATCAAATCATGGAAATATAGCACATACAGTGAAATATATCCCATTTAAGTAAATCCAATACATATTGTTAAATCATGTTAATGATTTAGAATTACAAAGTGATGAGAAAAATGGATGCTTTCCGGTAGCTTTCGCAATTTCCACTTTCAATGGTTAATTAGGGTTTGACCCGTGCCCTGCACGGGGTGATAGTTTCTGAATTTGTATTTTTATTAAAAAAAAATTTAAATATTTCGACATTTTATGCGAGAGATTTTTAACCTTTGTTATTCGTTTATAGTATGGAAATTAGGCATTTTAAAAAAAAAGAAATAAATTAAAGCATTGATCGTAACCACATATTAAATATGATAGATTTAACCGAGATACATAAAACTCAAATAACTATAATATAATAAGATAGTTTAAAAAAAAATTGAAAATAAAACATTATTCTTTAGAAAAATTATACATCATGTATTTCATAAGATAAAAAGTTTTAGCTGTGTGGACACGGATTAGAACTAATTTTTTTCTTTCTTTCAAAACTAAAACATGCTTTATTATAATTTCAAAACAATCCAACCAATCAGAAAATAATATGCAGAATCCAAATTGTCAAAACAGCAAAAATATAATTAATTTTGTATAGAAAGTTGAAACAGATAGAGTAATATTCAAAAGTTTAATCAAAATAAAATATTTATAAAAAGAACTTTTTTTATTCGATTTAATTATAGATTTTAATTAAAAAACCATATTAAATGAAAAAAAAATTACCTTTGGATACCTACTAAATGAGGTTATATACGAAACAATTTATATTATTTTGTTTTTAAAAATTCAAATCATAACATGTACAGAAAAAGTTTTAGATTTTTTTTGATAGATTTTTTATATTGTGATTCAAATTATTTTATTAAATAAATTTAAACAAAGATGATAGAAGATGTATACTGATTTTAAAAGAAATTATTATGATGAATTAAATTGAATCTCATATCTTCCTTATTTACTAATTTTCGTAGTTGCCAATTAAGGAAAGAGAATGATAAATTTAATTTCATTATTTGGTTGTAAGCATAATATGCAATGGCATATATTGTAATTTGTCTAGTAAAGCTTGTCTTAATTAGAAATTGCTCTAAGAGTGAACCTAGTGATGACACCTAAGCAATGACATTCTTGTTAATAACACATTAGACAAAGGTTATTTAGTTAGTGTTTTCTCTTTTAATATATTAGGGATCAGAGCAACCGAATACTTTAATCGAACTCACATTCAATTTAGAGCTTCTTCACTGGCTTTTTTCAAGGAGTCGAATACTTCAAACTTAGTTACATTCAATTTCTGTAAAGTTGCTGAAACCAGAATATGTAATCATATCTCACTTCTGAATTTAACGATTCATTTCGTAGCAAAACAAGAGATCAAACAATTACAATTAGTCAAGAACAGAGTAGGAGATCCAACAAGCTGTCTCAGCAAAAGTGATATGATTATTTCATAAAGTGATCATCTAAGAGGACATCTCTTAAGAGTACAACACCAAGGCAAAGCAAAGACAAAGACAAAGGCTTTTAATCTCGATTGCTTCAAATCTGCAGAGCATCAGCAATTGATCCGGCAAGGCTCAAGACTTCGAAAGGAGCTTTGTCTCCTAAGGCTTTAACCGTCTGTGGACAAGAATCCGTGATCCAGAAGTAAGCAAACGCTTCTTCTGATCCTAATTTCAAGACAAAACAAAAAAAACAGGATTAGCCTCAGTTTAAGCTTTACAAGAAGTTACATGAACAATTGACAAAGTCAGTCACTTTTTCTTCCATTTCCACAGGTAATTAACTAATTACCGTTGTTCTTGTGAGTGAAACGCTCCCAAGAGCTCTTTGGGAAGACACCATGAGTTACATAAGCACTCACCTTCGCTGCTCCATGAGCTGCCAATACTTTCTGTGCCATGAACAAAACAGTGAAGCAAATGTAAAGACAGTTAAACCGCCATTTGCTTAATAGTTTCAGTCTAGATAGTCAACAAAACTCATAGAACATCATCTGAACACTGCTATAGTTGACGATACCTGGCATTCAATGAGTGTACCACCAGACTGCACAAGATCATCCACGATAACAACGTGGCAGCCAGCAGGGTTTCCTTCCTTAAGCCTCACTATTCTCTTATCTCCTTCACGAACTTTTGTGCACACCACCTATTCACATGATTCAACCTTTGGTTTCATAAAGTTCGTTCAAAGTGAAGATTGTTAAAAAAACAACAGTTTAGAGCTCGCTATAAACCGTGGGATACTGATCCAACAGCTTGTGGAAACGCTTCCAAGCTCCATCATCCGGAAATGCAACTATGACCTGCACACAAACAAACAAAAAAGGAATCAAATTTTTAGCATAGAGAACGAACACAAAGAAGTAAACTTTCTGATTTGCATGCATTAGTTTATAAACTAACCTTTTCACTTGCAGGAAGCTGTTGCAGACGTTTCGTCAACAATGGGATTCCAGTCTCAAACAAAGGAAGAACTTGATCAGCAAAGTAGAACCTTTCCTGCAAACACAACAAGAAAAAGATCAAAGTCAGCGATAATCAAAAGAAACAAGACTTTACACGTCACAGGAAACTACTTAAAGATAAACAAACCTGGAGAGCGTGAATGTCATAGATGACGACACTAGTCGGACCACCACGAGATATGGGGATATTGGAGACAATCCTTGCCATGGTGAAAGCAGTTGCAACATCTCCTTCCTCTTCCATTCTCTCAAAGGAACCAGTGGGGAAGAAAGGCAACACCAATGTGAAGGAGGCCACAAACAAGCGAGGGAGCAAGTAAATGACTGAGATCTGCTCGAAGATGACCGCAGGAGAGCTGAATGAAGCAAGGAAAGCAACGTGCTGTCCTCGGATTTCATGTGCGTTGTTGATAAACAGATTCGGGAATCCATCAGCAAAGCTCCTGAAACCAAAATCAATTCACATAATCCTCAAATCCCATCTACGAGTCACCAAATGCTATTCATAAAAACTGAAACTTTGATGGAAGATGCCCTTAAATCAAACAGCCACACAAGCAAAACTCAGATTCTGGAGCAGAACAACAAAAAGGGAGTTTTTTTGGCAGAGTGGATCCAAAATTCACAGTAAAGATATGATTTTTTGCCTCAATCTAATAAAGTGAGGAACTTTAAGCATCACCCAGAGACTCAAACAAGAGAATGGAGAAAAGAGGGGAATTTTACCTCCAGTTGATGGATTGAAGGGTGATATGATCAGATTCGGCGGCGATTTTGTGAGCAAGTTCTTCGCACTCTAAGCAGTAAAAGAGATGGACTTTCTTCTTCTGTAACTCAGAGACGAGGGCGTCTTTGCAAATCTTGTTGTCCATGATGATGTTGGCTGCGTTCTCAGACATTGACGCCGTGAAGAGAGTGTGTGTGTCTTTTGCTACGGAATCGGATACACAAAAAAGGGTTTAAAGGGTTCCTTTTTAAAAGCCCTGTATTTGTTCGGCTGACAAATTTTGATTCCTTTCACTCTCTTTTTTTTTTTTTTTTTTTTTTTTTTTTAATTCTTTTACCCCAAATCCACTAATTCAGGTGATACGAAAATATTTAATTTCTCATTTATGTTGTCATTATTTCCAAGTACTGTACCTAATATTTTCAAATTTTTAAAATTTATTCATATTTGATATTTTCAAAACGCAAACTAATATTGGAAACTTGTAAAAGCTTCGATTTTCTTGCAACAAAATCATTTTCGGTAACAACAATTTAAATTATTCAGTCAGTTTTCTTTTTATTTATAAAAAAGTTATTTACCTATGTCTTATAATTTCTTCGATCGGAGGACCATAAAAAGGTCAACTAGTTTTGACTCGGTCTTCAATGTTCAAATTTGGGAGTTTCAAGACCCTTCTCTATGGCCTGTGTGGGTGGTGGTCATACACTTGATCAATCACAACCTCAAAACTATACCCATCAGCTTTACCAACAACAAGTCAACAAACCAATCCAGTTGAGCTACTCACACTATGTACTAGCATTGTCTTGGGTGCTGTTCTTAAACATTTAACAGTTTTATAAACAAAAAGTTCAAAACAATAACATTTACTTGTCAAAAGGGTACTTCGCATCCAATTTCTTTTGTTTTAATAATTTCGTTTTTTTTTTATGTTGCTTCACTTTCATAACTTATCCATAAGTCAAACTTATATCATCCTCTCAATAAGCTACCGTAGAACTTGTTAAACAGCATGAAAACCGACGCAATCACCAAAAAATGTATTTTTAGTTATACAATGGAAAAAAAATCGACTTGATAAAAAATCTAGTTATAATATTTTTTTATAAAAAAGTTCATTCCGAACCGACGAAATGGTGAAAGAAATCCAATCCAAGTTTTTTTGGGTCCCTGTCAGCTCGAATGGACAAAGTTTATAATACTGCCTATTACCTTTGATCATACTGCAATTAAATGTGAGCGTGACAGTTAATTTGTTTTCCTAAAAAAAAAGCTACTTTTCGAACATAGTAAAGCCACCAAGATTGAACATTTGAACTCCAATAGTTATCAAATCAAACATATAAAAGTATATCATATTTATCCGATAAGAAAATAATCATTTCCACGCAAAAATCGTTGGAATCATATCTAACCTTAAATAATTACATGGAGCCATGTGTATGCGTGCAATACGACAGCAGCCAGAGAACCAATCATGTTCGTATCCTCAATTATCAAATCCATTGTCCTTCAATCTTTCGCTTACGCAACACAACCTTGCGTGAATCACACGCACCACTCGAAACCACATCCACCGCCCGATCATCCAAATCAAGTCTCATCTCATGGTTCAACCGTTTGATGAAACCTTCGCTACGTCTTTCACAGTAATCCAACAACCTAACCACAGACGCAAGATCCTTATCCTTCTTCCAATACCAACCTAACTCATCAAAACGTCGACGTTTTCTCTCCTCCACGGCCAGATACTCCACCATGCCGGCGATAAGCTCCGACGAAGCTCCTGACTCGTCTCCCCATAGCCAAATCCTTACCATAGATCGTCGCAATGCTGATCTCACGGCGTTTCCGAAGTCACTTCTTTCCACTAGATACGAGCTTAATCTGATCACATACTCTCCATGACTTGCACCGGAAGTTACCGAAACCCTCTCTACTCCATCACTGCTATTTCCACAGAATCGGACGGTCAAGTGGCTTACAGGCTTCCGGAGACGATGAGGAACACCGTCGTAGAGAAATCTCTCCACAAAGAAGCTCGTTTGGAGCAAACTCCGCACAGCAGTATCATCAGATTCGAAGAAAAGTGCGAATCTTTTCCCGGAAGGAGATTCTTTAGCTTCGTTGATGATAGTTATAGAGAAACCTTTTGACGCCTCGTGGTTTGCCCACAAAGAGATTGCTCCGACGAGAAGTAGAGAGAAAAGGCGTAGAAGAATACCTAAATCCGACTCTGACGCTGAGATTTTGGTGGTGGATTTGGCTAGGAAAGGTTGAAGAAGAGTCTGATCCGCCATTGAAACCATAGAGAGAGAGAGAGACGTGTAACGGTTTTGTAATGAAATGTGGTAACTAAATTAAGACGACAGAGACATATAACGAGTCTGTTGTAGTGAAACAACTAAAGACACTGATCATGTCTTTCACATGGCCAGGAGAATGTACACGCAAGAGGAAGATTTTATATACATTAAGTTCCAAACAAATTACATAAATGTACTAAAAGGGATGTTTTCTGTTTTTTTTTCCGTGTGAAGTTATCCCTAAAAACCGGTTTACTCTGTTCCGAGGAACAACAAGTCTTAATACTTTACATCCGTTTTTCTTACATAACTGAGCCAGATCTGTACACTTACTTCTGAAGGTGGGTTAGAGAGTTCCCAGCTACTGGTTTTTAGTGGGGAACCTTTAAGAAGACTCTTCTGAAATGTTCTTGGAGTTAAGGTTTTCCCTCGGATTATCCATAAGATCATAAGACCAATCTGTATCAGGCGTGGTTCTGTTCCAAATGCTTGAAAAAAGTTGATCCTGTAATGATCCATAAATACAAGGTGAAATTGGTGGACACAAAATTTGAATAGACTGCATTTGGTCATTGAATTTTGAATTTAGTAGACTACCTGATCACCGAGGTCTTGACCCTCATCATGGTGAGAGACTTCTGGATTCTGCATGTGTGAGGCAAGAGCAGATTTTCCTTGGATCTCTGCATATGCCAATGAAGCAACTTTCCCACTGTTGAATTTCTCCCATATTTTACCACTGAAGGTCTGCATGATAAATATGTGTTAACTATAACATCTGAAGCAAATGTATCTCAATACCATATCTACAATACATGGTCATGTTCATTAGGAAATAACATAGCAACAATGAGATAAGCTGAGGAGGATATGTTGAATGGAATTCTTTGAAGTATTATGGAGTTAAACCAAGGTTGATGGAAGAAGAGTTTGCATTGGGCATTGCGTTTTGTTTACAATTTTAGTTGAGAATACAATTTGTGGTTTGCCTTGATGATATTTAGTTGTTTGAGCAGGGGAAGTTTGGGGTTCTTTGGTTTGGTGTCGACCACATATCAGTTTCTAAAAGCAATAGAGAAGAGAAAAGGTTAAAAACCTGTTGGAAGGGAACGATGTGCAATGGAGAGACCATATTGACAAAAGCATGACCAATGTTGCACTTATTCTGCATCCAGAAGAAAGCCAGATCGTCAGTTAAGTTCTCAGGGCATACAAGAGCATCATTTGTTTACTCTTTTATAGTATAGTAGTACCTTAAAGTCTATAGGTAAACAGAGGAAGTCATAGTCTCCCTTATGCTTCTCGTCAATTTCAGCCACCAGCATCTTATAAGTATACCTTACAGAACAAACCATCAGAGAGTTAAACCAAAGATCTTAGATTTTGAGATAAACAAAAACGCTTACTTGTTTGGGATGTTCTTAATGATTAATGTAGTCCTGATATCATCTCCAGTAATAATCCTATCCAAGTCAATATGATACCGTCCACCATCAACCAGTTGATTCCGACTCTGAGTTTGAAGGTTCTCCTCAGTAAAAGGTTCATATCTTGCTGACTGCAATCCTCTACTCCCACCAAAAGCAACTGTAGGCATGTCAAATCCAGTGAATCCCCGTTCATTATGGTTTCCCGGTAGACTACTCACACCAAGGCTTGCTTTTCCATGAGGAGCATTGATGTAGCTTTTGTTGATTCCCATGTCGTTGAATCCAAAAGGTATCAGGGAAGAAGATGTCTCTGTTGATCCCTGGTAGGTATTAAAATGAACGCTTGAAGGAGCAGAGCCCACATGATGCTGGTATTTGCCAAGCAACGAACCTTGCCTCTCAGCAAATGGAAAACCATGCCTGACATTAGATGGTGATGAAGACGACGAGGCTGCTCCAGTGTAACCAGGATAGTTCATATGCTGAGGAGGGCTTCCCCAGCGAAGGCGGTTATCAGACGAAGTCCCAAACCCTGAAGAGCGTGGAGGAATAAACCTCATGGCGTTGGAGATTCCACCTGCTAAGTGCTCTGGCAAGGAATGAGGTTGACCATAGGCAACGTTGTGCATCAATCCTCTGTTCAGAATTGTTTGGTTTGGATGATTCAGTAGCCCTTGCTCGTTACTGACCGGAGAAAACCCTTGAAAGCTAGAAGGATAAGCAGGGAGAATCGAAGCCAGTCCCGGTGTATTATCTTGGTTAACCGGCCTGACGATTCCTAAACCATGTGGCCTCGGAAAAGCATTCAAAGGAGAGCCCTTCACTGGACTGCTAATTGGCCAGTTACCTGTTAAAGTAGATTGAGTGAATACCAAACCAATGGAAAGATAATCAAATGATGAATATGAGATTACCTGGTGGAGAATTGGCAACCTGTGAGCCTACTTGACTGAAGAAATTGGTACTGTCCAATTCTTGATTTGCTGATGGCACCGAGCTGCATACAAATAGTTTTTCAGTTCACTGTGTATGCAAAGATAAATCTGATTCTTGGAAATATATACAAAGTGCAGGGAAACTCACATTCGACGGACGCCTCCAGGACGGCTAAGTTCTAGCTTTATACATTTTCCACCTATCTCGCTTCTATTCAGTGCTTTCAGGGCTGTCTCTGCATCTCTAACATCATAATACTCTATGAACCTGTGGAATCGCCTGTTCGGAGTTTCTCTAATCTGCATTCACAAAATCAAGAATTAATAAACGGATGATTTGATAGAGAGAAGAACATCTTAACACACAAATATCACCTCTCTGATTTCACCATAGGCACCGAACAGCTGAAGGAGCTCATCGTTGGATACTGTTGTGTCCACATTGAAAATCACAAGCGTTCCTTGATTCATATCCTTCTCTGACGGGTTTTCCTATCATGTAGCCAGTAACTCAAAATCAAGAAAAGTGATAAAGAAAGCTGAAAACTTCAAAATCAATAATGTTTCTCATAGTCACCATACTTTAGGTATGGAAAAGTGAATGTCCAGTGTCCTTTTCCTCAAGAGAGTGTTCTGTAGTGCACGCATTGCAGCATGAGCAGCTCTAATGTCATAGTAAGATATCATCACAAAACCCCTGCTTTTGCATGCAGTGTACAAACTCCTGATCTCCCCAAACGGCTGATGAAACAAAAGCATAAATGAGTCAAAGCTTTGATGAGAGACAGACGAAATGGAAGCAAACAAAGTGTGTATGTAGCATTTACCTCAAAAAGAGCGCTTAACTCAGAATCCTCAACACTGCTGTTGATATTCCTCACAAACAACGTCCTTGAAGGATGTTCACCGTTCGGATGCTCTACTGAAACTCTTCCAGCCGTAGTGTTGGGACGTTTACGAGGAACAAACGCGTTCGCAGCAGACATCTGCATCCCTGACGCATCTTGGGATTCAACATCAAGTTCCATACCACCTCCGGTGCAGAAGACATCACAGTCTTCGAGATCTTCAAGCTCATCAGGGAGGCCGTTGAAGTTAAGCTCGTCAATGAGGCCAGGAAGGAGCTCGTTCTCATCCTCTGGAAGCAAGATCTCTAAAGAATCTGGCTCAACATCTTCCGAAGAGTCCTTCTCTGAGTTTCCTATGGCGAGTTTGTTCAGATTTGGTGAGATGTTATCATCAAGCGAGAGCCAGCTATCTGAATCAGTCATGTTCACTGCAAGTTTGTCAAAAACGAGACAAAGATATTAGCATTTGCCTTCAAGTAAGTCAAGATGATCAATGAAAGAAGCTAAGACATACGTTTTTCATGGAAAAGTGTAGGCAATGAGCTTGAGAACATGCTCAGATCACGATAACCACTGCCTCCATTAAAAGTTCCAGATGATCTACTCAGCAACGATGGCATGTCTAGAACATAAAAAACAAAAGATGTTAATTTGCATCAGAACAGAATATATAAAGAAAGTATTTTTTTTCTCATACCAGCAGATAATGATGATTCCTTGGGTTCAAGCTCCATCTTTGTGGCGTCTGCAACTGCAAAACAAAACAAGAAACCAACTTTAATACTAATTTCTGATTTTTGCATCATAAAGCACACAAAAGCTACTTCCTAAGATCATTAGCTCTCTCAATCACACATGATTGAATATAAATGTTTCCTCGTCCAGACGCATATAAACAAAGCTAAACAGAGAGATTGAATATTCCATGAAACTCTCAGTTGGTCAACTCGATGAACAGCAACTTAAAATGATTTACTTCGGGAAAGGTTTCTCCTTTTGGCGATAAAACATCAACAGAAATCATCTCTGCAACAAACTCAAATTTCAAAGCTTGAAACTTGCAATATCCCACAAAATGAAAACATCTGAAACAGGTCAAACATAGGCTCAAGGACTCATAAATTTCATTTCAACTAATTTTCACGCAGAAATCATTACAAACAGGAGAGTAAGAAAAACCCAGAAAACAATCATCACCAACTACATGAACAGGAAAACAATCAAACAAATAAGAAGAAAGGTGTGAAATTTTTCATATATATCAATCGATTGCAAAAATTTCAGCGAAGAGAATTAGAGAGAGCAGAAGTAGTACCTGCGATGGAGGAAACCATGAAAAAAAAAAAAAGCTTGAGTAGCCGATCAAACTAAAACAAAGAGGAGAATCGGAGAAGCAAAGAGGAGGAGAAGAGAGCTATGTTTCGTAGAAGAATAGGAATTTCTTGCTTACACTCTTCCTCCTCCTTCTTCCGTTGCCGGGAAATTACACAAACGAGCAAGCGAAAGAAAAAAAAAATATTGAAGGAAACCGAATTTTGTTTTATTTTGTCAGGGTGAAGCAGAGAGAGAGAGACCAAAAAAAGTGAAGTAAAACTTAATTTAAAGAGTAATTCTTACTTAATTAGACTCTTAACATTTTTTTTTTGAAAAAACGATTTTTTCGGCGTCAGGCCAAGTGCCCAACCGTTGACACGAACTTAAACCAGCTTGATGATGTCATATTGTCATTGTTCATTTCCTTCTTTTTTTATTCTATGAAAAATAATTTCATTTTTTCTAAAAACACAAAAAAACTGAAATTCTAGAAAAATATCTATAAGCTGTGGAGTATCTATCTTATATTTTTTTGTTAAAGTATCTATCTTATATTCTTACATGAATATGTAGATATGTCTTGTAGTAATAGTCATATGTTTTTTTTTTTGGTTTTAGTCATATGGTCTTAACGGAATTTTGTAGCCATCGATTAAATCAAATTTTATTCCGAAGTTTTAACAAATCATTAGAGAAAAATTGAATCTTAACCTTAAGCTAAATATATAGACAGTAATGTCAAAATTCAATCTTACGCTTAATATATAGAGAGATGTTATGATAGACAGTAATGTCCAGTTTAATATGATTATTTTAGTCTGTAATATAATAGCGACAAGGACATTGATATGATTGTATTTGTCTAATCCTCAAGCTTAATGTTTAGCGAAATGTTATGATAGACAGTAATGTCCAATTTAATATGATTATATTTGTTAAATGTTTGTTCTCAGTCAATTGAATCGTTAAATTCAGAAGAAGAAAAAATTACAAGAGGTATTGTGTTCATCATCTTGATTTTTATGGCGCTCATTTCCACACGTGTGCAATCAATCTCTCGAAAAGAATTAACATAAATGTCACACTTTTATTTAAACTCGAATCGACAAAGTTTCCGCGGGTAAAAAATGTCTCCGGCGATCTTATGCTACTCCGGTATGACGGTACCGGCGATTCCCTCACCGATTTCCGTCTCCGGAAACTCTTATCTCCGATTGATAGATACACAATGCAGCACGATGAGAGAACTCAAGCAGATCCACGCCAGTCTCATCAAAACCGGTTTAATCTCCGATACTATTGCCGCGAGCCGCGTCCTCGCCTTCTGCTGCTCGTCTCCGTCAGACATGAATTACGCTTATTTGCTCTTCACAAGGATCAATCACAAGAACCAATTTGTGTGGAACACTATCATCCGCGGCTTCTCACGGAGCTCGTTCCCGGAGATGGCGATTTCGATTTTCGTCGATATGTTGTCTTCTCCGTCACTGACGCCGCAGAGATTGACTTATCCTTCGGTGTTCAAGGCTTACGCTAGTCTCGGAAAAGCTCGTGATGGGATGCAATTGCACGGGAGGGTTATCAAAGAGGGACTCGAAGACGACTCCTTTATACGGAACACGATGATTCATATGTACGCGACTTGTGGATGTTTTGTTGAAAGTTGGAGAATTTTCACGAGGATGATGGATTTCGATCCCGTTGCTTGGAATTCGATGGTCACTGGTCTTGCTAGGTTCGGGTTGATCGAGGAAGCACAGAAACTGTTCGATGAAATGCCGCAGAGGAATGAAGTTTCGTGGAACTCGATGATCAGTGGGTTTGTGAGGAACGATAGATTTAAGGATGCGTTGGAGTTGTTTCGAGAGATGGAGGAGAGAGATGTGAAGCCTGATGGGTTTACAATGGTGAGTCTGTTGAATGCTTGTGCGTCTCTAGGAGCAAGCGAGCAAGGGAGATGGATACATGAATACATAGTGAAGAATAGATTTGAAGTTAATGGTATAGTTGTGACTGCACTCATAGATATGTATTGCAAGTGCGGGTGCGTTGAGGAAGGTTTTAAAGTGTTTGAGAGTGCTCTTAAGAAGCGATTATCCTGTTGGAACTCGACGATTCTTGGTTTAGCTAATAACGGATGTGAGGAGAGAGCTATGGGTTTGTTCTCTGAGTTGGTGGAGAGTTCTGGTTTGGAGCCAGATTCAGTCAGCTTCATTGGTGTTTTAACAGCTTGTGCTCACTCAGGGAAAGTAGATAAGGCTGGAGAGTTTTTCAGATTGATGAGAGAGAAGCATTCGATTGAGCCATCGGTAAAGCACTACACTTGCATGGTTAATGTGCTTGGTGGAGCGGGGCTTCTCGGAGAAGCGGAGGCAATGATCAAGAACATGCCGGTGGAGCAAGACGCGGTTATATGGAGTTGTTTGCTTTCTGCTTGCAGGAGAACCGGTGACGTTGAGATGGCTGAACGGGCGGCGAAACGTTTGGAGGAGCTGGATCCTGATGAAACTTGTGGTTATGTGCTCATGTCTAATGCTTATGCTTCTCATGGGTTGTTCGAAGAGGCTGTTGAGCAGAGGGTTTTGATGAAGGAGAGACGAATGGAGAAGGAAATAGGGTGCAGTTCGATTGAAGTAGATTTGGAAGTTCATGAGTTTGTGTCTTGCGGGAAAAAGCATCCCAAATCCCCAGAGATTTACAGTTTACTAGGTTTGTTAAAGTGGGATGTCTCTGCACTAGAGTCAGAAGTTGGCTACTGCTCTTTGCTGAACAACTTTGTCATTTAAAGACACTGTAAGTACTGTTTGGCGTTTAACAGAGAATTAAGCAGTCTTATAGTTTTGAAAAAGCAGCTGAAAATTATTATTTTGGTGTTGTCAATTAGATTTAGACATTGTACATAAATATATAAAAGAATTTTGCTTTCTTTTGCAGGTTTCTTCCAGGCAGTCTCTATGAGCTTTGCATTGCTCTGTTTCATGCTATCTGAGCAGCAAGATAAGCCAGGTATGTGAATCCAAGACCCCACAAGAAGCTTCCTAGGTTTGGAACTTCCCTTCTTGTTGACGAATCAAATGGGAATGCAGTAGTGCTGAAAATCGATTTATTAGATTATCTACTGTGTTTCTCTTAGATGAGGTTTATGGGAAAAAAATAACGAAAAGAAATGAAAAGCTTGTGCTCACCTGTTAGATGGGAACTGACACGTCGGAGTACCTGGAACACAAATCACAAACCGAAAAATGATTGAGAAAAATGAATTCCAACACTATCACAGTGGAACTCTAATGGATTTAGTCAAAAGGTAGAATGTCAAAAGTGTTTGGAATTTACTTGGGTCTTCATTTGTAATCCCAGCAGCGCCATTGAAATAACAAACGCGTTGTGTAGGATCCTTCTGGTAATAGTCATTGAAAGCATACGTAGCTTGGTCTGTGAAGTTGAGGTTCTGATAACGGCCACCTTTTTCAATTGGTGAGCAATCAGCACCATTCTTACAAGCCCAACTTACTTCCCATCTCAGTTTAGCAAGGGAGGAATATTGGTTGCAAGTGCACCAAGTTCTATAGGTAGTAGGAGGAACTTGTGCTGTTGCTGCTACTGAAATAAGCGCAAAGAGGATCATTAGCATCTCCGTCTTCATTTTCTGAGAAATTCTTGCTTTTTTTTTTGGTATAGAAAAAGGAAATGGAGAAACTGGTATTGAAAAAGTACTTGATGCTGCTGCTGGTTATTCTCAATCTTGAATTTTTGCATGTATTTATATCGTTTGTTTGGAGTCGTAGTTAAGTCCTATTGTAATTTATCACAGGCGTGCTCCTATGTCTTAAGTTTATTTCTAATTAAGGCCATGGCATGCTTTGCAGTAACCTTGATAGAGAATCTTCACTTTGGGATCAAGAATAGAAAACACTGTAATATTTTTCGTATTAAATTAGAGGATTCTGCTTTAAGTACATTAGTATTTTTTCAGTTTCTTCTTTTACTGTAGCAGGTACAAATTACAGAGGAAGATAAGCTTCAGTTTTTAACCAACCTTATGGTTCACTCTACCTACAGAGATATTGATCTTTGATTCAGAGGTAAATATAAAGCTAAAGTACTTTGATATGATGATTAGAGAGAGAGTAGGATTAGGGTTTGGACATAGCACGCTGCGCAGGTCCCCAAGAGTAGATATCAGAACCAGAGTTTCCATTAGTGAGCAGGTTCTGAGGAAGGCCATGAATGTCATCTAAAGGACGTGATCTTCCATTCTGATAGTACTGCTGGTTCTGCATTGAAGCAGCTTCGTCGTCATCCATAGGAAGACGATCAAAGACAGCATTCATGAAAGACGCAGCCATGAGAACAACAGGACCGGACGCGATAAGCCCACCAACGACTCCTCCGCCAACGACCTGTCCTTGAGGCCCGGCTAAGTAAATGGTCAGACCGGTTATCCCAAGCGGTGCTGGTGGAGGCAAGATTGATCCGAGCAATGAGAGGATCTCGAAACGTCCGTGTAACGTCACGATGGCTCCTGATGAAGCTGGCTGCCTTAAGGTCACATTGGTGACGCAACCATTGGCACTGAGTATGCAGAGACCTCTCTGTTTCCTTCTTGCGAAATCTGACAAAGTCTCACAGATGTCATTACCGGAGCTGATCTCAACGGCGTGAGCTCTGAGGGAGTTTGGACTGTCGTGAGTGACAATGATTGGTGGTTTGGGTTTGTTCTTGGAGCCAGCTGGTCTGCCTCGTGGCCTCTTAGCAATCTGTCCTTCGATTGATGAAACCGGTTGGACCGCTTTGGGTAACGCTTTCAGATTGTTGTTGCTGTTGTTATTGCCTCTCTCTGCTGCTTCATGGTTCCTCAATGGAAGTGACTTTGATCCTACAGAGGTTGGAGTCAGAGTTGAGCCTCCAGCCATTGTTATGGAAGAATGTTGAGATTTCAAATTTCAACTGAGATTTTGTGAGGAGTTTATGGGTTTAAGTAAGGAGATGTTATTGTATTTTATGGTAGAGACACCAAAAGAATGATTGTGAAGAGTAGGAGATGTTTAAGTTATCACCAACATTGTGATTAATAATTAACAACGTTATTATTTATTTTTCTGGCAGCCTACTTCTCAACTGATGGTTCATGACGATTGTCTTCTTTAACAGAGAGATTTCATTATAATGTTTAAAAATCTTGTAGCTATTTTACAACCAAATTATCTCATTTTGGGACCAAATCTAAAATTAAATACTGTTTTAAGACTTGTGAACAAGAACACATGAAAAGTCATTTTCTCTGACACAATTACAAAATCTAGTTTTGGCCCGTGAGTGGGTCCAATAGAGCCCAAATTTGGTATCACACGTGTGTACACGTGTTTGTTCGTTCTCACCTTCTCCTCTCGACTCGAGTGCCAACATGCTCTCTCTGTTTCTCTCTCAAAGGCAATTCAAAAATCTCTGTTCTTCATTCGAATCGGCGGAGAAACTTAGGGAAGCTCTTGGAGGAAAGTGTATACCTGTTAAGTTCGCTTCTCTCTCTTTCTCTTGTTTTACGATTCACAATTGTGTAATCGCAGCCTGATTCCGTGAATTCTGCTGTTTTTGATTCAGAAAACGAGATGAGTGATATGAATCGAAATCTGTAATCAAGTGAAAATTGATTGAAGTATGAATGCGAATCACAACGGGAATCAAAGTTACCATAATCTCTGGAACGATGGGCTTATCTGTGCTTTCGAGTTTCGCCGAGGTCGCCGTAAGCAGCGAAAAGATCCGCCGGAAAATTTGCTCCAAATGTACGATTAGTTGATAACAATCACTAATTTTGCTTATTGCTATGGACCTCTTCTCGGTAGAATCTTTAACCAACTGTGAACAGTGTTGTTGTGATAGCTGTAGATCAGGAGAAGTAGAAGAAGAAGAACATTCGAGGAGCTATTGGCGACCAATTGGATGGGAGAGGCTCTCGGAGCTTGTTCAGACTGTGAACGTTGATCATGACTGGGAATCGCAGAACATGGCTATTGATGATGAGGTTGAAGCGACGGTTGCTGAGCTGGCTGCTCCTTACTGGGAACGGCCGCTTGCTGGACCAACGTGGTGGTGCCATGTAGATGCTAGCCATCAAGGTATTGCCTTGTGGCTGCGTAATGCGCAGTGGTTGCATCCGGCTGTGAGCGTTGCTCTCCGGGACGAAAGCAAGCTCATCAGTGAACGCATGAAACATATTTTCTATGAGGTAAAAAAGTTCTTGAATTTGTTGCTTTTTGTAATGTGGCTGAAATGGATCAAAATTGTTATACGGTGTTGGATAGGTTCCGGTTAGAGTTGCTGGAGGGCTGTTGTTTGAGCTGTTGGGGCAATCAGCAGGTGATCCTTTTATAGAAGAAGATGATATACCAATCGTGTTAAGGTCATGGCAAGCGCAGAACTTGGTAGTGACTGCATTGCATGTCAAAGGCTTTGCCTCGAATATTAGCGTGTTAGGGATTACAGAAGTCCAGGTTTGTTCTTGCTCATTTGAATCGTTGCATCATTCTTTCTGTTTTCTTGGGATTGTGTGTCTAAGCTGATGTATGCTCTATGATCTTACCAGGAAATGCTTATCGCTGGTGGAGCTTGCATTCCAAGAACTGTCCATGAGCTAATAGCACATCTTGCATGCCGCCTTGCTCGTTGGGATGATAGGTATATAAGAAACGTTTTGGTTCTTGTTCATCATGTGGATTTTAGCCCTGTGATGGTTGGTTAGTAATATACTTGTATACACATCCTGAATGTAGGCTATTCCGCAAGTATACATTTGGTGCAGCCGATGAAGTTGAGTTGATGTTCATGAACAAGTAATTCAACTGAACCTTATGTCTTCTCTTGCTTTACCACTCCTCCATAAGCCTGATGTAGCAAGTTAAATTTTGTTTTTTTCTTTGAAAAATTAGGAGAATGTATGAGGATCTAAATCTGTTTACTATAATCTTGAATCAAGAAATCAGAAGGCTTTCGACACAGGTAAAGCTTTCTTTCTATGTTTGATCTTTTCAAAAGAACTTGTTGCTCGGCTCTGCTCTGTTCATCATTTGTCTTTGATGATATATTTGTATTAGGTTATCCGGGTGAAATGGTCTCTTCACGCCAGAGAAGAGATTGTGTTCGAGCTGCTTCAGCAATTGAAAGGCAACACAACGAAAGAATTGCTAGAAGGAATAACAAAGAGCACACGCGACATGATCAATGAGCAAGAAGCCGTGCGTGGCCGGTTATTCACTATCCAAGACGTCATGCAAAACACTGTCCGAGCATGGTTACAGGTACTGTATATAGAATAATTGACATTCAAACGATGCTCGTCTTGTTAATTTTTATATGAACGTATGATTGGTTTGATTAGGACCGGAGCCTCACGGTTACACACAACCTAGGAATCTTTGGAGGAGTTGGTCTCTTGCTTACGATAGTGACTGGTCTGTTTGGAATCAACGTGGATGGGATACCAGGAAATAAAGATTATCCACAAGCCTTTGCGCTTTTCTCAGTGATTCTTTTCTTCTCGGGTTTGGTGTTAGTGGTCGCAGCTTTGCTTTACCTTGGACTCAAGGAGCCAGCGGCGGAAGAGAATGTGGAGATTAGGAAACAAGAACTTGACGAAATGGTCAAGAAGTTTCAACGAGAAGCTGAGTCTCATGCTCAAGTCTGCCAAAAAGTTCCTCAGAGCTTGGAACGCTCGGCTGGTTCTAGTAGAATGAGAGTACATGATCCTAATGGTTACGTTCTCATCGAATGAAATACAGTATGTAGGTCTTTAGCCAGGCCAGATTAATATGTTTGTAAATTTTTCGAACATTTAATCTTTAAATCATGAATTACTTTTTAGTGATTTTATTTTGATGTTTTGAAAGTTGTAATATTGAAGCAAGGGTCAACCTAATTGTTTCATAGAATAGAAAGACTAGGTGGTCATCTATGAGTAATTACAAATAATTTGCCTGACAACAAAGTAGGATCATTGACTTCATAATTTTTTTGTTCTCTTGATGATGCATTTGAGAAAACAGTTACAAATTTGTTTTCCTAAGTTATAGCTACAAAATCAATTTGGTTCTCTTGATGCATTTGATAGATATGACTCAATTCTACTAATCTATTCCCACTCAATTATAGTTTATCAATCAACGCAAACCTTACTTCAACAAGAGAACTTTATTTCATAATCAATCTAAATGGTTCTTAAAAAGATAATCTAAATGGTTCTTAAAAAGAGGAGTAAGGATTATAAAGTTCTAGATAGCGATGCAAAGAGCTTAGTCTTAATTCATATCTAACACAAAATTTGTACAACATGAATGTACCAGGCATTGGTTACCGCTCAAAGTGTAACCCTTCCATGCCCCAATGTTCAGTGCAACAAGTCAACATGAATTTATTGATGAAGTCCGTAGAGAGGATTGACGATTTGCTTCATATAGGAACATATTGCTCTTACTTCTTGGAATAGTTGTTGGCACTGGTTGAATAGGTGCTGGCTGTGAAGATAAACAAGTGGAGCAAGAAGAATCCATACACATGGGCCCAGATTATGATTATCTTGAATCAATGTACATAGATTTATGTTGGTATCAATTCATTTTCTTTTTAAAACCTACTAATTATTTTCTATGATGTTTTTACAGTGTCCTACTGATTTTATGTTCTGGTAGGTTCTTGCATTTTTTTAATTGTGTGCTTTTTTATGTATATTCACTATGGATTTATATTGTGTTTTTTTTAATAGGTTAAAGGTTTTGTGGAAGACAAAATTTGGATTTGGATTTGGAAGATAGTATTCGCTTTTGATGTGAGGTAAAAAGAATTTCAAACTAGAATTCTTTAGTGTTCTTGTTTTTCATTGTTTTAACCCTATAATTTTTTGTTTGAATTAATTTGTTTTGCAGGTTTAGCTTGAATACAAAGCAGATGTTTAATGTCATCAGAAGCTAAATGCTGCAGTTTGTTTGCCTCTATCTAGAACAATATTTTGACATAAACATAAATTAGAGTTGGAATTTAGTATTTCTTTGCTAGTGGAGACGTCAGTTATCTTAGTTTATTTCGTTTTTGTCTTGTTATGATCAATCCTATTAACTAATGCTACTGAACTATATTATGATTGATATCTTCGGAAGTTTAGTATTGATAATTCTTTTCCAATTAATTATCGTGCAATTAGGACAATTTTAGAACCACTACAATTTTGTATCTCTAGTATCTCTAGGTTATATATGTTGGGTTTTCAGTCCGGAGTATTCTTTGCTGTTTAAAAGTCTTCGACATCTCAATTGTAAATCATCATCTATTTCTTCTTGGTTTGGGTTACTTGTCCAACAATCTTTAAGCATCGAATGTGTAAGATGATAAACAGACATATCTTGACGTTGTTTGTAGTTATTCTGTTTCTTGGAGCATGCACAAAGCCTCCTCAGTCATCACTGGTAACAGAGTACAGGGAAAAAGGTTCCTTGTATCATCTTCTCTACTCGACCAACGAAATAGACAACTTAAGCTTGGGGGAGAAACTAAAGATACCATTGTTTGGCATTTGCATGTACTTTCATTTCTACATTGAATACTTCACAGAAGAATCTCTCCCACAAGCTCAGATTCATCTGCATTTGTTGTGCGGATTGTATCTCCGCAATCTAATTGCATCTTTGATAGCTTTGGATAGAGAGCGAGAAAGCTCAACCCTAGCTCTGGCTCAGCTGGCTTGCGTTTACCTCTGCAATATCCTTCTTCTATCTTGATCCTAATCTCTTCCAGATTCAGACAGTATTGGTCTAAAAAAAATCTCCAACACTGATCCATGGAGACAAATGCTCAAGTTTCTCCCATACTTTGTCTTCAGAACAGAACCCATTCCCATCACTGCTTGGAAACGGTGAGCAGTGTTCTTCCTCCGCTGAAGAATACTTGCACCTCTTATGGCTCCTCTCGTCATTATTCCTCACTCCACACTCCAGAAGCTCGTATTGGTCATGTGAGAGAGGTCTCTTCTTTGGCCTTCTCTCAGCAAGCACCAAACTTGTGTGCAAAGAAAGAAACAGAGCATTTTAAGACAGAGCGTTTGTGTGTCATCTCTTTCTTATTCAACTCTCTTTATTGGTGGTATAGGCAATAAACAATGTGGTTTTCGCACTCCTGCAACCTAATTCAAATGATGCAGGTCTTGTTAATATTGATATGAACCTATGATTGGCTTGATTAGGACCGGAACCTCACGGTAACACACAACCTAGGAAACTTTGGAGGAGTTGGTCTCTTGCTTACGATAGTGACTGGTCTATTTGGAATCAACGTAGATGGGATATCAGGAGCTAAAGATTACTCACAAGCCTTTGCGCTTTTCTCAGCGATTCTTTTCTTCTCGGGTTTGGTGTTAGTGGTCGCAGCTTTGCTCTACCTTGGACTCAAGGAGCCAGAGGCAGATGAGAATGTGGAAAATAGGAAACTAGAACTTGACGAAATGGTCAAGAAGTTTCAACGAGAAGCTGAGTCTCATGCTCAAGTTTGCCAAAAAGTTCCTCAGAACTTGGAACGCACGGCCAAAGCAGCAGAGAAATATGTGAATCTTTACTCTTTAGTCAGACCAGATAAATTCGGTCTATGTTTGTAAAATTTTTGAACATTTAATCTTTAAAAAATCGTGAATTCTTTTCTACTGAATATACAGTATTTTGATATACTTGTAATATTGAAGCAAGGTTCAAACCTAAATGTTTCATATTGGTGACGCAACCATTGGCACTTAGTATGCAGTTTCCTTCTTGCGAAATCTGACAAAGTCTCACAACTGTCATTACCGGAGCTGATTTGAACGACACTGTGCTCTGAGGGAGTTTGGACTGTCGTGAGTCACAGTAATTGTGTGTCTTGAGTTTGTTCTTGGAGCCAGCTGGTCTGCCTCGTGGCCTCTTAACCATCTCTCGTTCGATTGATGAAACGCTTTCAGTTTTGTTGTTGCTGCTGCTGTTGTTATTGCCTCTCTCTGCTGCTTCATGGTTCCTCAATGGAAGTGACTTTGATCCTACAGAGGTTGGAGTCAGAGCTGAGCCTCCAGCCATTGTTATGAAAGTGTTGAGATTTCAACTAAGATTTTATGGGTTTAACCGTTTAAGTAAGGAGATGTTATTATATGATATGGTAGAGACACCAAAAGAATGATTGTGAAGAGTAAAATATCTTTAAGCTGTCACCAAACTTTTTATTGCTTACTCCACACTCCAGAGGCTCTTATTGGTTATGTGAAAGAGATCTCTTTTTTTGGCCTTCTCTCAGCAAACACCAAACATGTGTGCAAAGAAAGAAACAGAGCATTTTAATGTCTCATATCTTTCTTATTCAACTCTGTTTAGTGGTAGTATAGGCAATAATGAGGCAATAAAGTATAAACAATGTGGTTGTCGCACTTTACTTGTTTGATTGTGTAGCGTATAAAATGGTCACTCCAAAACTTTGATGAACTCATGACACACATTAAATCATCCAAACAGAAAGCATTAGACTGGAAGTTTTAAGATTGTCATTATAGCAAAATTACATGTTGATGTGTTTACTTATTCATCTCAAGACCTAGATTTTACATGAAAATGGCGGTAAATGAACAGAGACACTAGGCCAATTGTGGTAAGCAAGACCTAAACCAAACTTGACGAGAAACAACTCCACAATGTCTTTATAGTTTACCATCATTTTTAGTGAATAAAATCTATTAATTCATATATAAACAGTACAAAAGTTGCACAAACTATGAAGATGTGGTAAAACAAATTTTGATTTCAGCTAAACAATATTTGACATTTGTTAATCTTAGACTCTATTGGGAAGTTCTTGATGTTTAACATTGAAAAATTGGCCAATGGTGTAGATAGAATCCACGTATGGTGCATCTCATTGACCAATGGTGTAGATAGAATCCACCTACTTTTGCTAACGTGAAGATCATATGCGACCAAGGTTAGCTTTGTTTCTTTTTATTTTGTATGTAACGTCATAACTATTGAGTCGAAGACAGACAGCGACCTGCTAGCTTCGGTTTCGTGTAAGTTTATGCAATTTTTGTTGTTGTTGTGCATGTTTGTGTTTACTTTTTGGAGTTTATGCATTTTTTTTCTTTGTAACAGGTTTAACTTCATTCGCAAGGCAAGATTTGGAAGAAGTTAAGATTTATCGGTAAGTAGAATTCCAGTATAAAAATATTATTTTGTATTTAATTTTTATTGGTTTAAGTATTGTAAACTATTTGTCAATTTTTTTTTTGCAGTGTCAACAGCAGCTGGCATCACGAGTTTAATAGATTGTCTCTAGACTGTAGCTTTTAAAACAATACATATGTTATTTTAGAACTTTTGTGTCTGGCGATGAAAAAAGCAAGGATAGTGGAACTTATCTTAGTATATATGTTTTGTCTGGTTATGGTCAATCTATTAACTAATGGCATTCAATTAAAATATGGTTAGAATTTGGATAAGTTTAGTAGTGCTAACGGAAGGACAAATTTCTTGAAATCAGAAGTATGGTCAATTCATGGATTATTCAAGCTACTTTAGCAGTTAAAAGGAAATAAAACCAAGGAATTGCCAGGAGGGTTATAAGAGCACCGTCGATCTGATCAATGATTAGATGCCTCGTGCATAGTTACAGGTGGAATAATTCACACTCAATATTGATATGTTTTTATTAACTAAATATAAAAATTCACCCTACTTTTTAGTTTTTATCTTTGTGAAAAAATACAACAGCCTCACTGTTTTTGTTGGTACCATTCTGTGACACCTGGAATGGAACAGATGTTTCAACGGGATTTCCATTCATAGGTACTATATCCTATAATTTTTGCTGTCTCTCTATTAAGATATATTGTGCAAAGTCTTCCACATCTCAATTGTAAATCATCATTTATTTCTTCTTTGCTTAGGTTACTTGTCCAACAATCTTTAAGCATCAAATTTGTGAGATGATAACAGAGACATATCTATCTATCTTGTGACTTTGTTTGTAGTTGTTCTGTTTCTTGGAGCGTGGAAAAAGGTTCCTTGTATCATCATCATCTCTCTATTCGACCAACGAGATACACAACTAAAGATACTTCTCGATATTTGCAGGTATTTCATTTCTGCATTGAATACTTGTCATTTTAGATTTTCACCATATCAAATCAACATCTTTAGGTATAATTAGATCAGGAAAACTTAGAACCAGAGTCCGGAGATTTACGTGATAATTTTGAATGTTTCGAAGGGAAAGAGTGCGATATCTTTAGCTTCGGTGTTATAATGTGAGAGCTCTGCACTCTATCTAAGCCCTGGGATGGAGAGTTCCAAAACAACAAGTATGTCTCGCTGAACAAGAACAAACAAGACTTGCTTTACTTAAACAAAAACGTCGAATCCAAAATTTCCGTTCTTGCAATTTTGTTTTTCAGGTCATTGATGCTGGCTGTTGCAAACGACGGAGCCCAGCTTGAAATACCACCTCAAGGACCGTCAAGCAAAGCTTATTAGAGGTTTCCGTGTGTTTGAAGCAAACGAAAGCAGGGCTTTTTCCATTGTTTTCTTGGCTCTGTTATCATGGATTTCGTCTGGTTTTTGACTTTTGAGCAAATTGTTTCAGTAGTTAAGTCTTTAGTGCTCTATATTCCTAAGTTGTGTTTTGAACCAGATGTTTACATGGGGGAATCAAAATATCGAAACTTACTATCCCACAAAATCTACTCAGAAATGACAATGCAGTACTACTCCCAGTGTTCATGCGGTGAAACAGCATTTATAAAAGCTCTCCAACGCTGATCCATAATCAAGTTTATCCCATACTCTGTCTTCAGAACAAAACCCATTCACATCGCTATCCCATACCATAAAACAATATTCATTTATAACCCGTAGGTATACAAGAGTATTCACCAAGCAATGATAGAAAAACGAAGCAAAAGAGTACCATAACAAAAACTAGAATCAAGACCTAGACGAACCAGCAAAATATCGGAAAATGAGTAGAGACACTAAGCCGGTAAGCAGTGGGAATTTGATCCAACTAAACTTTCGGTCTATCTTAGACACGTGATCTTGATTGTGTACCAGGTCTTGATACTGAAACCCACATCTGCACTCTGACGTCTCTGAACCAACAGACGGACGAAGCGAGACAACATTCTCAACAAAACCAGACACGACACAGATCTCTCTAGCGATGCAACGAACCACGTCTGTCTCTGGTTGATATCTGAAGAGCCTCTTCTCATTGTCATGGAAGAAAAAATTCCCTTGCTTACAAACACCCACAGGCCTGAACCAGACATTCCACGGTAGACGGGAAGTGACTCCACAGTTGGCTAAACCTATGGAGTAAGCCATGCTCCATGTTTCCACTTGTTCATCTATGATCAATATCTCTACTTTCCACTCAGGCTCTGTATATGGTGTGGCTATGGCTAGGCGGTCTTCAAGGTTCACTAGCTGGTTCGCTTCGTAAAGAATCGGCGGAAGAGTGACATCGCGAAACTCTTCGGTGTGAAGATCCAACGCTAGTAGATTGTGACTTGCCCTTACTTCTAACCAGTAGACAGAGCCTCTGGCAAATGCTGACTTCCTTCTTGGTTCCACTTTGTAAGGAGGCGGATTCACTTATTGTTTGTGGAGAGCATTCCAGACAAAAAAAAAATATGGCCATAACTTATTCTCATTCTCTCCTTGAATTTTAATTCGGCCATAATTCCACCACCAACAAAAATCCTTATGGAGAATCATTGTGGTGAAAAATACAGACAGAATAAAGTTTTTACAATCATAATCATTGTGAAAGAAACTCATATTTAATCTTTCTCTTTATTTTTTCGAACACAATTCAAAAAGCAAGTTAGTATTGAGACGGCCAGATGTGCTTGGCTTTATTCTTAAAACGGCATGTTATAATTACTTTATTAACATAAACGGCACGCAACATAGGTTTATGTGGGCGTCTGGTCTGAACCGAATGGAACCGAACCCACCGAAAATTCGCATTCGGTTTTGACTTTTAAACCGATGGGTGGTTTTTATACAAGATCCCGCTCGGTTTGGTTCGAGTTTAAACTGAAAATCGAATCAAAATGAAAAATAATTCATGTATAAATAAGAAACCCTTGTTTCTCATAGTGTTTCCGCAGAACAAACCTTTCTCCCTTTCCTCTCCCTCATCATCACGCACAAATATGTAGATATTCTCTTCTCGCCAGCCATCGTACGTTCAATCTCACACTTCTTTCTGGCCGCCGCCTACGCCGATTTATTTTACGTTTGGTAAGATCTCTTAGCTTTAGCGTTAGGGTTTTGAATCCGCCTTCCGTTTTTCCCCTTTTCCATTCAACTCATTGATTTGGTTGATTTGATCCATCTCTCATCTCTGCATTGACTAAGGTATTAAGTTGTTTCCATAACCGTTGATTAAGGTTGATTAGGTTTGTCTCCATAATGATGCTTTGCATTGATTAAGGTTTTATGCTTTGGCCGGATTTTCTTTTTCTCGTATCAGAACTGAAACGCCATTTGCAACAGTTTCATAATTCTCTTTTGTCCCTTGAACTAATGTTATCTCTTTTTTTTTTCCAGGAGAAACAACATATGGCTAACATTAATGGTA